GCTAATGAGATGCTGGCAGTTACCTTGATCGTAATGCGCTGCCCAACGCCCGGGTCCAGGGAATCGAGGCCCATCTCGGCTTAACAGGAGACCAGTTCAACATTTGCATTTCCACACTCTTCGCAGGCTACCTGGCGCTGCAAATCCCTTCCAATCTGATCCTGACAAGAGTGCGACCGAGCATCTACCTGCCCGTCTGCATGGCTCTGTGGGGGTTAGTCTCGGCCAGCACGGCGGCCGTGACTGACTTTACCGGGCTCGTCGTTTGTCGCTTCTTCCTGGGCTTTCTCGAGGCGCCCTTTTTCCCCGGCGCTTTGCTCCTGCTGTCGAGCTGGTACACCCCCAAGGAAATGGCCACGCGCACAGCCATCATGTACACGGGCAGCTTGCTCTCCAGCGCGTTTGGCGGTCTTGTCGGGGCCGGCATCCAATACGGCATGGATGGCGCGCGGGGGCTTCATGCCTGGCAGTGGCTCTTTGTCATTGAGGGTACAATCACGGTCGTGGTCAGCCTGGCCTCCGTCTTTGTCCTGCCCGACTTTCCCTCCAATACGGCCTGGCTCACGGCCGAGGAGCGCGCGCTCGCCATTCATCGCCTTCACGCCCACAGCGGCAGCGTGGACGAGGAACGGGGCCCTCTGCTGCAGGGCCTCAAGATGGCGGTGCTCGACTACAAAGTCTGGCTTCTGACGCTGATTGTCATTCTCAAGACTTCTGCAGGAGCAGTGACTCAGTTCATTCCTACACTAGTCGACACTTTTCACTTTGGTAGAGTCCAAACATTGCTCATGACTGCGCCTCCCTTTGTCTTTGCCGCCATTGTTGCTCTGGGTGTCTCGGTCTCGAGCGATAGACTCGGTGAAAGATGCCTGCATCTTGTTGTCCCGCTGACATTTGCCTTGACTGGCTTCATCATCGCTGCCACCACTGAGAGCCTGGCACCTCGCTACTTTTCGCTATTTCTGGCCTTGGGTGGTGTATATGGCTGCTATGACATTACATATGCATGGATGAGTTCCACGGTATGTCGCAGAACGGAATGTTGCACCAAAAAACAGGGCACAGTAACACTAAAAATAAATGTTACAGGTCCCGCGTCCCATCGAAAAACGATCTTCGGCCTTTGCTATTGCCAACATGGTGGGCAATATTGCACAAGTATACTCTCCATACATGTATCCCAAATCCTCTGGTCCGCGTTACCTGCCAGCCATGGTGGCCAATAGCGGCTTCGTTCTGGCTTCCATTGCGTGCTGCGCAACTTTGTACTGGTGTTTGCGTCGGGAAAACGAATTGCTCGAGGCGGGGGAGGAGCAGATGCAAGGGCATGATGATGACGATGCCGGGAGCGATGGAAGCAAAGACGGGTCACGGGAGGGAGCGGTACCCGTCGCGGTCCTCGATCCGGGCTTCCGGTACATGCTCTAGTTTCGAAAATAAATCACCAGACCTTTTGTCCTTGTGTAACTCGGTTTGTACAAACGCTCACGTGAATCTTACTGCACCAACCTGATTGAACCATGTGATGATGCAACGGGAACGCGACAATTTACTGTACAACGCAATGCGTGAGAGACAGTAATCACAGTGCCAACTTGGATTGTTTTGAAAAAGCAATCGTGATCAGCAATCTATTATATTTTAAATACAACAATGCCATGCTAAACTTTAGTGTGATAGTAGAGGCGAAAAGTGTTGTTCATAGGTCAAGCACCAACCACACCATCGGCACCAGGCCCCCCAAGATAGATGTACGATTTCCAGGTTGTGCCAGAGTTCCAGAATGGCTTAATTCTGTAGCGAGTACGATCGCTCTCCTGGATATACCCATCAGTAAACATTTGCTCATTCCCGTCGCCGTCAAGATACACCATGTTCTTGACGTATGCGACCTTGCCGTCTCCCGCTTCGGGAAAGTTGCCGCTACCCATGTCCGTATTGGTCAACTCTGAGCCGCTGTTGTACACTTCGCCAAAGAAGTTGATGACATCACCATACGCGGCCAGAGTATCCTCTGCATTTGATTTCTTGCTAAACAGCTCGGCAGGGTAATATCCAATATCCTTTCCGAATGCCTTGAGCCACCACTTGCCGTCGTCGAGGTGAAACTTGACATCGAAGTCATGCTGCTCGCCGCCAATCACAGACATGTGCTCAAAGGACATGCCAGGGAAGATGGAGTCGTCGACCTGCACCCAACCCTTTACTTCCGTGTTCCAGCCACACATGTAATCGCTGGAACCCTGGTAGCCATTGGTGTTGAAGAAGACAAAAAACATTGGCTTGGGGCCTCGAGGCGGGTAGTACATCCAGCCAGCCTCGAGTGATTGAGTCACTGTACCCAATTCGGTCGTCTTGGCGTACCAGCGTACCATGGCTGTCTGTATGAGAGAAAAGTCGGATTGTGACGCCAGATAGGGCTCAAACATGCTGATGGAGCCGCCACCTCCCGTGACTTTTGTCCCTTTGCCAGTCGTGGCATACCAATGTTGTCCGGTATAGTCCTGTTGTTCAAAGAAGGAGGTTTTCAACTGAACTATCGGTGACGCGGAAGCTTCGACTACCGGCGGACGCTTCTCAGGGAAGGGTACAAGTCCTGGACGCAGGATGGGGACTGTACCCTCGGGGCCACGCTGGTGCTGGGGAATCGGGTTAACAAATCGTTCCACCAGTCTGTTGTTTCTCTTTTCCGAGTTCCAATCGGCTGGCAAAGTAAAATTGTCGTGTTGAGACTCTCTGCGGACCCAGTCTAGCACCCGGCCGTCGTCTAAAACCACGGTCTTGACAACGTCGAGTCCTTGGGCCGGCCTGGGGACGGCAACTGCTGCAGCCAAAGCAGCAGAGGCCAAGAAATTATGAACAAAGATCCACTTCATCTCGGGTTTGAAATTTTTTGAAAAAGTATACCTTTTTGAATGACGGCCATGGCAATCCGGGGGTGCTGCAGACTTGGGCCTTATATAGGGAAACAAGCCATGGAGCAAGCAATTTCGCACGTGGATATGGGAGCCACCAATATTAGGGGTATAATAAATCATGCCATCCTTTTGTGTAATCTTGTGCTTTGGAGAAACCCTCGCCACGCTCATGTAAATAAAAGACGACGAACATTTTTGTCAGGGTCTGCAGGCTTACACCGTCCCAACAGCGGCGGCTTTGGTTGCTGCAGCCTGGTGCGGGGCCATGCATGCTGCAGACAGCAGTCCTTTTAAGTGTAGGTCATGTAATCCATAAAAGCTCGGCCGGTACGAACCATTACGCCCCTTCTGGCTACCATGAACTACATATTTAGGGAAGTTGGGGATTTTGCTGGTAGGACTGGCGAGTTGGTCATTTGGCGATTCGGTGATGAGCAAACCTGCCATCGAAACAGCGGATCGGCTGCCAAAGATCCGAGCCGAGGGGTTAATCGGAGGCGCCCGGGGCGAGGAGCTACAGCCACCCACGCAAAAGTACCAACACAACCCGTTGGGTTGGCAGTCAATGTTACAGCGGATCCTTTGACATTTATTCCATGGCCTCAACAATGTTTGTGGAGGGCCCAGAGCTGTTGCATAAACTACTGCCCAAATGTGGTCGTCACGGATGGGATCTGCATCAATAATATGCGAAGCAGCGGGTGCTGCAGAGAGAAACGACCCTAACTAATAAATGGCCAGCCCCTCACAAACATTCCGGCGGCTCAACAATAGAAATCAGTCAAGGTAAATGAACCACAGACCAGACGCCGCGGAAGCGGTGGCCTACGCCTTGAGCCTAATAATAGATGATAGATAGCCTGTGCGGCCCATGATTCGATGCATGTTCCAGAATGGAAGTGCCAACCAAGCAAGGCGTCTGTCAAGGCGGTCAAAACTCGAAGCCTCCGGCTCGCAGCCTGGTTGTTGGTAGTTGGTAGTTGCAGATGCACCCCACGCCACCCGGCCATCACGGGTTTGTCCCGTTGAAAAGGTTTCTGCAATAAATTTCGCGTTCCCCGTATGGCTGCATACAACCGCGGGCGGCAGCGTGAACGGGGGGAGCTTTGGCCCACACTGAATCCTTTTTCGGCAAGGCGATTCTCATGGGCTTGTATCAGTACGTTTTGCTCAGAGGGAACTTCCGAGACAACAGACAGCCGCGGGGGAAAGGCTGATTGAACATGATTGGTATGACTGGCCAGAGAGTGTCCTGGAACCTTGGCTGCCACAGTGTCTGGCCAATAGAAAGGGGTCGGGGTGGGCATAGGCATACATGTTGCGTTTGTTCACCAAACAAGGTTATTGTTCCAGAATCCGCATGATTACTTCGTACTCGTTTGATGTAACGTAGCCCCGACTAGAAACTATTCCAAGCGCGCTCGCCATGGAGCATATTGCACGAGTATGTGCTGTAAACCAAGTCAACTGACAAGGAGAAAAAGGACATAGACTCATAAAGTAGAAAAGGGGCCAATTCAGAGTGAAAGACGCGCCGCTGAAAACCAAAAAAAAAAAACATTATTTCGTCCAATGAAGCACAATGCTGCTGAAGCGCTCCAACTGCTCAGGGTCCGTAGCCCACGTCGTCAAAAGACGGATGACGGCCCACTCGTCGTCGTACTTTTCCCAGACGTAAAAGGAAAAGTGTTGCTGCAGAGTCTTGACTAGGTCCAAGGGCAACACGGCAAAGACTTGGTTTGTCTCAGTTTCTGCGCGTAACGCGAACCCGGCTCCGACAATGGACTGCGACAGCTTCTCCGCTGCGCGGTTCGCTTGCCGCGCCAGATCAAAGTACAGGTTCTCTCGAAAGAGCTCAGCAAACTGCACACCCATGATTCTGCCTTTGGCCAAGAGTGATCCATGCTGCTTCACAAAGAATTCAAAGTCCTCGGCCAGCTGAGGATGCTTGACCACGACAGCTTCTCCCAAAAGAGCTCCATTCTTGGTGCCGCCGATCCAGAAAATGTCAGTCAATTCAAGTATATCATTAAGAGTCAAATCATTCTTGGCAGAGGTAAGGGCACAGCCGATACGGGCGCCATCGACAAACAGAAGCAGCCCATTCTCTTCGCACAAACGCTTAATGGCAGTCAACTCTGTCTTTGTATACACGGTACCAATCTCGGTAGCGTTGGAAATGTATACTAAGCGAGGCTTGGCCATGTGCGGAAAGTGCCAGTTGTCGTCGAGAGCCTTGTTGATGGTGGCTGGCGTCAGCTTACCATTCTCCGGGACGACATTGATGATTTTGTGGCCGCTAGCCTCGACGGCGCCAGTCTCGCGGGTAACAATGTGTCCGGAACTGGCAGCAACGACGGCTTCATGAGGGCGAAGGCAGGCGGCAATGGAAATGGCATTGGCAGACGTGCCACTCGGGACAAAGAAGACGCCGACATCCTGGTTCCCGAGATGGGTTCGAATATGATGCTTTGCTTCCTCGCTAAAGGTATCGCGCCCGTAGCCTACTTCTTGGGTTCCATTGCTCTGCAGCAGCGCAGCAAGGACCTCTGGGTGCGCACCCTCGCTATAATCGTCGAGTAAGCTATATTTGGCCTTGGCGGCGGGTGCTCCAGCAGCAGGCATATTGGTGTCTTGACGATGGCTGATTCTTGGATTCTTCAACAACGGCAACGGCAACGACAATGACAACAACGAAATTCGACACTGCGGATGACGGCTATGGTGGTGATGGAAATGATGCTGATGAGGAGGAAGAAAACCAAGCCGGATAATTCTACTTCCAAAACACCTATTACCAAACTTTGTTGAGCCCAAAGCTCTTACGAAATCGGTGGGTCGAATTGTGGACTAGGTCACCGTCGTCGATTGCGAGTCTTTGGTCATGGTTGTCAACATGGAGTAGACCGCTCAATGCCGCCGGAACCCGTAATTATCATTACGAGAGCGACTGGTCTCCGGCTTCGGATGCGGAGGGGGTTGCCTCTTTGTTCTATTCGTACCCGAGGAACGATTTGGGGGTGGCCGCCAGTCGATCGTGGATGCTCAACCAGTGTTCTAGACCACCGCAATGAGATGCAGTCAAGTGTACCATGCTGTCCTTAGCGTACATGTGGCATGGGAAAGGTATTCTGAATGTCAAGCTGCAATGGGTTGAATGATGCAGCCATCCACTGACCTGACGCACCACAGACCGCGGGGAAGCACTAGTTAGCGGACTGCCCATCCATCGACGCTGCTAGCAGCCGGCTGGTGGCGTAGTTTCAGGCACTTTGCCATCTTTGAATTGAAAAACAAAGAGATTCCGGATGCGCACTTCTCTTTTGCGTCGCTCAGGGGATCGCTCAGGGGGCACGGCACGATGCAGGAATGTACGCCGCGGCCAAGCCCGTTTGCACGCTAAATAATATAAGGCGGCCGCTTTCGGCCAAACAATCCACGTGTCAGTTGGAAATTTTCAACTATTTACTGTTTTGGCTTTTGCGCCTGCGTTTGTGTTGAAACAGACGCTTCTTTCTCATAAAAGCAAATAACTTGACCCGTGTACTTTGTTTGTTGAAGTCGTACAACGGATAGCTCACGAATCCTGATAGATCGGCCGCTATTACAAATTCAAAACTTTTGATACCTCGACATCATCACTGGCCGAACGAGGGATTGATCAAGAACAGGGCCTTTACAGCCAGCTCTTGAACAACTTGACGTACGCCATCTTGACCAACTGTACCTCTACGCAGTAGGCAAACAGCTCGGCAAACAGGAACCCGATATAAGTCCCCTTGGGGTTGACAAAAGACAATGCACTGTGGAATGCCGGGATCCATGGCAGCACAAAGCCAATGGCCATGATCGCCGCCATGGAAAGGCCGAGATGCACGGACGATCGGCTCTGCACAAATGGGATTCTGGCCGTTCGCAGCAGGTGCACAATGAGCGTCTGGGTCAGGAGGCCCTGGAGGAACCAGTGCGTCTGGAATTGGCTGACGGCAGCCGGGTCCTCCGTTGTGCGAATCCCGTAGTAGTACCATCCAAGCAAAAAGGTGCATACATCAATGACGGAGCTTGTCGGGCCAAGCACAACGACGAAACGAAGAAGATCTGTATCCTGTTAGCATTGCCCATAACCGGCCGATAGTCCGAGTGGGCTTTGCTTACCCCAGGGCTGCCATGACTTGGGCGTCTCCAAGAATTCAGCGTCAACATTATCCCAAGGGATGGCAATCTGGCTAATGTCGTACAGCAGATTCTGCGCGAGAATCTGCAGGTTCGTCATTGGCGTAAAAGGGAGCCACGCGCTTGCAGCAAGAATACTAAACACATTGCCAAAGTTGGAGGACAAAACCATCTGCTGACGTTAGCGGTTTGAGCAATCATTATTTCCGTGTCTGGCAAACATACCTTGATATACTTGATCGAGTTGGCGTGGGTGACACGCCCGATTGTCACGCTCTCGACAATGATTGCTAGGCCCTTCTCAGTGAGGATAAAGTCGGCACAGTCCTTGGCGGCGCCTGCAGCAGAGTCGACCGAGATGCCGACGTCGGCCTTGCGCAGAGCCAGGCAGTCATTCATGCCATCGCCGAGCATACCGACAGCATGTCCATGCTTTTTCAAGCTTGCAACAATGCTCTCCTTCTGAACCGGGGATACCTTGGCAAAGACCTTGCAGCTTTTTACAGCTTCGTCAAAGTCTTCCTCGTCGACCAAGTTTGCCAACTCTGCCCCAGTCATGGCCCCGGGTCCGTCATTATCAATCGAATCCTCACGCTGCACGATACCTAAAGCGCGACAGACATTGAGAGCAACTGCCATGTTATCGCCGGTGAGAACCTTGACATCGATGCCGAGAGACTTGAGTTTCTCGATTGACTCGGCAGCGTCCGGCTTGGGCGGGTCAACAAAAGTCAAGAGTCCGTTGATAGTCATGTTCGTTTCAATATCATCAAAGCCATCTTCGTCATCAATTTGAGCCTTGGCCATTTGCTTCGTAGCGACCAGCAAGACTCGGTATCCCTGGCTGTTCAGCGTCTTGACTTGTTGCTTGAGGGTGGTGCGATGATGGCCAGCCAAGGCACTCTCGCCCTTGTCGGTCTGAATCTTGGAGCAGCGCGAGTATACTTCTTCAAAAGCACCTTTGCAGATGAGCATGGCACCACCAGCGACACCACGAACGACGCAGGCTGAGCGGCGGCGTTCAAAGTCAAAAGGAATCACCACAGACTTTTCGTACTTTGTTGTTTGAACCTCTTCGCCGTTCTCTAGTCGGAAATTGCAAATCGCGGCGTCCATGTTGTTTCCTCCAGTACCCTGGATTGTAGCTTCAATAACAGCCAGCTTCAAAACCTCAACATCAACGTTGCCGGCCCAATCAAGGGCCTCTCGCATTGTAATCTCGTCTTTCGTCAGGGTTCCAGTCTTGTCACTGCATAAAACAGTCATGGCTCCGAGATTTTGTACCGAGTCAAGCCGGCGAACAATGGCCTTTTTCTTGGACAAAAGATATGCTCCACGAGCCAGATTGGCATTGACAATGGCGGGTAGCATCTCAGGTACAAGGCCAACCGCAACGCTGATGCTGAACAAGGCAGCCTGGCCCCAGTCACCAGTAGTCTTGGCCGACACGACAAGAACAATGGGCACCATGACACCCATGAAGCCAATCAGCATCCAAGTAACGTTCTGAATGCCTCGCTGAAAAGCATTCAAGTCGCGGCTTTTCTGAAGTGCCTTTGACATGGCAGCAATCAGAGCGTCGCGTCCCGTTCGTAGAATAACCACAGTTGCATTGCCAGAAACGACACCAGTGCCCATAAAACAAATATTCGTGAGATCAAAGAGAGAGCCGTCTGCTTTGTCACCGCCAGCGACGGCCAGCTTCGAGACAGGGGCACTCTCTCCGGTCCACTGCGACTGGCTGATTCGGAGAAAGGAAGTTTCGAGCAACAAACAGTCGGCGGGTACAACATCACCAGGAGCCAGCAGTACAATATCGCCAGGGACCAGCTCGGACGTCGGCATGTGAGTCTCCCCCTCGCGACGGCGCACACGAACGGCGGTCTTGATTGACATTTGAAGACGAAAGACTGCCAGTCCACTTCGATACTCTTGCCAGAATCGCACAAGAACGGAAATGGTGACCATGACCATCAGGACGGTGAAGCCAGTCTAATCACTGTCAGTCAAATGACAAAGTCCAGAATTTAGGAAAATACTCACCCAGTCCGGCGGTGGGATTGAGGCATTGATGATGGCAAGAAAAATCAACAAAAGATTAAAAGGATTCGGAATGACCTTGAGAAGAAGAATAAACCAAGAAGGCGGCTTCTGGGACCGAAGCGTGTTCGGTCCCTTGACACGAAGACGAGCCTCTGCCTCGTCGCCCGACAGACCTTGGCGCTCAACCTGCAAACGGTCAAGCACCTGATCCATCGGGAGAGAAGCAAAAGCTCGCAGAATAGACTCTGAAGTATTGTCCAATGCATGCTCTGGCGGCGCGCCCCAAGCCAACCCGTTCGTCTTTGCAGACGCGACCAGAGTCGCACTCTGCAAAGGCGTCAGGCCGCTCTTGACAGACGAAGAATACGACTTCTTCGTCCCGTGGGAGCCCATTAACCTGGAGAATACAGACATTTTTTTTTTCTCAAATTGGCTCGAGTTGTCCAATTATGGTGGTTCAAACTCGGCCGCTAGTTGTTCGCCTGCAATGGCCGCCAGAGCTGCAAAGTATCGTCGGTTCTGCGTGGTCGCCAGCTTTGTGATAGGCTCTACAGTCGGAGCCCTGTTTTCTTGGTGGTTGGAGTTGAAGAATGACATGTATGGTCGAATTCAATTCACAGTGGTTGTTTGGATAATCTACAGGCAAGAAAAAGTAAAGATGGGGATTTTTTGGTGTTTATACATTCTCGACGCACAGGCACATAACAGAGTCATTTCAGATCGAGCAGGGATAGTGGTGGGTTTCAGGCCCATTAATTGCTCAAAAATTTTAATACAAAGGCTCGGCAACGAGAATTAGCAAAAAGCGGCTCGCCAAGCCGGTCAAGAGCAGGTCTAAGCCACCACACAGCCCGCCCGACTCAGACATGGTGATACAAAGACTTTGCCCTGAGATGAGCGGCTGCCCAACTGTCCTCCACTATAAAAGAAGGAAAAATTCTTTCGACTGGGGAAACGACTCCATATTTCCCCAATCTTGAGCCTTGTACGTACATGCTCCGTACTGATAGCATTAATTAATAGTAAATAGGAGCTGAGCACCTTGATAGAAACCACGCTGAGAGAGCTGAGGTTTCAATCTCGAACAGAAAGATGCAGTCTGCGACTGTATTCGCCAGTTATTTACTCATACAGCATAACGATGGCATCTTGGCCATCTCGCACTCATACGGCATTGTCTCGTCGCAAGGCAAGCTATCAGTAGTTCATTCCCGCTTGTCACAATTTCCAAGCAACAGAGGGTAACATTCTATGTGAGTCACTACATGTGATGCACTGATCAGTCATGACAGACTGCAGGCCCGCCTTTCAGAGAGGTCTGGAGCGGTCTGCCGTCGGCGAACTAGCTGGGTATTCAACTACAAACTCCAACGGCGCATCATACTGGTACGACAAAAACTGGTCGGCCAAGCCCTTCTCGGCACGTAGCCGGATAAGGCCAACTCCACACGGACCACACAGACTGGGGATCGTCAGGTGGTGGGAGGCATTTGTTTGTTGCTCGGTGACAAAAGTTCCTTCACCAGCTCTCAACAGGAGAAATCCTTTCATCTTTTTTTTTTTTCCGCATAAAATTCTGTCCAAAAAGCCTTCTGTTCAAATGATGAGCGACTGTCAAGGCAGATGCAGACCCCTTGATTAGCGATTTCTTCAAACCCCTGATTAGAGTTTCCTTGATTAGCAACTCTGTTGACCGACCCCCTTGCTCATGAAATTTCCACGGCTGCGCGACCAGTGTCGGTAGTCGCGCTTCCGCAATGCGGCAGAGATGCGCCTGTCCTGTGAACCGCCAAAACCGTTTTCGGCGGAACTCCAACAACCTTTTCATCGAAAAAATTGGCTGGCAGCGAAAACCCAGGCTCGTGGCGTCGCATGGCCTCCAGCGCGGCCTGGATGGCATCATAGCCAAAGTTAAACTGTTGAATTTGCGCCGGATTGGCTACACCAAACCCCCCGTATTGTCAGCGAATTCGAATCGAATTTACACCCCCACGGCGACGTTGCAAAGGCAAAACTCACTGGGAATCTTGTCCTTGTCAAGATAGGGAAGCACCTCGTTCTGCAGCTGCTGCACCAGATCTTGCCCAATGTTACTCAGAATTTGAATGACACTGGCCCTGTCTCGTCGAACGTCCTGGTAGATGCCGAATCGGCTCTCAATGTCATTTCGTGACCGAGCTCCAAGCATGCTGATGCCCAACACCAACCCATCCTCGATGCTCTGGGCACCTCCTTGTCCTTGGTCTGAACTTGTGTGTCAGCCACATTCCAAACGACTCGGAGGGTGCTGCATTACTTACGGGGTAGCATAGGGTGCGCCGCATCGCCGACAAGGACCAACATGTCTTTATGCCATGTTTTCAACGGATATCGGTAGAGTAGCGGCCATCGTTTGACGTCCTTTGCTTTTCTGCAAATAACATGTAAGCAATGGTGTTAACAAGTACATATCGGAGGAGCGGCTCACCGTATGACCTTGACAATATCTGGATGAAAGTCTTTGAACCTGTCTACAATTTCGTCGACTTTCACTGATGCCTGCCAGTCTGCGAGCTGTCAGCGCTGCTGATGGGTTTTTTGAGATTGTCAGCATACCCTCGGCGTCCAGTCGCGCCGACTCGTCATAAATAAGACCAACAAAGTTGTGCACCGTATTGCTTTTCAGTGTCAATCAGCTCTCCTTGGATTGTAACCCTGATCATTTACTTACTCGCGACAAACATACGTCACCAGCCGTCGCTGTGTATCATTGTGCGAGAAAACTCGTATGCGAGATCTATTCGCAATGTTCCAATGCCTGGTTTCCGGTTCCTCTTCCAGGACCGAGGCTGGTATCAAGAAGCGGTAGCAAATGTTGGAGTGCTGGGGTGCAATTGCTTCGACCTTGTGCTGCAAGACCGCTTCCGCAGCACGGGAGTGTACACCATCAGCGCCGACGATTAAGTCTGCGTGTATCACTTCGCCGTTCCGGAGCGTGATTAAAGGTGCCTCTGGGTCCTTGAACTTGCTGTCAGCTGTATGTTTGTCAACTTTCCGTCTCAAAATAGTCATCTTACAAACGCAGCGACGTTACTTTGCCGGTGTATTTTTGCTGGTACACCCGGTCCTTGCTCCCGAGTCGCAAGCCACTTTAGACAGTTGTGCAGATCAACGCGATGCGAGAGATACATGGGTGCACCGCCAATCGCTTCTGCAGAGCCCTTACCCCCAAAATCCATCGTCTTTTCCATTGTGAAAGGATCATAGCCGCTTGCGCCCTCGGCAAGCACAAACCCCCAGTCTTGTGGTCGGACGCCCCATGCTAGTAGAATGCGGCTCGCATTGGGCGGGATTGTAATGGCGGCACCGATTTCATTATTCAGAGAAGACTGTTCGTAGAGTCGGACATGATGACCTGCTCGGCGTAGTGATACGGCCGCTGCAAGACCAGCGATGCCCGCACCGGCAATGACGATATGAAGCATTCCTCAGCAGTGCGCACAGTCAACCACGACGGCAGGGTGAGGTTATGTGAACTGCAGGTCTCGATATTGGCAATGTCTATAATAGGATCTTTATTATAGACTCATTCCACAGAGATTCATTCTGGCCTCCTTGGCTATTACTATGGCGGAACCCACCTGACTCCGCGCCGTATTTGTTTGTCGGGGAGTGGGCGGTCCGGGCCTACCGGAGAGATAATATTCCTACATTGATCAGAGTTGGCCGAACTTGTCTGGTGATCAAGTCAGAGCCTCGTTGTCAAAAAGCTGAGCACAGCAATGGGTCTGCTAAGCTAGCCTGCTTATAGTATCATTAGGTAGTAATAGCCCTGTGGTGGCGCATAATAGTTACGGTGATCACAGAGTTCAGCCCCCTCGTATCTCGCAACACATCTAGTTAGCGGACGGGTCAAAACGCTGTAGCCCTATCCTTTGGAAGAGGGTCGGTACAAATGGGTTAGGATACAAAATTCAACCTCGGTGTTCATTGCCATTCGGATCCCCCACATCCCGCCCGGCTCTCGCTGATGATTCAAGAACTTCAAGTTCTCGTGATGAGTCGAGGATGCCGGCTTGCTGCAAGTAATTCCGTTTCAGTTTACTACATTGGCGGTTCTCGCTAGAAATCAGCACAAAAAGTTCCCGTCTGTATGCCAAAAGAAGGGCGGCGAAACAGGTTGGCGCATCAACCGGTAAGCCTCGCTGGTTCGATGGGTTCGGTACCGGTACCCGCCGGGAATCTCATAGCAGCTCTCCGGCGAAGCAGACTTCGTGTGAGTTGGAAAAACTCGGCCGCGGCGGGTTCCCGAAGTAAGTGGACTGAATGCGCAATCTTTTATGCGCATAGCCTGGGACTGCGTCGGTAATCTCTGATCTGCCAAGGAGAAATCGGTGATGGAGACATGTCTAATGAGATATCGGACGAGACTGAAGAGGTATGAAGGTCGACTTGGTCCCCTAGCCAGTACTCTCACGACATCTGACCACTGTTGTGACCACGCCAGCCGTCTACGCCTATTGTAGCATCAGGTCGCAATGTGGTTCAGAAACACGTTTTGCGGAATTCCATCAGCCCAGAGGCTGCTTATAAGCCGTTGTTCAATCTCCGTGAATCACTAGTAGAAGCTTCGCCCATCTCCTGGTCATTTTCTCGATACGACATCAGACCCTTGACAATTGACCGGCTGTCATTAATTGATGGCCAATGGATGATGCACTCGATGCTGATCGGCGAGACGAAGTGTAGATTCCATATCGTGTCTCGAAATTCGTAGATGTCGATTCAAAGTACGTAGGGTAGCAAGGTAGGTAAGTAGAGTAGACTTCGCTGCTGGGTACCTACGCATTCTGACCCACTTAATACTTCACTTCGTGATAATCCAGTCAACCAGTCAGCCAACTCAATTCTTCCCAATCGCTCCAACTGGCTTCCCCAACCACGCTTGAAGAGGAGCCATTCAAGACCTACGAAGATGCCCTGGGGGTATGACATGGCGTGGCTAATAGCCGTGGCTATGCAATGACTATCGCCGGGTCAACAAAGTTCCCCGACGGCAGGCCCAAGTCGTGCGTTTTTCACTGCGACCGTGGTGGTAGATGCCGCCCCGGTAAGTCAAAACAGCCGTTATTCCACAAAAATAAAGGCACGAGGATGTGAATGCCGCGGAAAGATCAAAATCAATTACTTTGACCGTCCTTATTATATAACTTTTACGCATAAAGAGCACAACCATGATCTGGCCGAAGACCCCGCAAGCCTTACCCGAATTCGCCGCCAATCACATATCAATTATGGCCTTGATGCAGTTGAAATTTTCATCACGGAAAAGAGCAAACAAGGCGATTTTTTTGCGCACCAAATCGCCGCTTCGATACACAGAGATCACCCCGAGATTCTTATCAACGGTGCCGACGTTCGAGCCTGGCAGGGCAGGCTCGCTCGCAGTCAAGCCAATTTCTATAACTCGGTAAGGGTCCCTACGGCGTCATTTACATCAATACAACAGAGTAGAGTCAGCCTCCGCAGAGTGTTTACCGTACTGCGCGGTATTCGCCACCCCGTCGGAGCCATCTCCAAGCTCCTCAGCCCAGTTCGTCCTAAATTTCAGCCCTGCGGTCTATAGTTTTGGCTACTGGTATTCACATTCAGCCGGGCCTCTGCCTTGTTTCACGGGACATGCTGCGTTTCACAGCTCCGAATAGATGGCAAACAGCAAGACTCGGACATCAGTACTTTGCAGTTATGACAAAGTGCTTGCAGCACGTCCTTCTGTCTTGTCTCAAGGTTCCATAATTCTTTATTAGCCCTAGTCGCGGTTTTGACACTACTGCCTTGTCACGATATCCCATTACAGTAATCAAGAGTCCAAACGATACACATTACACAGTCTTCACAGTCCAGGTCAAGTGCGTCAGCCAGGCTTTGCCATACGATTTTCAAAGATCGTATTCGCAGGGCTGGCCCTTTTACAGTAATATTTCAAGTCATGCTGTTCAATTGGCTGAGTTGTATACGTTCTTGCGCGGCCAGTCCAGGAGCGGCTAGCACCGCTGATCCGCCATAAGGCTCTGTCGGGCGAGTGCGAGAGCGAGCTTGGTGACGCAATGCTCGAATGCTGAAGTTTATATTGGGACATGTTCATGGTTAATTTGAGATGAGCCTGGCGATCAGTTTTCAGCCGCGTAAAGATCGGATAGGCTGACGACTGCACTGCCATCGCTCCGAAGGTTCAAGGCTTCGCACTCGCTAGATAGCGCTTGTTGCTTGGAGTCAGACGATGGCAATATAAAAGGACCATCAAACACCCGTATTTCTAGATTGTGTTTGATGAAACATCACAATCTGTGCATTCTTACTATCGTTTGCTCAAACTCATCGACATGGCCATCATCACTCGCCCTCCCGCTAATGCCTTTGTCGCGGCCTTGCGCAAGGTGTACAACCCCATCGGGTTCCGCAAGGGTTACAACTTTATCTTGTGGTTTATCTTTTGCGGAGCTCTTTTCGGCTTCTGCCTTGCTCATTTTATGTATCTCGACTTTGATGGCGTGTACTGCTCTCTGAGACCCGGGGGTGCCAACTCTGCTGGCCCAGGCGAGTGCTACTCGTACAAGTCGCACCCGGTCTACCTGATTGGCATCAAGCTGCACCTCTTCACGATTATACCAGGTGCATTTCTGGCCTGCTTCCAATTTGTTCCCTTTATTCGACTCAATTATACCATCGTCCACCGCATCAATGGCTACCTGGTCATACTGCTGAGCGTTCTGGGCACAGTCGGCGCTTTCATGATAGCTCGCATCGCATTCGGGGGCGGCATCGACATCCAGACTATCACGGGTCTCCTTGGAATCATGTTTCTTTGTTCCATCTTCATTGCCTTGTTTAACATCAAGACTCTGCAGCTGGAGCAACACCGTGCATGGATGCTGAGAGCTTGGTTCTACGTACGAAGTTCCTATTTCTTGGTAGAAACTAATATATTATACTAATTCCATATAGGCCGGAAGCATAATAACCTGTCGGCTCATAATGTCCATCAGCGCCAGCATCGTGAGCAATAAAGGGCCGTACTATGCACCTATGAGCTGCGCCAAGCTCTCGACATTCTACACCAACACTACAGCTCTGCAAGCTTTACACCCGGCCTGCTCTGACCTTTCATCGTGGTCTCTTGCTCGAGCCAGCATGTCTGGGGTGGCAGAAAATGCAGCAGCTGCATTGAACATTACATTCGGCTCGGCTCTTTGGTTGGCCCTAGCGATGCACGCCATTGGTGTGGAATTCTATGTGAGTAACTACAGCCATGACCACTCAATGCAAGAAAAAAGCTCATAATCTAAACCAGTTGCACCTTACTCCAGCAGAGGGTGAAAGACTTCGGAATATTTCATACCAGCGACAGTTGGAGGCGGGATATTCAAAGCCAGGACGTGCAGGCCTTACAGCCGACCGTCTTGGTGATGCCAAAGTCTGGGAACCAAATGCAGGCATGGATGGCACTACACAACTATGCAAGTAGGTCTTGAGTAATGAGAGAGGGGTAGTATTCTTTCCGTAATAGATTGATCTTTTGTAACTATTTTCTGAGAAAAAAATCATGACCCCAAAGTTTTGCGCTTGAATGCCATTCCTGTTTTCGTACTGGCACGACTTGCGAGCAACACATAAATGGTACCAAATATTAGAGCAGGTTCATGTCAAATATAGGCATTGTGCGCCTTCCAGAATGGGGTCCCGGGACCGGAGGGGGGGGCAATGGTTCGTAAGATTCGAGCTCCGCGCGGCGAGCTCCGGGGCTGGGCTGCCGTTGGGGAGCCGCGGGCCACTCTTAGTGCGTGCTTAATTATCAACTTATCAGGTCCCGTGGGGGATGGCGGGGAACTTGTGTCCGCACCTTGACATAAACTCGTTGCGCTGCGTTTGCCATTGTATAGAAATCCAAATAGGCCAATATGCCTCTAACTAGCCATTCCGTCTTCCAAGAGCCCGCGCGGGACATGTATAGATTCGCGTCCCGCCGCAGCGTCGTTCACAGTACCGAGGGTATAGTGAGCTGCTCGCAGCCTCTAGCCGCCAAGTGCGGACTCGACATCTTGCGCGCTGGAGGAAATGCTGCTGTACGTTGACAGAATCTATCCGAGCCAATTCACACATACAATTATACTGATAATATCCAGGATGCAGCTGTTGCTGTCGGTACGTCACCACAGCCAGAGACTCTCAAGGACCATAACTGACTAACATATGCAAGCTGCCGGTCTGAACCTCACGGAGCCCTGCTCTACTGGTATCGGCGGCGACATGTTCATCCTCTTCTGGGACGCCAAAGCCAAGCAGGTCAAGGCCATGAACGGCTCGGGCCGCTCAGGCGTCCAGTACACGCTCGACCACGTCCGTGGTAAGCTGGGCCTCCAGGACGGTGACGTGGGAGGTATTCCCAAGCAAAGCCCGTTCTCCATCACCGTGCCCGGCGCCGCGGCCGGCTGGGTTGACACGGTCGAAAAGTTTGGAAGCGGCAAGCTCAATCTTGCGCGAATTCTGGCACCGGCAATTGCGCTCGGCGAAAAGGGCTTTCCCGTTTCTGAAGACGCCGCGTACAGCGTCCGTACAACTCTGATACCGCCACGCATTTTAAATTCTCACCTTGGCTAATTTTGAATCGCAGTGGATGGCCTCGGAGAAGCAAATCCGCAATGCCTCTCCCAACTTTGCCGAGATGCTCAAAAAGGACCCCTCGGCGGAGGCAGGCGTGCGCGCCCCGCGTCCGGGAGAAATCATGAAGAACCCGACGCTGGCGCAGACGTTCCGCACCCTTGCCACAGAAGGTAAAGCCGGGTTCTACAGCGGCCGCATCGGCGAGGCACTCGTCAAGGTGGTGCGGGATCTCGGCGGCGATTTGACGCTGGATGACCTCCAGCACCATCTCGACACGGGCAGCGAGCCCGTGGAGCCCATCTCGCTCAAGTTCCGCGGGCAGGGCCAGGACGCCGACGCGGGCATCGAGCTGTGGGAGCACCCGCCCAACGGCCAGGGTATCGTCGCGCTCATGGCGCTGGGCATCATCCAGGAGCTGGAGAAGCAAGGCAAGATCCCGGCGTTTGAGCCCAAAGACTTCAACACTGCGCCGTACCTGCACGCCATCATCGAAGCGCTGCGCATCAGCTTCGCTGACGGCAGCTGGTTCGTCGCGGACCCAAACGTCAGCAAGGTGCCGGCAAAGGAGCTCATTTCCGAGGCGTACCTTGCCGAGCGAGCCAAGCTCTTCGACCCGGCCAAGGCGCTTGACACGGTCGACCACGGCGACCCGTCATCTGCGTCCCCCGCGCTGCGCAGCAGCGACACGGTGTACTTTACCGTCGCCGACTCGGAGGGCAACGCGGCATCCTTTATCAACTCCAACTACGCCGGATTCGGCACGGCCGTGATTCCTGCCGGCTGCGGCTTCACGCTGCAGAACCGCGGCGCCAACTTTTCCCTGACGCCGGGCCACCCCAACGCGCTGGCGCCGCGCAAGCGTCCGTACCACACCATCATCCCGGCGCTGGCGACCAACATCAAGGACAGCTCGCTGCACTCGGCGTTTGGCGTCATGGGCGCCTTTATGCAGCCGCAGGGCCACGTGCAGGTGCTGCTGGGCCAGGTGGTCGGGCGCCTAACGCCGCAGCAGGCGCTGGACGCGCCGCGCATCTGCATCGGCGCCGGCTACGACCAGCCGGGCAACGCGACGGGGTGGACGGTGAGCGTCGAGGAGGGCATGCCGGCAGAGACGATTGAGGGGCTGAAGAAGCTCGGACACAACGTGAGCGTGGTCACTGGATCTGGCCGCTCGCTGTTTGGGCGCGGTCAGATTATCCGCTACGTGGTTGATCCAGTAGACAATACACCCATCTGGTCTGCGGGTAGTGATCCTCGCGCAGACGGCGGCGCGTATCCCCTATAATGATTTTCCACGGACTTGAAACGAGACTAGAGTATATAGAATGGCGAATCTTCTTTCTGTAGACATTATATATTCCTAGTCTCGCAATCAGCGGCGCCCGTATTGTACAAATATAGTCGTTTATTTTACATCCCGCCTTCCTAAATCTTCAACCAAACCTCTATAGTATAGCTTCGTTTGTTCGATTTTCGTTACTCTGGGGTTTACTCCTCGCCTTCGACAACCAGCTTCTTCTCTTCCAGCATCTTGGCCAAGTCGCCGTTCTTGTGCATCGACACCAAGATGTCGCAGCCGCCCACAAACTCCTTTTCAATATACAGCTGGGGAATCGTCGGCCAGTCCGAGTACTCCTTGATGCCCTCGCGCAGCTCCGAGTCCTCCAGCACATTGAAAGCGGCAAACTTCTCGGGGTTGACGCCCTGCACGCCGAGGATTTGGATGGCGGCGCGCGAGAAGCCGCACTGGGGCGTCTCGGGCGTGCCCTTCATGAAGAGCACCACGGGCGCAGAGCCGACCGCCTCGTCAATGGCGGCGCGCGTCTTGTCGGACAGCAGGCGGACCTGCATCGGCGTGAGGAACTTGGGGGCGGCCGCTGGGCTGAAGCGGCCGAGGGGCGCGGCGCCCGCGCGCATAGCCGGTCGGGCGGCCTGGCGGGTGATGTTCTGCAAGAGAGAAAAAGGTCAATGAGAGGAGTCCTGTGGCTGTCGAATCAATGTGTAGTGCATACCAGAGCTACTGAGCGGGCAAACATGGTGTCTGTGTGTTTGTGCGGAAAGTGGCAGTGATGAAATCGGGGAGCTTTGCGCAGAAAAGTTACAGGTCAATGGCGTAGTGCCGACCGGAGCCGCTGACCAATCAGCGCTGTGGTGACTGGCGCATTTGTGTAAGCCAGTGAAGCGGCCTAACAGGGTTATAACTGGGGTAATTTTGTATAATCAATTTTTTTTCGTAAAAAGATACTTTAATTTTGATCATGTCGTCAATATTGTTGGCCACGTGGGCGGAATTGCCACTAATCGTCGAAGACGGTCTGCCCATGCGAGGTGCGAGAGGAGCGTCACGAGATGAATCCCCCAACAGGATGTTCGGGCCAGTGCCGTCGAAAATCGTTTTGAATATTTTATTTCTAGACATGTAGCTATATCGTGTGTTGAACATCCGTATGCCCAGCATTCTTCTTGTAGGATTCTTCTCTCTTTTTCTCCCCAGGTTCTAGCTAGCCATCTGTCTACTTGAATAACGTAAGAGTAGCTAAAAGACACACTCGTGATAAAAAACAAGGAAGTCATGAGAAATTCGCAGGAAGACAATAGACATCACAACAGCATATACAAAGCATTTGGTCAATACAAGGGTCATAAACTTTGTCTGGTCTGTCAGAGACCCTCTCAGAGAACACCCTTTGCACTCTCAGGTCACTTACACCCCAGGATGGACAAGCTTCCCAGTTGCCAGCTGCCAGCTTCTGTTTGCTTCGGTGCCCATTGTCTGTCCACACTACGCTCTCTTTTTCCCATTGAGGCACAAATTTTAAAAACCTTGACCATGACTTCCATCGTCAACGAGAGCTCCCAAAATGCATTCCTGTCTCTACGAGCCAGGTTGCGCACCCCCGAGGGCTCATCGCAGCCATTCTCCGGACGGGTGGGCACGGCCGCGCACCTAGACGGATCAAAAATCCAGGAGCGTCTGCAGCGCGAGCTCTGCAAAGTCTTGGCCGCGCATCTCGCTCCGGATAAGCAAAAAGACGCCAGCTCGACAAGCGAAAACTATGCGTTGCTGGAAAAGCTTGCCAGTATCTAGGCATCAGCTCGTATGAGAAGCAAAAAGAATGCATCGACTAACAGGACGAACTAGACTCCCTCGCCGCAACGGGATCGAACCTGCACCAGCAGAGCACATCCGAAATACAAAGCGCCAGCGAAGAGATACAGAGCAAGATTGATGATTACAAGTACGAGTCACTCGCGGCGCTTGCTCAGAGCACCAAGCTGTACCAGATCCTTGCGCAGCCGCTTGCAGAGATGACAGGACCTGGCGCAGACGGGCAAGAAGATACCATCGCCGAGCAAATTGCTCTTCTCCGTGATGACTTTGCAAGTGCCGATGCAAGAATCGAGCTTCTCCACGAGCAGTGGCAGTCGTGTGTGCGCGCAGAGCAAGACGCGTGGAAGCGGCTGACGGATGACGAGGACGAGCCCCGACAAGAGCTGGATCTGCAGGACTTGGTGGACGCTACCGAAGGGATCATGGACACTGGAGAAACAGAGATCAAGAATATCGAATCCGTAAGTTGTGGCAACAGAGTCGAGTATATGACTGTGCTGACCTCGTCAGGAATATGCCGAGTATATCCAGATCGAGAGCCTCAAGGTGATGCAAACGCTCATGGAGGGCTAAGCCATTCAGAGCCTCTTTGAGAGAAGGAAGCAGAGGCACCTCTAAAAAAGAGAGACAGGACTGGTCTTTATCGTTTTTTAATTCTTGCTATATACGTTTAGCTGTATCATGCGTCGTTCTCCCGTCAGCCTGTCTAGCAGCAACATGATGTATCCCAGTCCAAAAACTCCAGCCGATGTAGGCTATGATATAAACCTCTAGCAGAGCAAAAAGTTTTCTAATTGCAAAATGAAAAAAAAAAAAAAAAATGGAAAAGCGTTTCCCGAGTCCTTTTGACAGCAAAGGCGAGTCAATGAATTTACTGCTGAGCCTTCTCGTTGACGACGACACCCCACTCGTGGGCGACGTTGCCGTACATGATATCACCGATCCAGTTCTTGATCTTGGTGGTGATTTCACCAGCCTTGCCCTCGGGGCCCATGGGAATGTCAATGTCCTTGCCGCGGTGGTGGATCCGGGACACGGGGCAGATGAAGTAGGCTGTGCCGGCAGCAAAGGACTCGAGGATGCGGCCCTCGGCGTCGGCCTCGAGCAGCTCGTCAATGGTGTACTTGCGCTCGGTGACGATAATCTCGCCAGCAAGACGCTTGCGGGCCAGCTCGACAGCAGAACGGCGAGTGACGCCGTCAAGAATCAGCTTGTCGTCGAGAGGCGCGGTGATGAGCTCCGTCTTGCCGTCCTTGCGCTTCCAGAGAACAAAGAAGTTGGAGGCGCCAGCCTCGGTGCACTCGCCATTGGCACCGTAGAGCCATAGAATCTGATGGTAGCCGCGACGGCGGGCATCGGCAGTGGCGAGTAGCGAGGGGCCGTAGTTGGCACCGACCTTGGCGTAGCCAAAGCCGCCGACCCAGGCGCGGACCATGTCCTCGGGGGAAGTGTGCAGGCGCATGCCGCCGGGAGGGCTGTCCATTCGCGGCATGTAGGTGACGATGATGTAGAGCATGGCCTCCTTGGGGGCCTGGACGCCGAGCTGGGACTGGGTGCCGATGAGGGTCGGGCGGAGGTAGAGGAAGTTGCCAGGCTTATCGCGGGGCAGCCAGCGGGGGCCGTCGACCTCGAGGAGCGCGAGGATCAGCTTCTCAAGCTCGGCAGGGGGAAAGGTCGGCAGAGAGATGCGGCCGGCGGACATGTTCATGCGGGCGCAATTGCGGTCGGGGCGGAAGACGCGCAGGCCGCCGTCGTAGCCGCGAAAGACCTTGAGACCCTCGAAGCACTCGGTGGCGTAGTGCAGGCAGGACGCGGTGGGCATGAGGCTGAGGGGTCCGTAGGGCTTTAGCTCGGGGGCGGACCAGCCCTTGGTGGCAGACCAGTTGGCAAGGACCATGTGGTCGGTGGCAATGGTCTCGTTGCCGGCATTGGCGACAGCCTCGTCGGGGACCTCGCGGGGGTTCTTGGTGTAGGTGTAGGTGAGCTTGGAGGCGTCGAGCTGGGCGACGGCGGGCGTCTGCTCGGCGGCGACTTCCTTGCGCTCAACGGCAGCGGCCGTGAGGTTGACGTCCTGTGCCTTGACGGCGGAGGGAGACATTGTTGGTTGCGGTCTCGGGGAGTTGGTGTTGACCGTGGATTGAATCGACGAGGTGATGGATTTGATTGAATTGAACGATCTGAATTCGAAAGAGGAATTGGGCAAAGTGGAATCAAAGAGAAAGAGTATGTAGGAGAGAAGAAAAAGAAGCGAGAGAGAAGAGAAGAGGAGGCGCAGGGTTATTAGGTTCTTTAGTCAAGACAAGAGTCAATGGGTGGGTGGTTGGGTGGATATTGGCGGGTTGGCGGGCACCGACCACGGACGGGGCCTTGGGGGTGACAGGAATTGGAAAAAAAATCTGGGCGGATAAGCCGGGGTACAAAAGTAATCTCCACTTGGATATGTCGCGGCTTAAAGAGGAAATGCAAGATTGCGGATAGTTTGATTCGGGTTATCCGTATAGAAAGAGGGCACTCTAGCTAGTTATTTGAATGCTAGCGAATATTGCGCCGTCCGTTGCAATTGTGCAATCGCGGTACAAAGGAGAAGACGAGGAAGATCAAGAGACACCAAACGCGGGGTACGCCCGTCGTATGTATGGAGTCTATTATACTTGGGGAAGCGACTCCTCACTACTCCGTACAAGACATTTGTTATTAATGCGTGGACAATGGCTGTTGGCACCCGCATTCGTCTAGAAAGACAAGACAAAGGGCGGTAGCGGAATGACGCACGCAGGAAGGAGAGACTGAGTTGAGTGTGCATGGCCATGTGAGCTGGGCGCCACAACGTAACAAGTTGGGGGAGGACAAATAACATGGTTCAGTGCTTTTTGGCGGCAAATGTGATATTACGCCCGGGTTCCTCATGCTTGTTTCTAGGGGGTGAAAAAAAAGGGCCACATGACGCGAAATTCGAATGGCTTGAGCCGAACCTTATGGGATACAAGAAACTTGTGCGGGAGTAGAGTGGCCCGCCGCTGCCCGCGCGCCCGTAAAGCCGCCCCGCGCGCCAGGCCTGGAGCCGCTCCGGCCCGGTGCATGTTGACGGAGGACACGGGTTGTACATTGAAATATAAATGAAACGGCAATACTGTGTACGTCTGACCAGGAAAACTGAAATTAAACAAAAATGAAGCAATTGGGGGTTCTTGAGGTTCTTGAGCCTCTCTCCTGAATGCAGCGCAGCAACTTTTGAAAAATATTTCGCCGCTCGCAGCCTAGGGTGGGCGCCCTTACTCGGCGCGCGGCGTGCGGAATGCACCCGGGCTCCTCATCGGGCGGGCTTTTGCGCGTCCGAGGGCCTCCCTGCTGTGCTTAGCTGTGCTGTGTTGTACCTGTTGCCTGTGCCGTGCGATGTCGCACTGCGCGCCCTCCCCCGCATATCCATCCTTTGCTGTACTCATTAGCAAGTGCCTCTGTTTTTCCTCAATTGTTTCAAGATAATCATCACCAGCTCTTGCCGAATTTGACTTTGAATATTGGCATTCTACGCCCTAACTTGCAAAACACCGAGGCTAGCTTCTCCCCCCACCAGCGTGACGATACGCCCTAATGAGGTGGGCGGAACCAAAGGCGCCAGCGACACGCCGGGGATAGCCGAGCTCGTCATCAACAACACCACCACCACTTGTTTTTTGAACCGAGATATGACGAATCTCCCACATGTCACCGATTCATACTGTTTCACCAAGGCACTTTTGGCAGCACCAACATTCATCGCCCACTACCCATATTAGCACCACACCTCCACTACTCTGTCACCATCCTCGCTTCGCTCGTCATTTTCAGAGTGCGTCGCGAAGCTGAATTATACTTTGCAAATTCGCATCAGAGACTGGAATCAACAACGGTCTGCTTTCCGCTCGCCTTCATTCTTCTCACTCGCCTTCTCTTTTCTCGCTTCGCTCCGACTTGCAGCAGTGGGGCTTAGATACTCCAAACTTGCCAGCGGAGACGGAAAAATAGCGACTCACGACGACACTTAAAATCGACACCATTACGACTCAAGACATTTCGAATCAACCACTTTTCATTCAGCCATCTACACAACCCCCGCGCTGCTTTATACAAAGTTGACGTTGCCAAAGTACTTGGAAATGTGAAAGCTCGCCTTGTCCGGCACGCTCCACGCACCCAGGCCCTGCTCCGGGTACGACTCCGGGCTCACCACGGTCCTGAAAAAGTTCATCCGCCACTTGGTCCCCTTGGCCTTGCCCTTGTCCACGTTGAACAGTCCCAGCGGGATCTTGACCGCGCTCACCCACGTCTCCTTGGCCTTGTCGAGCGTCGTCACCGCCGAGAAGCCGTCCGCCGCCGGGTCCGAGATGAAGGCGTGGTCAAATGGCGTCCCCTCGGCCCGCTCCTTGGACGGGTTGTAGACAAACGCCTGGTACGTGACGTTGTTGGGATTCACCTCGAACTCGAGGTACGTCTGCGGGTCGTCGGTGCCCTTGTAGACAAAAGCCTCCATCACCTCGTACTCCCAAATGTCCCCATTGGTGCCCTGCTTCGGGTCAAAGTAAAAGTTGGTCTCGTTGCGCGCCGTAAACGTAATCGCCAGCTCCGTGTCCGTGTAGCACAGATCGACCTGCGTTGCCGGGAACTCCTTGCGGTCCGGCACGCTCTTGTCGAAGCGCACCGTGCCGACGGCGGGGCATGCTGGGACATTGACGCTGGGCACCTTGCACTTGTTGCTGGCAGAGGCCAGGCTGGCGGCGGCAGCGGCAGCGGCGACGACTGAGCTGCGCATCTTGGTTGTTTCGGATGGATCGCGGTGGTGTCTGGGGAATGGCTACAGAGAAGCACATTCGACAATATGGCGGCCCCGACTGCGCTATTTGTACATTTTCAGCTGACCCATATCAACACGGGGAACCCCAGTGTCCCTGCAGACTACATATCGGGAAGTTGCATCGAAAAGCCACTTAATAGTAGCTTGGGGAAACCTCTAGCTTGCTATCGCGTGGTTTGCTCATTCGGCCGGGATCCTTAATGGGAAGTGTGGCGCGCCTAAAATGTGACGTTGCCCCTAACCAACTGGGGCTGCTGGAGTCTTGTAAGCACAAAGTAGCTTACGCTTGCTGTGCTAGCCTCGGCGGGAGGAACGAACGGTTAACCGCAAGTGAAATGCACTTGGAATTAAAAGTTCACCAAGCAGCCAAGCCACAGTGCCTTTTGTACGAAACGTTGGAGAGGAATCTCGTCGCTTTGTCAGCCCACGAGTTGTACGAGTTGATATGAAGAAAGGCAGCGCAAGCTAGTCACGTCAGTCCCTCTCGTATGAAGCTACCAGCAAAAATAATCATATTTTCATGCAGACTGACGCCATTACACCTGCAAATATTGATTAGTCCCAGGTACGCCTGGCGTCCTCCAGCGGCAGCCCGACGCTACGAAAATGCAACTCGAACTCTCGACTATCAATGATAAGCAATATCACGGGAGTGACGGCACACTTGGCGACTAGCAAGGTTTGGCCTGCGCCGAACTTCTAGCGGCAACTAGTCGTATCTGAAGGGCTCGGTCGCAGGAAGGCTTGTTTGCTCGGTCAAATCGCTTTTACAGACGCGCCGGCCCAAGTCTCCGTCCGGCGCTGGCGGAAGGGCGCTTGGGGCACTAAACCGCCGGTGCGTGTTTCCCACGAGGCGAACTTTGTCTTCACCGACGAAAATGTGTGCAAGGGTGGCAGTGGGCCTCTACGAGTCTCTAGAGGTATATAGAGAGGTTGGTGACCACCAATCAAGTTGTTTGCTGTCAGCATCGTTGTCGCAATCATTTGTCTTTGCCTCTTCTCCATGGCGGTAGCCTGACAGAACGTCGTTGTGGTTCGGTATCTAGCACAATTACGCTTAATCTCGGTAGGTAGCAGCATGGAGGTGCGTTTTCACAGTCTTCGGTGGCTCAACGGTGACTCGAGTCACTAGAGCTTCATTTCGGTCGGCACAAGCAAGCAGGCAATACTCAACCACCGCACCCGGCCGGGTTAGGAGACAATGTACGCGCTGGTTAATATCCGAGTACGAGCATATACCTTTAATGCATATATTCGTGGACAAGGAAGTACTTGCGCTCTCAGATTGACGCTCCACTCCATCTGAGTTGAACCAAGCCAAGCCCTTGGGGCATTGCTCGGCCGGCATGCTCGGCTTTCGGGCAAGAAAGCTTGTCGTCCTTGTAACTCGGGAAGGTGGAGGCCGCTGTTCAGCTGCAGTCATCAATATCGAGTAGAACATGAAAAGTTTGATGACGTTGATGTAGCAGACGAAACCCTATTGCAGTGCATCATGTGTCAGGCCAGGCTCAGGGCGCTGTTGCATAGGTAGCCACAACAGTAGATTGAGCATGGCACTGCCAAAGCTTCGGGGATGCTGGTCATGCGTGGTACAGCCGTTCGTCGGAAAGCGTGGTGTATTGTCTTCAGGGCGTATATGAGTTACTGCAGGCGACATCAGTAGTCGCGATAGCCGAGCTGCCGCATTGTCAGACACCGTCATGCCGACGGCGATTTTGCTTTCCCTACACGTTTCACACAATGGCTGGAAGAGGCACCATGCGGCGCGACGAAGGAACCAGGTGATGTTCAATACGAACTGTGATGAGACGTGGCTGAGCCAAATGAAACTGTGAGCTCTTCGACGCTGTGATAACAGTGCAGCGAGAGGCAACAGGCCGGTGACACTGATTTAACCAAAATGGTCCAGTGAATGGGGGTAATAATTGTCCGTCTCATCGGCAAGGTTGTCTGAAGAGCATCACATGCCATTATTAGCGCTATAGCACAAACACAGACATCCACTCGAAAACTAGTGTCCCCTTTCACATGGACCACTTAAAGACATCCCATCTTGTGTGCTTGCCCCCGAAGGAAAAAAAAACAATAAAGTCTAATAAAGTTCAAACAACAAATCCCAGTAGCCTGGCTGACGGCACGTAGCGTTGGCGTCGAAGCGATAGGGCAGCACTCACTAATGTTAGGGGCATCACCGCTGGTCAGTGAGCCCGACGTTTTCAGATTGCGAATTTAATCGTGATATCTTGCGTCACTCTAACCTGTGTCAAAAGTGAAGGAGTGACGTACTCCGTACAGAGTACAGACGAAGCGTAGGTGCTTCAAAAGGAGTGCCATCGAGCCATGTGTCTAAATATGGGATTGCGAGACATGGACAGCTGAGATTGAGGCACAGCACAGCCTCAGCCACAGAGAGACCAACCAGGTCCCTTGCAGGCAGTTGTGGCAGTGCCTGGAAACAACAAAAAAAAAGGCGTCGAGGCGTCGCAGGCGTCGAGGGTGCCTGGCACACCTGGCCGCGCCTGGCAACGCCGACAAGCCCTGAAGAGAGGCTGTAAACAGTGCATGATCTTACCTTCCATGGCCTGGCCGTGCCTGGGTCGGTACTTAGGTACGGCGGGCACAGGGGAGGGGGCTAATAAACAGTCAACGCCCACTAAAGAAGCGCCGCGGGAGGCCTGGGGAAAGATTACGGTGCCTGAAGCGTGCGGTTGGTAGTGCGGGTGTTATACCTTATCTACCGTACCAAAGTAGCTGATGAAAACTCGTTGGCCGAGCTCGTCGTAGCTTCTAGCTTAAATCCAGAGACCAGAAGAAAAGAGGCAAAAGTAAGTAGAACAGAAAAAGGACCAGAGACAGTGTTCGAGATAGAGACAGGCCCAGACCGGCAGAGATTGGCAGGCCTAACTTGGAGCCAACCAGCCCAGGCTATTGTACCTTGACTTTGCACTTCTCGGTGCTTTTTGCTAGGTATTTATTAGCAGGTACCTCAGCTGGTGCAGTCAAGCCACCCATCTATCTTGTACCTAGCAACTCCGCCTGCCAGCCAACCCAGCTCCCAGCATCGTCCTTCTCCTCTCCACCCATCACAAACCCCCTTCTGACGTTCGCCTTTCGCTCCTCCATCCACCAACTGCCATCCTCCACCACCCCCAAATCGTGCATCTCATCTGCTCTCCTTGCCATCTTTCTCTTCCATATTCTTTCTGCTCAACTTCATTCTCACATCCATCCAAATACACACCATGGCCGAAATCCGCCGAAAGCTCGTCATCGTCGGCGACGGTGCCTGTGGCAAAACCTGTCTGTTGATGTTAGTATCACTAGTCGCCTCGTCTTCTCCGCCTGCTACCGACACGCAACCTCCCAACCACATCTGCGACCTCTTCGCTATTCCTATCAATCTCCTGCTAACCCTTACTCTCCAGCGTCTTCTCCAAGGGCACTTTCCCCGAGGTAAGCTCCTTGACTACCTTGACTCTCCCCTATTCTCAAAGGCCTTCCGCGCGTCGCCGACGTCGCCATCCTCACCCGCCTGCCTACCCCCGACCGCCACCGACAACGGTGTGCATAACGACACATCAGCCCAAACCCCCAAACATTGTCGACACGCGCCCCTGCACTGCTCGAACCGCCCTTACAAGATACTCTCGCTCACACTCGTCATTTGTTTGAAAAATCTCATCGCTAACTCGACTTTCTTCACCTCTCCCAGGTCTACGTCCCCACCGTCTTCGAGAACTATGTCGCCGACGTCGAGGTCGACGGCAAGCATGTTGAGCTGGCCCTTTGGGATACCGCTGGCCAAGAGGACTACGATCGTCTCCGTCCCCTCTCATACCCCGACTCTCACGTTATTCTGATTTGCTTCGCCATCGACTCCCCCGACTCTCTCGACAACGTCCAGGAGAAGGTACAGTTTTATACCCACAGTCCCGGCTCTAAAGCCGCTACACTCGTGAGCTTTCAGCTAACTGCTGCCTCATCATCATAGTGGATCTCCGAAGTCCTTCACTTTTGCCAGGGTCTTCCCATCATCCTCGTCGGATGCAAGAAGGATCTCCGCTACGACCAAAAGGTCACAAATGAGCTGGCCAAAACGAGCCAGAAGCCTGTCAGCCCCGAAGAGGTATGCTAAACTTCCTACTCTTCTGCCCTTTTCTGGTTCTTTGCGCGATTCCATATGCGGTGCATTGGCTCGACGCTACGGGGTAGACGCCTCGTGATCATGCCGTGGCTCGTCTGCACTTCCTGGCCGACTGCCGCGCTTGCCTAGCAAGTGCTTACATCCATCGACTAACACATTTAATAGGGTGAAGAGATTCGCAAGAAGATTGGTGCGTACAAGTACCTCGAGTGCTCCGCCAAGACCAACGAGGGTGTCCACGAGGTTTTCGAACACGCCACCCGTGCTGCTCTGCTTTCGCGCAGTAGCCGCACCAAGCACAAGAAGTGCCGCATCCTGTAAAAAGCCAATCGTGCGAGCACTATGACAACGTCTACGGCCGAGGATCTCATTTCCAAGTTAGCCTCTCGGGCTCAGGCCGATCCCGCGTTGCAGATTTTTAAACAATCCTTGCAACTCTGCCCAGCAGTGCGACCCGTCTCGGTTGCTGGATTGGGGGAAGAAAGGCGGCGGTTCGGATCAGACAGACTGCCAAGCCGTCTACACAGGTTGTCGTATTTTGGAGTTTTTAGATGTCACCCGGCTTGTACCTTGGCTTTGATTTGACGCGCGGAATTGCAGATGTGGAATAAGCGGAGGAGCTGCTAGAAGGGCCATAATTAATACGTCTTTGATTTGTTATCTCTTGGTCGAGCAGGGTTATGTGCCTGGTTTTGCTGCTGCTGCAAGCCGAGACTGGCTCGCCCTCTGGCACTTCCGTTGGCGGGCATGACGATGGCCAGGCTGGCTTGCGGTATGTATAGGGGGCCACGGAGGGCCGGTTTCTTTTACATTTGTTCTATGTGTGCGTGTGCGCTTGTTTTGTGCAGAGATTGTCTGATAGTGGATGCATGGAGCAGCAAAGAGAAAGAAAGAGACACGCCGACGTGGAGGATTAAGCGTTGCGTGCAATTGTGCTGAACATGAGACGCAGAGCTCCATGAACCGGTGCTTGTCACAATATAGATCTCTTACATTTCTACGATGCAGTCTCGTGTAGTCCAAGTTCGACAGGTGCATGTCCGTTTAATAGTGGAAGGCGGTGTAAAGCATTATTTCGTCTTGGGCCAAGAACAACTATTTCTTGTAGATCCGAGAGCCATCTGAGCAGTCTCTCCACGCATCATAAACTCCCTTTCCCCATGCTAAGCTCATCATCATTGTCGTCGTCGTATCATCATGGCTGCTAATCTACATCAGCTCATTCTCTCCCCTCTAAAGGTGATGAGTCTCTGGCAAGACTGTGGCACCATTCATTCGATGTGTTTCTTTCTCGTTGGACACGATAAATTGAATGCCGCTTTCAACTTCTTAGTTGGGGCAAGTCTGTTCAGGTTTCCGTATCAGCATGGAGTTCTTGAAGACCGGCGAGGAGGGGAGAAGAATATGTACGTACAGCGCCACAGCTGCTGCAAGTCTTGCCGCCGTCGCCGATGGCGGAGCTGCACTTGGGGCAGGTGGTGTGGTTGTAGTTGACGAGCATTTTTGCAGTGTTTGTGTGTTTTCTTGGTTCCGTGTTTTTGCTTTTGTAGTCTTGAATTTCCGTTGCGAGTTTTGAGCCGAACGAATGTAAAAAGGGGAAAAACAAGGCGAGATATGGTGTCACCCCTCTCGCGACAGATAAGGTGCCCTTTTCTTGGTCAGCTGCAAAGCCTGAGCGGGGGAGAGGGGGGGCATTTCCCGACGCGCTGGCCTCCTTGTGCAGCAAAGCAACGGAACGGAAAAAACAAGGATGCCCGGACTACAAGGATGTCCGTACACAAAGAGAGGGCAGAGAAGGAAGAGGCGGAGAGGAAGTAATGTTCTTTTGGGAATAGCGCTTCTGATTGGCCTCAAGGAGGGGGATGATAATATGTTTGTATTTCGGTGGCTGCGATTCGTTCAATAGGTGGCGGCCCCTTGTGATAGATGCGGGGTATAGTATCGCCAGGGAGGAGCTTATCACAAACGGCATTTACGATTGTGATTAGGAACTAATCTGCAGTCAGATCTCTTTGTGTATCTGTGTTTTCTGTCTAGGTGTGGCCACCACTATGTCCTTGCAGTAGTTAGAACATCATGCTTCGAGCGCTCGTATGATAAATTCTGTCGAGTTCCTGTCTGAAATACATGATAAAGAATCAACTCCCAACGTATGCCACATATCTATACAACGCTACAACGCTGAGGTGCCCATGCCACCCTTCCTCTTCGTGTGTGTGTTTTATCTTTTACAAGTTTCGAGCAGCTATGAAATGCCCATCTATGCCTTTTCCAGCCTCAGTCTCCAAGTAATGCCACCGCCCAAGTATATATACAAAATTTAAATAGGAGGCATAGAATCGTACACGCTCGTGCTATTGGCATTTCGCCGGTCCGTCCGTGTCTACAACTTGTCAGCTTTCTACTTGTCGAGTTCCATTACAGGGTGTCTGGCTTACTGTTGATCAACTTTTCCACCGCCTGAATGACGGAAATGGCCATGACCAGCCCTCCAAAAACGACAATCGTGCCCGCAAGGTACGTGCGCCAGCTCCGCGTCGTAAGCTTCATGTAGCACATGGGCGGCAAGATGTACGCCATGGCGACGGCGCTAGTTGCGCCAACCAGCTCAAAGACGGCGCCGAGGTCGCACGTCACTAGGCTCAGAAACGTGGCCGACGCGACGAGCCCTGTGCTGAGAACTAGGTGCCGGCGGAGGTTGAAGGGCTCATCCGGCCACCAGTACGTCAGCATCACCTCGCGGCACACAAACGCCTCGAGGGGCAGCGTCGTCAACATGTTGAGGCCAAAGCAGAGCCGCGCGACGTTGACCATGATGTTGTCTGAAGGAAAGTTATTGAGGACGTTGCCGAGCGTCTTGTCACCAAAGACTAAGAAGCCACCGAGGGCCATGACCAGGCACGCGAGCATGGACACGCCGGTCGAGTAGTGCGTTACGCGGGAAAAGTTGTCAATGGTGGGTGTGCGCAGCGAGCCATAGATGAGCAGGGAGTTGTGGTGGCAGACAAATGCTAGACTCCATATTAGCAACAGAAGAAGGGCAAAACGCACGCTGCACAAGCTTGATGTAAACTTACCAAAAGAAATCACGCCAATGGCTTGGAAGATGCCCGTGTTCAGTGTTAGGAGCGGCAGGCTAAACTCGCCCTTTGCCTCGGACGGCACCAGCAGGCCCTGCGTCAGCACCGTGACCACAATCACCAACATGCCCACCAAGGCGAACGTGCTCGCCTTGGCCAGTTTCGAAATATCCCTGTACAGCGTGAGCGGGTAGCTGATGCCCATCACAAATACCGCAATCGCGACCCTCCGATCCGTCAGGAGCCCGATTACCGGCACGTCGGGCAGGCCCGGCCACACCGCCAGCAGCACGTGCGGGATTGTGTCCCCGACAATGACACCAAATGCTACCATGCCGCCAAACGCAAACACCCACTGCGCGAGAGAGATGGCAATGAGCCCCGCACGGCCGAAGCAGTGCTCGACGGTGCCTTGAAAGCTGCTCGTGCCGCTGAGCTTGCTGTTGATAACGATGAGGCAGATGGTCCAGTCAACGACCGCCGTCAGCCCGACGAGTAGCAGCGTACCCGCGAGCAGGCCCGCCTGGCGGATCGCGTACGGCTGCCCGATGATGCCGGCGCCGATGATGGAGTTGGCCATGTTCATGAACGCGGACTGCAAGCCCGATTTGGGACGGCGCAGCTGCCGCGCCACCACGTCACCGGCGTCGTCATTCTCGTCGTCGAGGTCGTTTGCGAGGGCGACAGATGGCGCCTCGAGGCTCGTCAGCAGCGGCATGCGGTGGTCGTCGTGGTCATCGCGGAGCGGATCTTCGAGGTCGAGCATCCCTCGCGCGGCGTGGTCGACATTGTCGAGGCTATCGCTGGATAGTCGCGAGGATGCGGTGCTCATACGCACCACCTCGGGGATATCGTTGAAGCGCACGCGTGCCGGTGTTCGGATCGGCGGCGCACCGCCGCTGCCGTTGGGTAGCGAGGCCACCTCCTTGTCATTGTCGTCATCGTGGCCGTAGTCGCCGCCCGCCAACAAGCCCTGGCGGTCCTCACCGCCGTTCCAATCATCGCCACCGGCGCCGGGGTCTCCTCCGTGCTTGTCCTGCATCATTGTAATCGTAGTCGTGTCGTCGCTGGCGCTGTCATTTTATGGCTTATACCGAGGTATTAAACAGGTGGCGGAATGGAGAATACGGTTATCGAAGAGGGAGCAATGGCCGCGTGTGGATAGTCCAGCTTTCCAGAATATACTTTGAGGAATTATGAAGAAGCGTCGGGATAAGCGACAGATTCTTTCGTGGACTTGGTTCCTGCCAAAATTTGTGTTCGTTCCAAAAGAGGTTGATGATGTGGCTGGATGGTGCACGTAGAGGCACCAAAAAAGGCTTATAAGCGGCTCAGAGGCACGGCAGCGCTCGTGGGTTCCACCTCTCCTGAATTGGCGCTTGGCACCTGGCACCCTGCAGCTTCACTCACAGAGATGCATATTGCTAGCGCAAGATCCTGAGACACCGAGGTTGCATATCATACCATGTTGAAGTGGAATTACTCACTGTCCTCATCTCTCCGGCAAAGTGTAGCATCCAGAAAGGGAGGTTTGCAATTTCCTTCAGCAGCAGTGGGCTGCAGTCTGGCGCTCAATTATGTGTGTATTAAAAGGCCTATAGATGCAGAGATAAGGGTGTATTTGCGGGCGCAGGTCTGTCTGCCTGCATTGCATTATACCTAGGTATTCAAGATTTAAAATCCATCCTTTCATGTCATGGCACTACATATGCCCTATATTCAACCGTACTCCGCCTGAGAGCCGGAATGGCGATGTTCTTGTCTTCCATTTTGCCTTGCGTGAACATTATCATCTATATTATAAACAACAGAGCAGCGACACCGAGAATGGAGGCGAGATGCGCGCCTTGGGCGTGCAACCCAGACGTAGCCCCGTTACCCTTGTCGTCAGTCTTGGTAGCATCCACTCCCGACGATGTTGAGCTGCCAGAGGCTCCATCAGTCGTGGTTTCCTGACCAGTGAGACCCAAGGCGGGCTTGCTAGCTGAAGCGGAAGGACCCGCCGATGAAGTCTTAGTAGCCATGGTCGACGCACTGCTAGTGGGTGTCGCCGAGTTAGAAGTTGGGCCTAGAGAGGACGATGATGAAGACAATGATGAAAGCACTGACGATGAACCTGAAGGCGTAGCAGAGGAAGTTGAAGACGAGTCCAAGCCATCTGAGCCGGCAGTCCGTGCAAATCCTGTGGATCGTTAGAAGGTCTCTTTTAGATTTGGCGTTGAGATTCTCACCGATTCTGCTTCCATCCTTATCAAAGACAGCATACACATTCTTGAGAAAGGTGGCCCCCAGGAGCCAAGAGTCCTTAACAACTTCCTGGCCATAGATGTTGCTGAAACAGGTCCCGTCTTTGTTCTTTGGTGCGATCCAATCCTTGGCAGGAATTTTGTAATCAACACCGGAAAAGGTGACGATGATTGGTGTCGTCGAGTCGCAAGGAACGCTGTAGTACGCGCCCTGCTTTTTGGAGCCAGTGATGACGGCGTGGAGCTTATCCGTGATGCTGGATGGGCCGAAAATGTAGGTTGTGCCAGTATCAATATAAGCAAACTTGCCGCCAACGCCGGCCTTCTCGCCATTGAAAGACATGTCATCGAGATTAATGGTCCAGTCCCCTTCCTTGGAGGCAAGAGGAGTGTATGAAATGTCGCCTGTGTACTTGGCCGAGTTTGTGCCACCAAATTTGATTTCACCTGATGTACCGCCGTCAGCAGCACGGCTCAGGGCGACACCAAAGACGGCGCTCTTGACAGCGCCGGACGAGATCATGGTGGTGAGAAAGTTGGCGCTAGCACCGCTGCCCATGGACAGGCCGAGAATACCATCAAAGGCAAAGTCCTTGAACTCATTCGAGGTGGTAGAGGCAAGACCGAATTGGTATTTCATGGTCATGCCGGCAACCGAGATGGTATCAGTAGCGAGCTTGCCGTTGACCTTTCCGGATCCGTAGGCTATAGAAAAGTCCTTGTCGCTAATGGTAAGGGAGTCGGACTGGCCAGAGCCAAACGTATCGTGCTTGGCGCATGCCTCGCTAGAGCAGTCGGTGCCCATGACCCAGCTAGAGCCAGCTCCGGTATCGACTAGCATGTAGGCTTTGGTACCTTTGGAACCTAGTCCGACCTGTATGAAGTATGAGTAGTCGGTTCCATCCTGGTTGATACCGGCGGCGTCACTCGTGGTAGGTGTTGTGGCCGATGTGACTGCGTAGGAGTTTTTTCGGCGAACCAGCGCTTCGCGATTGTTGTATTTGGCAATGAGGCGTGCAAACTCATGTGACGCGTCGGGCTGGAGAGTTCGTTAGCCTTTAAACCTGCATCGTTGAAGATGAGAAACGTACCCTGCCGTGTCGCTGCTGGATCTCAAACGCGAGGCCCTCTGAGCCGTCAAGCGAGGCAGCTCTCTTGGTCTCGCTTTCGAGACTAGATTCTCGCCATTCTGGCGTGTATGGGTAGAAGGCGTGTGCTGAGTTAGACCATAGTGCCAGGCAGATGAGCGACAGGACGAGTTGCATGGTGGTGTGGTTCGTAATGAAAGGTTCGTCTGCTCTCGCGTTCTGACACAAAGAATTGAAAGCTAAGAGTCTCAGGGCGCGATTGACCGATTGGACAATCAAGTGTCGAAGAAATGGCCGAAAAACAAGCGGTTGGATCGACACAATGGGCGCTCGGAGGGGCGAATCGAGGGCGAATCGGTCGAGTCGGGCGGACACAATAGTGCCAACGTGCACCTGGGGGATTAAGCGCGAACGAGCTGCGTCGAGGGAGATTTCATTTCTGTATGAAAGTAGCAGCGAAAGGCCGTGGCTAAAAGCGTGACAAGGGTGAAAAAGTGAAATCGAGCTCGAGGCGTCGAGTCAAAGCCGGATAAACGTGCAGGGATATGGACAGTGTCGAAGACCGACAAATTAAACAGTAGCGCTTCTGTCGGGAAGTCGTGAGTGTTGATGTTAGAACAGTAAAGACGAAGAAGAAATCAAACAAATTAAGATATGAAATAAATACAGTTGGACAAGAAAGGAGCAGACAAGAACCAGGTGATAGTTGCCCCGTGAGCGGGAGAGATGATGGGCGGCAGAATTGGTCAAGGATAACGAGAATGGGAAAATCGAAAACAATGCCGGATGATGAGGATGATGAAGATAGGGAAAAGAACAAGGATAAGAGAGGGAAAGAAAAGGATGGGGAAAGAGGACAATGGAGATGTGAGCAAGAGCGTGATAGAGAAAGAGGGCCACGAGTGGACAGGGTTGGTACGAGCGCCTTGTCGGATGGCAGATGGATGGGTCTCCAGGCCGAGCCGATTTATTGGGGAACAAAAAAAAAAAAAAAAAAAAAAAAGCTGGCTTTTGGCAGCCAAAGCGTGGCTGGCAGCTTGGGGCAGTGGTTGGCAAGGCAGTGGTTGGCTGCAAGCCTGTCACTGGCCGGCCGCCGGGGGATCGGCGAGCTGCAGTGGATTATTACAGTGGGCAACAGAAAGCGTGGGCAGTTTGGGCGGTAAAAAGTCCCCTTCAGCAGTGGAGCATTCAGGGCAATCAGGGCATTGCCACTGTTGAACTCCTGTGTTGGCGCCAAGGTTTGGTGCCTGGAAGGGGGTGCTCCAGCACACTAGCCATAGCTGCGGCATCTCCGACTCAAAAAGTCAAAGCTTACAGCGCCTTGGTCGCTATACAAAACCAGGGCAGCCCCCATGGTCACCCCTGAAGCTCCTCGAGCTACCGAGCGGGGGGGAAGACGTACATCCACCACCAGTGTTACGGTAGCCTCGCATGGCAGCTGGCAGCTTGGGGTTAATTTGTACACATGTCTGGCCGATCTCGTATTTTATCACCGCTTGATTATAACCATGCACCATGATTCTGCACGCGACAAATGCAAGAAAAAGATGGCCCTCAATGAGACCAATTTAGCATGCAGTGTCCATCAATCTATCATCCCATGCTCCGTCTCCTTTGGCCAGGTGCAGCTTTATTACAGATTGCTACTCCAATGTCACTCATGCAATCCTACAACCCGCTCTTTCCTCCTTATCCTCCTTCAACACGACTCACAACCACTACAACCCCACGCGCGCCACACATCACACGTTGCTCCCTAGCCATGGTTTGCAGAGCTGCTTCCTTCATTACACGAGTCCAACTTGCATACTCTCCGAATACAATTATTAACGGACATCTGCAGCGCCTCGAACATTCATCATCTTTACGATAGCCATCAAGTACCAGATTACTAATAATCTCGTCTCCGCCCATCCCTCCATTGCCCACCAGTCCGAGGCCAAATCGAGATACCCGTGGCGCTTGCCAGTGACAGCCAAAGCCACAGTAGCACAGACACACGACAGCCCTTTTGTTAACACCCGGTGCTTCCGCCCATCAGTGCACGCAGACTTGTTTAGAAGCCTCGTTGGAGACAATTGACTGGTCTAGGCCTGGTCCATTCTGCACGCCAGATCAAGGCTCGGCGCTATTCAGCACATGTGAAATAGCTCCATCCAACCTGTCAATCGTAATCATGCGACGCCACCGAAACCTCCAGTGATGGCATCGCGAAACCGATATCCCTTTTCTGGGAAAATAAAGAATTCGTTTGCACGTTCTCGTCCATAACTACTGGTACCAACAAATCATCAGGCAAAATCGATCAGTCTGGGGCAGAATTGCGTGTCCGTAGCAAAAGCTCCGCAATGACGACGCCGCTGTGGGCCGCTGTGGGCAGCCCGCTAGCCAAGCAAAAGGCAAAAAGGTTGATGGCATGTTTTCCTTGTCCATCCATCGAGTGTTTCGTTACGGAGACCTTGCCGCGTTCTCGCGCACACAGCCACTATTTAGCTCGCTAATAAACAATGTGTCTCCGTATTTACCGTTTCTCCGCACCTTTTTTCGCCGCACAATGCCGCGTCTGCATTATTAGCCGTCGCGCGCCCATGTAAGACATGCCTCGCTAGCATGGTCTTGGGCTACTAGTTATCAACAACCAGTACAGAGTATTATGAGATTTATCAAATTTCAATAGCAATCACGTCACATCATACGACAGTCAACTCGAAAGTTTGCTCTCCATGCGGCAAAGTATCGTATAAAGTGGCACAGCCCGTCCATTACGCGTCCGCCAAGTTGCGCAGAGCTGAAGACAGGGACATTGGTTGCTCTCCCTTCGTGCCCTTGTGTGGATTTCTTCGTCCGATGCAGTGTCTGGATTTTAACGTTATTCACTCGCCCAGCCCCAGTGTAGACCCGTCTCTTTTCAGGGGTCATGCGGGACCAGAGCTTCTTCTTCTTCTTCGTTGCCGCTCAGACAAGTTACAACACGAGATCGACTCCATCGAAAGCGTGCTGTGTGCGTACCTGTAACCACCTTCTCCTTGCCCCTCCAAGCCTCGTGTCGTTCAAGTCGCAACCGTATAAATAAAGCTTATGTTGCGTGGCATGGATCCACGTTCTCCTTTTCACAGTAATGTCGGCCAAGAGCTCAGCCAGCAACTCCACCTATTTCTAGCATTTACAATCCAGAATGTGACAAGAAATCCGTGACAAGAAAACCTAGGTACAGCCCTCCCAATGGTCTCTTTGAAAGGGGCTTTTAGTGGTAAATAGTGTGATAGTCAAGCTAGCGACCATGTTTCAGACCCTTCCAACCACAGCTTCACAGCCTGTGGTTGGTCCGACTTTTCCCCTAGTTTGTTGCTTCTTCCAAGCTAAAACGGCCCCTGTCAGCACAAACTACCAGTATTGTCTGGTTCGCCGATCTTGGCTCCCCGAAAATTCCGTCTATCCGTAGATGAAAGCAATAGCCGAAGAGCCCCCCGTGTTCTCAATTAACATCCAACAGCTGCCAAAAGACTCTGCCGATCTCAAGGCTGTGGTCATCTCATTTCCGTGCCCTGGGAGTTGGCAGTTTAGGCATGGTTGGCCTTGCTAGCGCCGGAGCTCACTTTTGGTTGCTGGCATCAGCATCGGCTATAGCAACCCATTGACCATAATACATTGTACGCAAGGGCAAGTTTTCAAAAATGCGCAGCGTTTGACTCGTATAAGCCTCCGATATAGCCGGGAATATTCTGATATTTTCTCGCACTTATATCGCACGGCATCCCACTGTGTTGCTGGCACTCCAGACATTGCAGCCAAGCAGAGGAATGTTGGTGACGATTCCCGTCGACCGTTGCCTAGACATGCTGCTGCAGGAATGCTGTGCTAGCCACAAGACAAATTGCCGCCGCTAACTATTACTCGATTCGTATGCATGAGCAATCAGTCAATCTTGTATTTCTACTATCGGTTTCTGGGGTGAGCGTTGAAAGACCACAGTATCGGATGGTCGCCGGTCCCGCCGCCGTTGTAAGTCTTTGTTTGCATCTTCGTCTGATTCTCGTGGATCGGGCTATTCATTTGAGAATTTGCACTTCCGTATCTGCGGTCCCTACGAGAACAGATACCTGTCCTCCTCTCCTCCTCCGTGCTTATGCTTCCGCTGCTCGACAGCCCGACTCTGCGTACAGCTTCGTCCACTCCAGCATGTGGCTCAGGACCTGCCTGTCCAACTCCCCTGGCTCGGCCGCCTTTCCATGCACCAGCTTGAGCACCCGTTCCAAATTCTCTCTATGACTGTTCTCTACCCAGTCCCTCCGCAGCATGTTGCGCAAGAAATACCACACCGACTCGCCTCTCCACGAAAAAGCCTCTGCGAAGCGGAGAGTCTCGGAGAAGAGCGAGGATGCCGCCGCCTGCGGGCGCTGCTCGACGAGCATCGTGAGAAACGACCACCCGGAAGTGTCACTCGGATGGGCAAAACACCACTTCTTGACCATCTCCGTCAATATGTCCAGCGTGACGGTGTTTTGTTGCGCTTGCAGTCCGTGCTCGGCTCTGTCGGTGGCATCATGAGCTGGACCTTTGCGACCGAGGAGATATCGTGCATGGCACCATGCGTAGTAGTTACGCGGATGCCTCTCCGCAGATACGAAGATGAGCTTCTCCATGGCAGTGGAGAGGTTGTCCATCGGCCTCGGCCTGGCGATGCATTGCTCCTGAAGCCATTGCCTGTGCCCCCAGAGCGTCGGCGACTTTGTATGCCGATGCAGACGGCTGGTTAGTAGACTGTCTATGAAATAGAGCTCTGTATCTAGAGCGGATTCTATTTGGTCCGGATATTGCGCTTTTATACGCCGTACATGTCGTTTCCGAGCATTGGCAGCTGTCATGTGCTCCGGGTCCAATAGCAGAATGACAGACGTAGCTTGCAAAACCTCTTCTGATGTGATATGTTGGCCATTCAAGTGGCCTTGAAATATTTTGTATGCCGGTAAAAAAGCTCGCAATATGTTGAGTTTCGGGATCGCCACGGCATTTTCCTCGTGGAGAACGTATACTGCTGGCGAAAGGATGTGACTTGGACCGAGTATCTCAATGTCGAGCAGCTCCTCTTCACGCAAGGCCAGCACTTGGGCTATACATCGATAAACGGGCTCATGATCTCCATGTTTCAACAAATTCTTGATTTTAGGATCGAGAGCTCTTGACATCTTCTCAAGCAATAAGTATGGCCCATTGGTGAGCTATAAAGTCGAGGCCTAAATCTCGAATAATTGTCTGTAGGGTAAACCGATTGACCAGGTCGTGGTTTGTGAGTGGGACTGGCATGCACAGTGTCGGGGTTATGCTAGTCGGAGGTGTGCGGGCGACGACAGCTTGGTGGCCACTTTGCAGTGACCACTGACCTCCGATTCCGCAAGCGAAAGCCTCTCAGAGCTACCCAATCCGCAACTTGTTGCTCTACGCCTGTACGAGACAGTGCAAGGAAAAGATGCCGTCTCTACTGGTCGTCATCTTCGTTGTGGAAGCGGTTGTCCATGTCATTAACCTCGTGGGCGCCACCGTCCTCAATGATCTGGTAGGTTCCACGGCTCGCATGCTACAAACGAAACGACTGCTGGGACGAAATCAAATGCTGACAAGAAGGAAAATGGCAGATCTGGACAGCCATCAACTACCTCCCCGTTCCGACGTCCAAGACTGCTGCTGAGCAGCGCAAGACGCAGGCCGAATACCTCAAAGTCCGCCGCGAACTCAACGCTACCAGCAGTCAGGACGATTTTGCGAAATGGGCCAAGATTCGTCGCCAGCATGACAAACTTCTGGATCAGCTCGAGAAACAAAGTACGTCGGGAGATGACTACGGGCAGCGATTGGCCACGAATACAACATACTAAACCACTCTGCAGAGAAGGGCTTGGAAGCCTCGCGTGCCGGCTTCGACAAGTACCTCAGCGCCGTCCGATTCCTCGTCACCCGAGCACCGCAATACGCCCTGCCTTTCTGGTACGCCAAAGAACCCATGCTCTGGCTGCCGCACGGCTGGTTTCCCTACTACGCAGAATGGATCATTTCCTTCCCGCGCGGACCTATGGGCAGCGTCAGCATCGCCTCATGGCAGCTGGCCTGCACGACGGTCATTGTACTCGTGAGTGACATGCTCCGCGGCCTGATTCAGCTCCTTCTTTCCTCGAGAGCAGCGGCGGCGCCCAGCAAGACAAAGGAAGCGCCGTTCAAGGCGGCCAACGAGAGGGTGCGCGAGACGACTGGCAGTGAGGAGACGAAGAAAAAGGCGTGAGCTACTTATAGCAGAGATACCTTGACGCAGGTTATTACCTGGCATATATTGTACGAAAATGACTACGAGAAAGGGGGGGTGGGATAGAAAGATCAAAGACTACGATGCTGCTGTATGATATGTATCTCCCTTAATTTGACGCAAAGATCATCATTGGAAAGATGGGACTTTGTAACACGATAGAGAATCACCCTTGGCAGGGTATTGGGGGTCGATCTAGGCAAGCCTATTGACTCTGACGACCACGGGAAAAGATCGCCAAAGCTTCGAAGGTGCCATGTTGGAAAATCATGCGCGTCACGGGGTAGAGAGGCGGCGGAGACGGATAGAAAGGTATTCGTATTGAAAGCATCTAAGCTTGGTTGTAGAGTGTGGCAGACCAGTAAAGATTTGGCAAAAGAAGAAAAAAAGCAGAATTGCAGCTGGCTGTTTGTTTGAAAGCTTAAGGGTTTGAACAGCACTGGGAGGGAAAAAAAAGCTTCATGTTTGGCTAGTGTGGATCTTGTCAGCTATCGCGGCGCAAACTCGCATAAGTGCATGTCCGGCCAGCCACGGCAAGATTGGCACCGTCGTCATGCAGCGCTCACTGAATAGGCTAATTACATGGTCAAGTTGTTGCAACTTTGATTGATAAGAGAATGCCCGGAAATAGAAACACAAAAGATCGCGAGCAGCAGCTAACACCGACGTCATAGGACTTCGGGCAATATGCATTAACGCATAACCCGAATCGGGGCTCACATCTCCGGACACGCGAAACGCGCCGCAGGGTGACGCCGACCTGGAGGGGTTAATTCGGTGGTTAGCTCGCATCCGACCCCTCGATACCGCGCAACGTGCAACGCTAAACACGGCTCGGATCTTCGGGACGACGAGAGGGGGGGCTGGATGAATTCACGCCGTGAATTGTCAGACTTTGCCTCGCCCAACATTTTCATCATAAAAATTTCGCGGGAAAAGGAACTTGTGCACCAAAGACGAATATGAGTCACGAGGGCCATGTAATAAGCACGCCTCACTCCAGCAAATCATCTCGAGCCCTGTTACAGTACCCCCGAACAAACATGCATCCATATATAAAAGAGGATATCCATCACGCCAATCCTGCAAGCTACATGCCCTGGTCTTGAATCCCGGAAAAAGGGCGAGAAAAAAAAAGAGAAAAGCATTTCCGTACGCGATAGTCGAATATAAAACTTGCCATGGAAGTCCGCCTTATCATCGTCTCGGGCCGCGCAGGCTCGGGCAAGTCGTCCACCGCCAACGAAATGTCGGAGCAGCTCAAGCGCCTCGAGATGCGCCACGCACACATTGACTGCGACAACCTCGACGCCATGTTCCCGGCCGACGAAGGCGCCGACATGCTCCTGGCCAACCTGGCCGCGCTGTGGTCCAACTACTACCACCTGCGCGGCGTCGACCGCCTCATCATCTCGGGCACCGCCGCCGTGCTCGAGACGGAGCGCATCGCACGGACGCTGCGCCGCGTCACCGCCTCGATTCCCACGCTGCATTTCCAGACGCCGCCGTCGCCGCCCAAGCAGCAGCAGCAGCAACAGCAGCAGGCGTCGTCGTATCCCGGCGGAGGCAGCGGCAGCAGCAGCAGCAGCAAGGAGACGGGGGCGTCGCCGCCGCCGCGGCTCGGTGGCAAGGACGGTCGCATGATGCCCCCGGCGTCCGTCACCACCAGAGCCTTTATACTGCAGGTCCCGGACGCCCTAGCGGAGAGGAGACTCAAGCAGCGCGAGGTCGGCTCGGAGCTGTCGCAGCTGCTCGCAAGCAGCCGGCGCATGGCAGGCGTTCTAGAGAGCCAGGTCGGAGGGTGGGCGAGGCGTGTGCCGACGGACCAGAGAGAGGTCAAGGAGGTGGCGCTCGAAATTCTGCGCACGGCTGGCTGGATATGAGCTTTTGATGACCGTCCCGACATCCCCCCTCTATTAATACCCTGCTCACGAAAATTTGGTCGTGCTCTCGACGGCCTGACCGTTGAACTATAAGACTCAATCCTTCTTGTGAAGCTGGGATTTTATACATCTCCGATCTGGCCTTGAAAGGACTCTATAGGCATCTACAACGTGCAGCTTCGTTGGTTATTCCCCTTGACAGCCACGTTCCAACGTCTTTTACCCTCATTTGAGCGACTTTCTTCTCCCGTTATATCACTATAGTTTACTATATAGTGTAGCCGAAAATAAAGTATATTCATCAAATCATTCACTATTGACCCCACTGATCGCTTAAATGGTGAATGATAGGCCCTGACCACTCGTTGACGCAAGCTCGGTCACGTTCTGCGATGCTTTGCCATAGTCGAGCAACTTCCACATTGTATCTGTATCGGGATGATCCGGCAAATTGGTAAGTACAAAAGGACTGATCATTGACGACGTGGCCGCAGGATCGGGATTGAACTCCTGAAGCGCTCGTGCCTAAAATAGTGATGGTTAACACTTGACGAGGTGGGGAGATCATGCCAAGAAAGAATCTTACCAGACGCGGAAAGTGCTGCCAACGGACTGGAGCATTTAAAAGAAAATCCAAAGTTGATTTATAGAGACGCTGTGAAGATTCTCTGATTGATAAATCTTGATCATGCTCGAAGATTCGATGCACAGCGCCTGCGATAAGAGCGCAGTAGCCCAAGGAACTCGCCAAGCATAAGCGTCGTTTTTGCAGGCTTTGAAGTAAGCCAGTTAGCCTTGATGCGCTCTCACGACAGGCTGGCAAAATAGTTCGAAGGAAGCTTGGTGGAATGGGAGAGTTGGCGGATTTTAGCCGATGGCGTATCAAGAAAGGATGCTGGAGCAAGCAGTTGGAGAGAAAATAGAGAGCGTGAGAGAAACAAAAGATACCGAGCATAGAGTTGTGATTAAGCTCTCCAGCCATTTTCAAGCTCTCCGCCTCTAGCACGGCCTCGAAATCTGCGATGGCGGTCGGTGAGTAGGCTTCGCAGGTAAGAAGAACGCTGTATATGGAAGCAAATTCACTTTGTGAATCCCACGGGAGTGGCGACTCTTCTGATACGGACCGGCGCAGGCAGTATCTTTGAACTCGACCGAGTGTAGAAGCCAATAGGCAAAGGAACCCCGAGTAGCCGACCTTGCCGAGTTCCCGTGGGTGCTGTAGTAAGCGCATCACGGTGATTCGCTCCGCCCCGGCCATGCCAGGTGCGAGTGTGGCCTGGTCCACGGGGAGACTCAGCATGCAATCAGCATCAAGAATCGACGGCGAACGGCCTGGGCTGCTGGTCACTATTCGATCGAGGAGATAGACAGACCAAAACGTGCGGCGACGTTCTTCCTTGGCCCACCAAAGAAGGGACGGATTAGGCTCAGATAATAAGTCCAGGGCCTGTGCCAATCGAATTGAGAGGCCAATCTTGACCCAAGCTTGTGTATAGCTGCCGGCTAATTATATGAAAGCGCGGTCAGAAACAGGAAACAGTGCTTGGACGTGGTCAGACGACACGGTTAGGACTTACCGGCGAAGTCAATGACTGCTAGCATGCTAATAGCTTGTACGACCTGCACAGTCACAAATTCATCTTCTTCGAAGATCCGAGCATTTATCTTTTTCCATGCACATGATGCGTAACAATTGACAGCTTCGGCCTGCCTGTCTTGAAAAAAGGAATTGTCAGAAAAAATGACAGCGCTGGCAAGAACACTGAACAATAGCCACTCGGGTATGGTATTGCCGGAGAGCCTACGCCTGAAACTAGACTCTTGAAAATAGCAATATGGCTGACAGTGACAGGATTGAAAATATGTGTCAATCAAAGACTGCACAATCTCTCCGTTGGGGATGCGGTCAAATGTGACTGATGCTGGTCCGAAGGATGGTGTGAACGGGTATTGAATGTCGAGGATTCCTGGAGTATCTCGCGAAAGAGAAGGTGACGGGTTTAAAAGGGAGGAAAAAGAACTGCGCTAAATTAGCTGCTTGGTAATATAAAGACTTTTGTTGGCACACCACACGTACTCTTCTTGGTCATGGAGCACACTTGGCTGCGGCTCGGGGCTGATCAAGTTGTCAGCCATGAGAGAATCCTGCCAAGATTAGCGCCGAGATTAGCGGGCGCGGAACTTGACAGTGACAGTAGATAAAGAATATCAGATGGCCTTACAGGGATATTAGGCATAGACGAAGGAACGTCGAAAACCGCGTCATTGTTGAATAGAGCCTCGTCATCATAGCGACAATCTTGACTTAATCTGGAGCAAAAGCTACAGACTGGCCGCTCACCAGGACATCGTGCCTTTTTTCGTCTACTAATATTAGCTTCAAGTAGTAAACACGCTGAAAGAAAGAGCAATAGAGCGAAGCACCTGCAATTCAGACAAGCCAAGCGTATTCGCTTGGCCTGCTGTTGATCCATGGGGTCTATCATCTGGCAGTCAGGCCCAGATTGACGTAGACAAATGGTACAGCGCTGTTTTGTGATAGCGGAGAGACCGTAGTGTTTGCGTCTTGCTACTAATGTACCGTATGCTGTGTGATGCAGGAGTGAGGAGCGCACTGTTTGTCTGGGGAGTGACGTATTTGCCTACAACTTTGTTATCAGCAAACGGCGACTGAACAGTTGACTAGTAGCCTGCCAACCTGCCCGCCGGCCTGGTGCGCCGAATGACTAATCAAGCGACATGCGCTTTCATAAGTGCCAAAGCAATTAATAGGTTTCACTAAAATATATTCGTTCAGGGGGGAGGGGGGGGGTGTCGTTGGCTAATTAACTCAATATCTAAGGTATTGAGGATAGAAGAAAGCTATGTACGCTATATAGCTTATATAGCCTAAAGCCTAAATAAAAGTAAGGTAGATTGGACTAGTTAGAGATGTAAATATGCTGATTAGATGATTGACTGTTTTGGTACATTCGTTTACCAAACTTCCACACTTCATCTATTACAATTGCCCCGCCTTCCATAGTCTCTACCTCTGAAAGGATGAGAAAATCGGCATCGGCTCCAATGTCGAGCGTGCCCTTGACCCCGCGCAGTCCCAGCATATAAGCAGGAGCAGCTGTGACTGTCGATAAAACAGTGGGAATGCTGGCACCGGACCATTTAATCAAGTTGTTGACACTTTCAAGAAGAGTGACACAGCTTGTAGGAACCAAAAGTTAGCACACAACAAATCACCTGTTGAGTTCAACCAGATTTTTTTGCTGGTTGGATTGAATGTCTCACCTTCCGGCAATTGTGTCTGAGCCTTCAAGAGTGAGTTTGTAACCCAGTTTCTTGATGGTAGATAATGAACCGCCATTCATCCACTGATATACACCATCTGGCGAGCCTAGCAGATGCATACCATCTGTGACTAGGATCATTCGCTGCATATTCGCTTTAAATACCAAATTCACTGTCGCGGGATGTACATGGATACCATCAGCGACGACGCCAAAAAATGGCTGAGCTGAATCATGACCATGTCCCAACACGCCCAGAACGCCTGGGTTTCGGTGATGCAGAGGCCTCATTGCATTGAAGAGGTGTGTGACCATGGAAGCGCCATGCCTGATGGCTGTGGCAGCTTGTTCATAACTGGCGTCAGTGTGGCCTATGGAGAAAACAATTTTCTGTGAAGCTAGCTCAGGAATTAAAGAAGTCATCCGACCGAGCTCTGGAGCTGCCGTGATCATTTTGATGGCCGCGGCCCGATTCCTTCTGTCAAAGACAAGATTCTCTTTGCCATAACATGCTTCGATGTCTGTGAAACTTTGTGCTTCAATCAACACGTCCACATTATGTGCCCCATTCTTCAGTGTGTTCAAGAAAGGCCCTTCACAATGTGCGCCGAGTGACTCGGCGCCCAGCTCGGCAAGACGCAACACACCTTGCGGTTTGTGGAGTGGGAGAACCTATTTCTTCTTTAGTATACTATTGTAATTTTAAGTACTTTTTTATTTGGCTAACCGTTTTGTACACAGCCGGTTTCTGGCTAGTAATGGTAGGAAGGTATGATGTTACGCCTGTCTGAAGCAGCCTGTGGTTGACTTCTCCAAGCCGCTTCGTGTAATCAGTCATATCTTGGGCTACTTCAGAAAAGTTGAGGCCAAATGCACCATTGAGCTGACAATCTATCCACCCCGGGGAAACGATGGAATTATTCAGGTCAATTACTTTCACTTGTGGAGATTTTCGACTGTAGAAACCTAACGGTTCAGCGATAATTCTTCCCCAGTCTGTGTTGAACCAAAGATCTGCGCGCTCGAGTGTATTTTTACGCAAAAGTCTGCAATTCGTAAATCTGACCAGACGTGGCCCGGCAGAATCACTGCTAGGATTTCGTGATTTAATTTGCTGCAACAGCATAATTGTTAGATTAAAAGTCTTGAGAATACACAGATTAGCAAAGACACGAAGAGGCTGGAAGCGGCGTAATGGTACTCACTGAGGCGACACTAATGCTTGGTCCTACATATGAGATTTGACATGCATGGCTCTATAAAGGCTGGGTTTGCATTTAAATATTAAAATTTGTCAGCCGTTTTAAACACTGCTTAAACGTACAATTTTATAGCTTGACTTTGTACTATATAACGTTACTTGTAACATGCCGCCGAGACCTATCAAGGTGGGAACGGCTTCCCTGATACACTGGCACATGGGTGCTTTAATGGCTTTCATATACTTTCAATGACGTAGGACGAGAACGAGTGTGAGAGAATAGGTCGGGAGATGAAACGTTTTCATAAATAAGTATAATATTTTTGCATCCTAACATGTAGGACGGACATTCGACAAGGCTTGATGCAAAGCGGCTTCTAGTGGGCACGGCAATGTTGATCTTGTGCTGAACAACTGCCCGCCGCTTTTTGATGGCCCAGCTGGGAATAACAGCGGCAGGTTGTTTTGTCCCCCACTTGCCGGCCACAACAATAAGTGGTGGGCACGGCTACAAATACCCTGGTTGTGGCTGGACCGTGCCCATAATTCCCTGATGAACCCGACTGCGCGCTAACAGCTCGATAGTTGGCGACTTACAAGCGACATGAGTCCAATGTTGCTCGCTCTAGTAATACATTAGTCAATCCTTTTTATATCTTATAAATAAATACCATGTTGCCTCCTTGGATGAGCTTTAATTTTTATGTAGATTTCAATCGTTATTTCTTTTGAAACGAAACGCCCTGCATCATGACCAGCAATGAGCCACAAACCACCCTCGTTGACAAGACCGCGGATGGCATTACCACCATTACTATCAATCGATCACACCGACGCAACGCCATCGATGGACCCACTGCCAAAGCATTGACGGACGCTTTGCTTGAATTTGAGAATGACCCGAGTCAGAAAGTCTGCATCCTCTATGGTGCGCATGGTACCTTTTGCTCGGGTTTCGATCTTCACGAGGTCGCCAAGTATGGCGATGCAAAAGCCGAGTACAAAGGTCCCATCATTGATCCTCAGCATCATGTTAATGGCCGTAATATTGGTCCTATTGGCCCATCCAGGATGCAGATTAAAAAGCCCATTATCAGTGCAGTCTCTGGATACGCTGTCGCTGGTGGCTTGGAGCTATCTCTAATCGGCGATATCCGAGTCGCGGAAGAAGATGCTATTTTTGGTGTTTTTTGTCGGAGGTTTGGTGTACCCTTGATCGATGGCGGAACAGTCCGCCTCCAAGCAATTATCGGGTTAGGAAGGGCTCTGGATATGATTCTCACTGGTCGCGGTGTCGCAGCTCACGAGGCACTACAGATGGGACTGGCTAACCGTGTCGTTCCGAGGGGACAGGCCTTGGCCGAGGCGACAAAGATTGCGAAGCAGCTTCTGACGTTCCCCCAGAGTTGCATGAACGCTGACCGTACAAACTGTTACTATTCTGCTTATAATGCAAAGTCCTTTGAGGATGCTCTCAGCAATGAGTTCGAGAACGGTGTGCGAATCATCGCCAAGGAGAGCATCACAGGAGCTGCCGAATTTAGTCGGGGTATAGGCCGTCACGGGGAAATTGTAACCTCTAGGTTCTAAATTTTAGGTCCTAGAAATGTGTAAACGCAACATGGTAACAAGTTAATGAGAATTATTTGCATTATTGGTCTACTTTGCACAACATCTCATAAATTCAGGCCCATGCGGCGCAAGATGCACTTCCGTCGTAGAAAACAAATCAGTTTTTCCCTGTCAGGAAGCCACCAGCCGACAAGGCCGTCTTCGCCACGCTCCATTTCCAGCCGCTCAGATGCGCAGTATCCATAGTCTTCCGCCCCGACTTGATGGAGGCGGTGCTACGCGCCAGCGCCGCCTTGTCGTACGCCGCCGTGGCCGCCTCGAGAGACTTTTGCCCGACGAGCTCCTGCGCGAGGCTGATGCCGTCGCGGATGGCCAGCCCGCCGCCATTGTTCATGTAGACGCTCACGAGGCGGTTGGCGTCGCCGATGAAGATGATGCCGCGCAGCTCAGGCGCGTCGTGGCCAAAGGCGTCGCGCTCGCGCACCGCCCGCGCAAAGCTCGTCTCCTGCTTGGTCTTGCCGATGAGCGACGGCAGCGGCTCCGCGATGCTCTTGGACGACGTGCGCGCCTCGTCCAGGAGCGCCTTGAAGGCCGCGGCGTCGGTGTTGTCGTAGGCGGCGCGCGGCGTCTTCTCCTCCTTGAAGATGGACCACAGCAGCTTGCCGTCGTTGTTGAGCTGCACCACGGCGGAGGCGACGCCGTCGCCGCCGACGGTGATGCCAAAGTCGCTCGTCAGCGGCGCGGGAACGCTCGCCTTGTCCCCAAAATCAACCTGGCCGCCGAGGCCGACGTGACCAGTGAGTTTGGTGACGTCCTTGGGGCGAAAGATCTTGCGGAGGGTGCTGTCGTCGCCGTCAGCGGCCACGAGCAGCGCGCACTCCTCCTGCGAGGCGGCGCCCGTGTTCTTGTCCAGCAGCGACACTCGGAGTGTGCCGTCGGGCAGTCTCTTGGCATCCTGGACAGAAGTCCTCCATGTGATCTTGGTGCGCGCCTCAACGGCCTCGATTAAGAGGGCAAGGAGGGCCGTGCGGCGGATGCGGACGCCTCCCGTAGAGAAGCCCTCCATGACCTTGGGTTTGATGGTCATGAGCGACTTCCACGACTTGTCCCATACGTGCATGGTGGAATCTGGGTTGTTGCGCGTCACGGCCTGGGCCACCACGGCGTCGTAGAGACCGAGATCGCCGAGGCCGACGAGGGCGGATTCCTCCGTGTCCGCATTGAGCTGTAGGTCGTAGAGCCCGCGGTTGATGCTCTCCTCGCGGCCGTCGGCGTCGACGATGACAACCTCGGGTGCCGGGACGGCGGCGTCCCAAAACTTCAAGAGGGAGAGCACAAACGTCAGACCGCCGAGGCCAGCGCCGCACACAATGACCTTGCGGCCGGATAGGAAGTGCTTGGAGTCAGACGCCATGATGAATGATGAAGAGAGGATTCTTGCTTTTGGGGATGTGAGTTGTTCATGTACAAAGAGAGTTGTCTACGTAGGAAGACACGACTGGGAAGGGGAAGGGGATGGCATGATGGCCGTGACGTCCGTGCTGTGTCGGACACACATGATGTTGTAGTTGCTTGTTCAAGGAGACTAGCGTTTGCCTGTCTCGGGAGACAGCTCTGCGCTATTGGCGGTGATGCAAGACACATCAGTGGACCGACCCCCAAATTTCGTCTGGTCGCCAACTTGATCATATCAGATTTCAGCAGGAGAAAGCTTAAAATAAATGATAATTGGTGAGAAGGAACCTGACACGTTCGATATTCTTTTTAGTCTCATTTCCCCTTTTTGTTGCTCAGACGGGCCGTGCGCGTAGAGATCCCCAGCCTTGATAGAACATGGAGATCATGACAGTTTGCTAGGTACCTAGTTATTAACTACCTAGAGCTGCCACTAGCCGAATGTGAAGTCGCCTGTGACTTGCGCTGGAAATTCAGCGTCAATAAAGAGCCTAATAAGCCAACTAGGCAGACCGCTTGCGTGAAGAGTTTACTTAAAGGCCAAAGAGAGCATTTTTCGAGTTGGCTCTCTGCGCCCTCTGCCATGTAGACGGTTTACTCGGATACAGCACCGTTTCAGGTACTTTTTGGCAGGCTGTCTTGCTTCTAACACCCCTCTTTTGAGCTACCTAGGAAAATTCCAGGTACAGCAAGGGAGGCTTATATGGGGAGGAGGCGCAATCGCAATTGATCAGCCAAACGTGAGAAACCTTTCTTCTTGTTTTGGGTAGTTTTGTACTAGTTACTTTTACTTTCCTCTCCCCTCATACCGTAAGTTTCTTTTGTGCACGAGCTTCACAAGCCTAATCAACTAGTCCGTAATTCGTATGTATCTCGCCACGTAGTCATCAAGCAATTACCTTTTGCTTCATCACCTCCTACTGATAGGTAGAATAGATTTGATGTGATTAATTTTGATTCTTCATGATTTTTTCATCCGTCATTCTTTCTTTCAAAGAGAGTGATTCTTACGTATATAAACTTTTAGAAAATGAGATGGAATATTACCCGCCTTATTCCCTTTGTGATACATGGTTGTGGGGGGTGTTGGCTGGCATTGTACCTGGCGCTAACGCCACCTGGTCAACTTGGCGACTTCACTCTTCAGCCTTGCCAGTGTACTTTTTCTCTTCTACGAGTCACGGTTTGCAAAAAAAAGAGAAACGGCGCTCGAGTTCAAGATTACCCAATAACTTCGAAACAATAAACTGCGCGCAGTTGACGCGCCAGTTTGCCCATCATGGCCATTCCTTGGGGAATGTACGTCGGCCGTCCCCCAACGATCGTCCACACGGCCGTGCATCGCCAGCTAACAACACATTACTAGACTCAAGTCTGCCCTCTTCTTCTTTGGTCCCGTCGCCATCCCCCGAGCAATCTCGTACTACCGCTCGAGCAAGACCGTCTCCAAGTCTGTCGGCATCTCGGTGCGCCCTGTGCCGCGCGCCATCCGCTACGCCCTGGCGCTGCTCGCCCTCTTCGTCGCCACGTTTGTCCTCAAGACGCTGCCGCCCTTTGTCCCCGAGAACATCTTTCAGCGCACCGAGACCCGACTGCAGGCGCCGACCGACGTCATATTTCGACGCCTCGCCGTGTTGCGGCCCGGCGACGCCCTTACGGCCGCCGACGAGGCCCTCCGCGGCAAGTTTGTCAATCTCGAGAGCCGCCTTCTCTACCTGCAGTATGGCCCGGCCGCCCTGGCCGACTGTCTTTTCTGCAACTCGGACGAGCCCAAGAGCTACCTCTACTACGCCGCGCCCGCGCTGCTGTGGACGCACCTCGCCAACTTCTTCGCCGTCGCCGTCGTCACGAGCCCCTCGTGGACGGGCCGCTACGGCCGCCAGTGGCGCGGCTGGGCGACCATCGCGGCCGGCTCCATGGCCTCGGCCGATGTCTGGTACGTCGCAAACTACAACCACCAGGCCAATTCGCGCGCGCTGCGCCTCGACGACATTGATCCCTTTTACTGGAGCGCCCGCGCCACGCGGTTTTGGGCGCTGGCTGTCTTTGACGGCCTGCTCGGCTACGCCATCTACCTCTCCGCTACGAACCGCGCCTTTATCCAGCTGCCGAGCCCCGCTGAGCGCATCGAGAATGTCAACCGAGCGCTGCACATCGCAAAGAGCAAGCTGAGTGCTCTCGGCATCATCAAGAACACGACGCAGCGCGACACCGAGCTGCGCGAGCGCAGCGACATGTACTGGACCCAGGAGGTGCGCCTCATGTCTGAAGCCATGGAGGAGCGCGAGGTCATTGAGGGCGTGTCCGATGCGCTGGAGAATAGGCTAAATATCCAAAATATCACCCGGGATGCAGACACATACACCACCATGGTGCTGCAGGAGTTGCAGGAAGAATAGAAATAATTTTAGCACTGCAATAGAATACACCTCTGATTTGTGCAGACATGAGCCTCGAGATTATGCATTACTATGATTGGTCAAACAAAATTTTCATTCCGTCTTATTTTGCGTCTAGTTGTGCGCCGCTTAGCAGCATGCTATCAAGACAAAAGTGTAGAAGAGAAGACGCGAATAAAGTTGCCGTCGAACCAAGAAGAAAGAGCATTTTTGTAGGCCGAAAAAGAAGAATGATCGCTCCATTGCTGTTCCATCACGGTCTCTTTTCCGTCGTCCCCGTCGCCGCGCTGCTGACACTCGTCTTGCGTGACGACGAGGAGGGTGCATAGCCGCCGTCGGGCAGACCTTCCTTGGCGCTGCGCTCCAGAAAGCCGGCCCAGAGTTCGGCCAACGACTCCTTGTCCTTAGCCGAGGTGGGCTCCGAGAGCAGGTCGGTGTGCAGGGACGGCGAGCTCGGGGTGCGGTGGAACGGCGACGTGGGCAGACGCAGTGAGCCGCCGGAGCCGCCTGGACGGGAGAGGCCGGCCTGCTCCCGCTGCTCGTCGTTCCAGTCCAAGTAGCCTGCCATGATCTGCAGGACTTGGAAGCGCTTGACGTCGCCGCGGTCCAGTGTGAGGAAGTGCAGCAGGTGGTTGGTGACGACTTGTCTAGAATATGGTCAGTACATGTATCAAGTGTTGAAGCAACGAGTCATAATGAGGTACCTATCGACGTTTTCCTCCGGCTTGGTCTTTTTGAGGTAGCGCAGAGCCTTTGTGAGGTGATCGTTGAGCACAATGGCCTCGTGCCTGAGCTTGCCGATGAGTAGGTTTTTCTCCTTGACCTCCTTCTCAAAGGGCGCGGTCCGTTCCAGCTCCTTGGACAGCGTCTCCCTGGCATCGTGAGCTTCTGCGGCGCGCGCCTCGGCCTCGGCCGCCAACTTCTTTTGCGCCTGCAGCTGCGCCTCGGTACTCTCAACCATGTCGCGGAGCTCCTTCTTGCGCGCGTCCTGAATCTCGCGCAGCGCATTCTGCAGATTGTCAATCAGCGTCGACTGGCTGTCGCGCTCGCTGGCCGCGCTCTCGTAGCCTTGCCTGAGCGAGGCTATTTGCTCCTCGAGCTCCGCAATTTTGTCGCCGAGGCTCTCCTTGACGGAGCGCTCCTCCATGGCGATGACCTCCCACTCGCCCATGGCGTTGGCCGTCGTCTCCATCTCCTCCTTGAGGTGCTGCACCGTGCGCACCAGGTCCTCGCGCTCCTTGTTCCAGTTTTGCGTCGATAGGTTGTTGCGACTGCGTAGTGTCGCCAGCTCGCGATTGGCGTCTTGCAGCTCTTCACGGAGCCTGTGATGGTCCTTGTCCGAAGAATTGGCCGACTTTTCGAGCTGCTCATTTTGGGTCTCGAGCTCCTCTATTCGCTCTTTAGCTTCTTCTAGCTCTGCTTTGTCGCGCCGTAATCTGTCGCTCAGGGTCTCCTTGATCTTTTCTACACGCTCAAGTAGCGTCTGATATTGCTCCTCTGCCGTCTCCTTGGCAGTGTTGCTTTCTTCCAGTTCGGTTTGTAGTCGCTCGATCTCGGTTTTGTGTGTCTGTTGTATAGTTTCTAGTTGTTTGCGTAATTGCTCGACCTCTGCTTGGAGGGCTTCTCGGCCTCTGTCATCGTCGGTGGCATCGCTTTTGTTTCCAGAATCTATGGTATGCCCGTTGGTGCGGTTGTTGACAGCCTCGTCATTGGACTGCTCCTGTTCGTTGCCATGCTCGTGGCCGTCGCCGTCTTGTGGCTTATCGACACCGGTAAAAACATCTTCCTTGTTCTTATTGGCATTCTTCTTCTTCTTGTTATTCTTCTTTTTCGACCCCGCTGTGATATTGGACAATTCCATTGTTAGTTGTCAATCCCCGCCGACAGTGCGTACCGCCATGGACTTGGGGTAGCTCACCTGGATTGGGCACCTGCGTGGCGTCGGCGGCCGCTGCAGAGGACATTGCGCCGTGCGTCCCCTATAGTACGCGATGGTGATGATGGCTCAAGCTGTGTTCTCAAGGTAGAAGTCGTGGTCGTGGGCTCGTGAGTTGACGCGACAAAGCGGCGCGATGGTGCAGTGGTGGGCAGAGACCAGGTGTTCACCACGTCAGCGGGCTGTACTGTGAGACCTTGCGCTGTGATGTTCCACAGTGGGTGTTGAACTTGTAGCCCCGCGTGAGATAGGTAGGTATATGTCAGTAGCTCTTGGCGCGCCAAATTCCCGAGAATGATTGAAGACATCATCCAATTGATATGTACTACAGCTGTGGGTTAGCTTGTTTGTATCTGGGGATTATTCTAGCAACTCTTGAATCTGCCGCGTGGCAGCTGACTTGCTCTCGTATTCCTCCAAGACGCCACGGGCGAGTGCCCACACACTTGCGAGGTAAAACGAGCTATAAATAAATAAATGTGCTGAAATCACACGATTGACATCTTTATCAACTCAATCATGCCATATGGGGGTGCACAATATAAAACTTTAGCAAAAGAGACAAACATAGAAGAAGTGGCCGTAGTAAACACACCTAGAACATGTGGGCGACCAAAAGGACGTCATGCAACTAACTAAAGAAGTAAGAAGTACCCCAAGACTTTACTTGCTTCTTTGGTCTTTCTTGCAAAAATTCTCAATGGACCATCCATTAGCCTAATTATACTCGGATAATGAGTTCACTGAATATTTCTTCATTTCCATGTTGTTCTTTATCCTTTTAATCTCGCAACTGACCTACATGCTATTCTACTGTGCCAAGTTCCTTTCCTTATTAGTCAGCGCCTTGCTCCAAGCCCAGCTTTTATTAGCGACTCCAGCAAAATTTGTTTTTCTCTTCTTCTTCTTCTCTTCAACTTACATTCACCCTTCGCCGCCATACTTATTGAACAAGTTCATCACATCACCGTGGCTTATTCACAATCTTGCGCGAAGTAGATTAGTCTGCCTTTCATAATCCTGCATCTTGCTCCTTTGCGTCTTTCTGGATGCGAAATATGGGTGCTGCGGGTTCGCTTATGTGCGTACATACATATGCACTGTGTGCTACTCAACAATTCATTTCCTTGCCATACCAATTGCAAGAATCATGATGGAAATTCGTATTCAACACGTATATACCCATTTACACTTTTGAAAACCAGACCGTGAACACATGTGCGCCAAACTCGCCGAATCTTGCAAGACTGAAAAACAAATGAGACGTGCTGTGCTTGACTGGTCGCTTAGGCTTTGGCCTTTTTGGCCTTGCCGCCCTTGGCTTTTTTCGATTTTGCGGGCTTGGGCTTGGCCTCGTCAGCCTCCGGCTCCTCGGCCTTGGGCTCCTCAGCGGTAGCAGCCTTCTCAGCCTCGGGCTCTTCGACCTTGGGCTCCTCAATGGTAGCAGCTTCGACAGCCCCGTTCTCGGTGGAAACACCATTCTCTGCAGTAGCAGGAGCACCAGGCGCCGGAACAGTCTTTAGTTCGGGACCCTCAAAGTCGTATCCGAGAGCCTTCAACTTGGCAGCCTTGTCGGCGCGCTTCTTATTCTCGCGCTCGACCTTGAGCTCCCACGCGGACTCGGTGCGGGGCTTCTCGAGCTTCTTGCCAGCAATCTTGTTCCATGGGACCTGTTTGAAGCGGCGATTGGCGCCCTTGAATAGGTCATCGTGGACGCGCGCCTTGGGCACGACCTGGCACTTGAGGATGTGGCCAAACAGCAGGTAATTGTCCATGGTCTTGGCGACAATCTCGGCGGTGCTCTCCTCCTCAAACTCAACAAAGGCAAAGTGCTTGCTGGCGCCGGTCTTCTTGTTGCGCGACAGTCGTAAGCGGGCAATGGGGCCAAACTGCGAAAAGTATTGGCGCATTTCGTGCTCGTAGAAACCGTGGGGGATGCGACCGATGTAAATGACGCCGGTCTCGCCGGTGGGCGCCTTGCTGGCGGCCTTGCGGACGGCCTTGGAGACGCTGGGAATCTTGCCGACATCCTGGCCCTCCTCGAAAAGCTTCACACCGTCGGCCTCCTCATCGCCAGAATCTAGCTCGGTAGCGAGAATGAGCGCATCCTCGTTCTCTTCATCGTACTTCTCGTCCTCGGCGGGCTCCTCGATTGTCTCTTCGGCGGGTTCATCGACGGGCTTGGCAGCCTTCTTCTTGCCGTTCGTTTTGGGAGCCTCTTCCTTGGCCTTTGAAGTCTTCTTCAGAGCAGGCTTGGGCGAAGGGGCCGCCTTGGCAGCCTTTACCTTCTTCGTAGAGACAGGGGAAGCTTCTTCGGCAGCTAAACAATCGCATCGTCAGAGAAACGGTAATAATTGAGGGGAAATGAGTATCTTTACCCTTGCGCTTGCTCTTGGTCGCAGGCTTCTCAGCCTTGGGAGCTGCCTTGACAGGCTCAGCGGCTGCTATGAATAATTAGTAACCAATTCCAAGATGCTCGATCGCCATGTAGCATACACTTTCTCTTTCTCAACTCGGGGGCCATTTTGTATGGTGCCAATGTATATCTTCTGGCAGCAAGAATCTACGTCCTCCAACAGGTGGGAACTTGGCCCAAGAAAAAAAAAACCAAGTTTCTGCCAGTCAAACTTAAGGCGGTGTAAAAGGTGCCCGCGAAGAAATTTGGTGCTGCGACTCCGCGAGGCTGGAGGTAGTGGGGCATCCCGCCGCCTGTAGAGGCCCTTCCAGCGGGAAGTCCCACTGGCTTCATTTCTACCTACCTCCTAGAGGTAGGTAGGGTCTTGCAACGGTGAAGCGCGAAAGTATCCTTTACAAAGCGGCCGGCACTTTGGAAGCGTTTCTTCTCAGGAGGCTTGCTATCCATTCGAAAAATGGCTGGGCACGACTTAAATCTAAATGATGATGATATGTGGGATGACTCGGCGCTTGTCGAGTCTTGGAATGGCGCCCTGGACGAATACAAGGTATGCTCCCAAAGGAGCACCGAAGGAGTCTCATGCTGATAAATCTTGTTCAACACAGAAGTACCATAGCATACACGTCAATGGCGGTACAATAAGAGAGCTAAAAGCTTTGTCGTCGGCAAGGTATGTGAAGGTTGATGCACCCCTTCGTGAACTGTTGGCTCATAGGCACCAGCACGGCAGAAGCGGCACCGGGCACTCATGATGTTGCGACGGAGGCATCCAAAGAGGCAAATCATAGCAAGTCGCAGGGAGAAATTTCAGACGGCGTCAATTCTGAGGCCGCCAGTGCGGCTCCGGTCATCTCACCTCAACAAGCTTTATTGGGAACCGGTAAGTAGTCGTTCCGTGGTGTTCTACCCACAATTCAATATTGATTCCACGTGCTGACGTGTTCATGCTTGTCAGTACGAGACGACAATCTCAGGAAGCTATTAATGTCTTGGTACTATGCCGGATACTACACAGGACTGCATGAGGGGCAGCAACAACAGACACAGGCGCAGCAGCAGCCACAATGATCCGACAAATGCGGGTGGGCTGCTCTTCGTCGAATCAATGAGATGAATGAGATATCAAGGATGCCGGCGAACGGTGGCTCTTCGGCATGGCTTGGCAACCCGTGGCGCTCAACTCTGCCACATGCTCCGTCGCAGGAAATACACACCAGCGGACCGCCGCTGGCTTGCCCATATATCTGCAACAGGATAGACTGAACGCCGCAAGGAGATGCCGACACCCGCTTGGCATTGTGTGCAAACCAAGCTCATGGCAGATTAGAACCTATGCAAGCGGACTGGGGACGAGATGCACAGGCACCGCACGACGGAAAGGCATACCCGTTGACTACGCCGTGCCGAGATGGATTGGCGCGTTTCATGGCGGCGGTTACTGGGGGGGGCCTGGATTTGGCGTTTCTGAGGACTCTGGCGGGTTTGTAAATTGGCAAATGGGTAGTAGACGCCGCTACGCGGGAAGTTGCACAGGCAAGTTGGGCTGCGACGAGCTGTGTCCTAACCAAACTTTTGCGAAACAAACTACGAAGATCGACTTGGCGGATTGCGGTTTGAACGGCATGCTGCTATATGGATTTGCAATAGCTCAAAAGGGATGCAAGATAATTCAGACCAATACGTGAAAAGGCAACGCATTCCCGTTCCAGTGCAGCAAGTATCCTGCACTATTACTGACAATTTTTTGAAAGTACTCTGGCAAGTTCTTGTGCCTCTTCCACCGTAGCTGGTAATGAACAGCTCACACACAAGGCCACCTGCACAGCCTCAGCATTTTCATTAAATTCTGCCGAGAACTACTGTAGAGCCAAGCCTGTTACTATGTTTGATGTGATCGGGGCAAAGAGGCAGCGCACAAGTCGTCGACGCTGTCCAGCACCGGGGGGGGGGGGGGGGGGTCGGCATTGGACGTTTCGAATCCCTTTCACTGGCGGTTTGAGGCGGTGGTCTTGGTCGACGAGAATCGCTTCTCTGCCGGGGGTGGCTTGACCCCGTGTTGGGCATCGACGGGGCGGCTTTGCTGTCATCTCGACAGAGATTTCAAGGCTGGTCCGAACAAGAGAAGAAAAAAGTGTGGTATGGATGCCAACCTTGTTGTAATTCAGATCGAGGCCGTGCTACGATGTAAGCTTATTGTGTGGGTGGTGGATGGTGGAGATGGGTGTTGTTGAGCACGTTTATTAGACGACAAGATGTGAATTCTCACCAACCATAAAGTGCTTGTAACCCAGATCGAAAATCTCCGTGTAATGAATTTTCCGTGTAATTAAAATCAGGTACCGTCATCATTATTCCATACCCATTTCTTGCACTCTTCCGACTCGACGTTGCCCCCCCGGCCTAATCTGAGGCTCCCGTTTGACGCATTGCCTGAATAGGCAATCGTCAAGACCCCTCGAGACAAGTGCCAGACGCGACGCGAGACAACTCCTGGTTACATCTCGCCGAGCTGCCCGCCACCGATGCAGGATGCACAACCTCAAAGGATAGCTAGACTGCCGCATAGCACGGTGGCGCGCCCCATGAGATCCCCCTTTTTCCCCCCAGGCAATTACTCCAATGGTGCGGGCGACGGTTGAGTCGGGGACTTACTTGATCGGATCGCCGGGAACCCGACCTCTGGCCGCCGCCCACCTGCAGGCCCAGAACCAACCAGGAGCTACGCCCAAAACAAGGCCAACCACTGTAGAAACGGAGGCGAGGGCTGATCCCACCCCATCTCACCCCTTTCTTTTCCTTTTAATTTTTTTATTCTTTAATTTTTTTTATCTCTTATTTTGCCAACTCATTTAGAATTTTTCTCGGACATGGGATGATGTAAGCGATAGGGTGGCGGCACCAGGCGTTTGGGCTTTGCAACAGATCATGTCATGACTACCTAGTTATAATGCATCGAGTTTCCCGTCCCCCCTCGACAAGTTCTCTTCCTTTCTCCTTTTCGTCTGGCATTCTCATCCTGTTTTCTTAGTCGGTAGTCTCTTACCCTTTTCTTTTCGTTTGCACGAGAATTTGCGCTCCTTAATCTATACCCGTCCTTTCGTTTTTTTCCCACTTACACGAGCAGGCACTCAACAACATACTTGACCAGCACATCTACGTCCTCTGGGAGGAACATATTGTTAATAAAGAACCACGACCAACAAAAATCTCTACAAGGAGAAAACACACACACACACACACAGCCCATCATGAAGTGGTCGACAACCGTCTCTCTGGCCGTCGCGCCTCTCGCCGCCATGGCCGCCAACAACAAGATGCGCAGAACCTACCCCGTCAGCGTCAACCCACGGGCCGAAGCCGCAAGCCAGCTCGACGGCCGTTCCATTGCCATCATCAACGGTATGAAGGGCCACGGCCTCAGCGCCGGCGCGCTGGACCAGGTTGTCATCATCTGGGTCAACCCTGGCAACAATGCGCCGACCACTAGCATCAACAAGCCCGCCCACCCCGGAGCCGGTCAGGGCGAGGCCACCCCCGCACCCGGTCAGGGCGAGGCCCCGCCCGCCGAGATTGCCACGACGACGGCCCCCAGCGAGAGCGAGACTACTACCGCCCCTGCCGCCGGCGCCAGCCATACCGTCAAGGTTGGCGGCCCGAGCGGCCTCGTCTTCGAGCCTGACCAGCTCAACATCCCCGTTGGCGACTCCGTCGTCTTTGAGTTCCTCTCCCAGAACCACACCGTGACCCAGTCCCCGTTCGATACGCCCTGCAAAGCCCTGGAGGGCGGCATGGACTCTGGCTTCCTGGCCAACCCCAACAACACCGTCAACCCTCCTCCCCAGGTCGCCATGCAGGTTATGGCCACTACCCCTCTCTGTAAGTTCCGGCGCAGGGCCCCTCCTGTCGAATCGATTCCAGCTGTACTAACGCAAACAAAAAAGGGTTCTACTGCAGGCAAGCGGGCCACTGCGGCAAGGGCATGGTCTTCTCCATCAACCCCACCGCGAATAAGACGCAGGCCCTTTTCCAGTCCATGGCCATTGCGCAAAACGGCACTGGCGAGGCCACGCCCATTACCGGCGGCACTGGCAATCCTGGCGCTGCTCTCCCACCCCCCCCTCCCGCCAATGCCGAGGAGCCCCAGGAGTCCACCACCTCTGAGCCGGCCCTGGAAGAGCCCACTAGCGCTGCACCGGTCGAAGAGCCTGGCGCCACTGAAACGCCGTCGTCCCCTGCCGTTGGTGGTGAAGGTGAGGGCGGCGCTGGCGCTACCACTGGCACGGGAACTGTTGGTCCTGACGGTAGCTGCACCTGTGTCGTTGCTTGCAACGCCGACGGCTTCCCTGCCGCCGCCCAAGGTTCTGGTGCCTTTGGCGGATTTGCTGGTAAGTAACACATCCTCAAAGACGCTTGACGCAGCAAAATCTAACAGTAGACAGGTACTCTGCCCACCAAGATGGCTGCCATGCGATAAGGGATGCCGTGGATCAGTTCGGGGTTGGAGTCGTGGAAATGAGTTCGGATGATAGATTGTTCCAACTAGTTTGCGTTGTGTTTTCTTTTCGCCATGTACCAGCCTTCTCTAGAGGCATGGTTTGATGTCTCCTTTTCTCTTTGTATGTTGATCTTGGTATATATATGGCTGGCACGTATCCTTGGACGGGGGAAAATAATGAAGCAATTCTCATGTAAAGCCTCTTTTTTGAAGTGTGTCAATTGTCGTCCATGCCTGCTTGCTGTGTTTGGTTAATGGAGGCCGTCAGCAGACTGACCAGTATTAAATGGGAGTGCCAAGCGCAGCAGAGGAATAAAGAAAAAAAGGGGACGGCGGAAGCCAGCTTTGGTCAGAAATCATCTATTGATCTCGAAAACAAAACATCATTCGAAATACAAGAAACCATGTCGCCAGGCTCAGATGCTCCAGCCGCCCATAACACCGCACCTCAGTTGTATACGCCGTTGGAGAGAAATGTCAAATGTCGGGAGAAAGATGGCTCGCTAGATGTGTCGATCGTGAAAGACTTTGTCGCATCGGCGGGCTACTTCCTTTGAGCGCACCAGCTCATTTCTTGGCGGCCTCGGCTTTTTTCGCTTCGGCTATTGCGAGAGAGTATGTTAGCCACCGTCTTGACCACGTTGCACCCGAAGGGCCGTTCGTACCAGCAGCCTGCTTCGCGCGCATGATATCGGCGGCGCTCTCCTTGGCGCGCTGCATCTCGGTGCCGCTCATGCTGTTTCCCTTCTTCTGCGATGGGGGTAAAACTCGTGCGTTAGAATTGCGATATCGCTGGATGAGTAGTCTTGGTCGTGGTGGCCGGGCTATTGTGCCCCGCGACCGGCGGGGAGAAACGAACCTGCGCGGCCAGCTTCTTCTGGTTGGCCTCACGAGCCTTGTCCCTCTGATTTCCGCGAGCCATTATAGTCGGTTATTCGGAGAAGTGAGGAGGTGAGGGTGGACAGACGGGCAGAGCAGAGAAGGTCAAGTGGCGAAAGAGGGAGAACGGGGTAGGGAAAAAAGACGCTCGGCTCAGCGTTCCCACCAGCTGCTACGTACTGAGGGCATTTTTGGATTGGGTGGGACGATTGGGCTTGTAAAGGCCTTTGCGAGCGGTCCAACCGCCGCAACTGGTCAAAGGACTTTTGTTCACTCTTTTCATCATCTTTGCCCGAAAATCATTTTCCAAATCTGCTTTTATTCTTTTATTCCGAAGTTTCATACCTGCCAAAGTTTGCTACATTATCATGTTGAAATGAGACGTTCCGGGGCTTCTGTTCGTTGCAATGAATCACGGTGGCTTTGTGACAGTGATTCTGGTGTCTATCTAGCACGCACACTGGCCATTATCTATATCAAGATTACTTTTGAAACTTAATATTGTCCCAAAAATTGAGTATTTCGCTTCGTTGACAGGGATGAGGGCAGTATTACAGCCAAGAAGAGCGGCAGCAAGCAAGTAAGCAAGTAAGCAGGCAGGCAAGCAGGCATGAAGAGCATAATGTATACCCGATGGATTTGCTATACACAAGTGATTGTGATTTGATTGAATTTGTGCTTTATAATATCTAATCCTGCGCGGCCTTGAACAACCGGTCGTGGTTAAGTTGTCGCGGGAAATTTTGGATGAGTCAGATGCAGGACCGCTTTCTCAAGGCAGGGATTACAACAATAGTGCTTTGCAGCCCGGCAGAAAAGTGAGAAAAAAAAGAAAATAATAATAATAATAATAATAATTAAGCGCCACAACAGATTAACAAGGCAGAGGGCAACATCTACAGTGGGCGGGACGAGATGTTTTAGTTGCTGCCTAGTCCCTGAAACTGCCCATCGGCCGCCAACAACCAATCATTCACTCTTAGCGCTTCCATCTTGGGATGCCTTCACACCAACTCAGGTCGTCCTCCAAGCTTTATTCAGCACTGCTTTGATGGAATTTGTACAAACCCCCGGTACAGCGGGGCATGAGGTCTTCTGACACGGTTCTGTTCTGACTTTCTTCTTGAATTTTTGGGTGCATTATCCAGGACGCACGCACGCCCGTGTGCCACAAAAGCTGCACACCACACGACCGGCCCAACGCGCCAGCCATGAAACATGGCCGTCAATCAGTTTTCCACCACTGATTTTGCTCTGATATCCCCGTATGCCCCGGTCTCTCGACCTTTCGATTGGATCTCATGGCATCAAGGCCATGGTCCTCAACAGCCGGTCAGTATAGTCCCCTGCCCTGCTGGCCTTGCTGGACCGCGGCCACCACGAAAGCCGGATACAGGGCGTGCTGTAAATAGAGTCACGACGAGGCAGCCGGAATACAATTGTTCTCTATTGATTTCCATTCAATCACGGTCACGGCTTAGTGCGTTTAGCATCTGGTGCAACGTAGCTCAGAGCGCCAACGCCCGTCACCTTATTCAAGCTTATTAAAGGTGCCTGCTCTGCCCCATTGTCTCTCACTTTCTCCCCAGTTTCTCTTTTCGCTATTGTCATCCAACGGCGATGCTGATTGTTCTTTTCTGCTGAGCAAAAGTCTCATATCTCGTCCTTCTTTTATTTCCTGCCCTTTCTGTGGTTTTCTTCCTTGCAACCATCTCTGGACTGGCTCCATCACTCATACTCTTTCTCTCCTTCCCCAAGTCACGCCTCTTTGAACCCACACAAGCCCCCAGCGCCCTTCATTCACTCTGCTGGCCAGACGCTTTCGTACTTGCCCATCAAACGATATATAATGTATGCATCTTTCATTTAGTATTTACATGATTCTATTCTTCTTCATTCTGCAAATAATAGCCTGCTTACAACCCTGCAGAGTCCCTTCCTCGAACCTCCTCCGACCACGGGTGGCTTATAATTAAGCCTGCGGAATAAAGGCCCAATAGAAACGTTCATTTCATCCTCGAGCAACATCATCATGTTTTGCAAAATGCCGAGCCTTGGATCTCTGCACGGAGCTGGATACTTTGTGCTCCAAATCTTGCGCGTCTGTACTGTCATTACCCTGCTCGCCGCCGCCGCCGGATGCTGGGTTCTCATCATCCAAGTCGCCAAGTACAAGTCATACTTTGTCTTCCAGTGCATGTCTCTTTTCTTTACCTCTATGGGCTGCCTGTTCCTCATTATTGCCGAATTCCCCGTCATTAAATTCGTGCGCAGCTTTTACCGCGACTCCTGGCCAGTCCTATCCGACTCTCACGGCGTTGGCTGGATGGGTGCCGCCATCATCATCATCGGTTGCCATGTTTTGGGTACACTGAACGAGCAAGGCTACGACACTGATGCCTTTTCTGCCCACTTCTCCAAGCTTGTCCTGTCCTCGGGCATTCTTTGCATCCTGTTTGGCGCCCTCAACATCATCTGCGCCCTCATCTGGCGCGATGCCAAGCAAGGCATTACTTCACGCGACATCCGCACCCATGGTTCCCTTGCCGCCGATTGCGCCACGCTCCCCAGCTACAGCGCCAGTCCAGCCACCTCTATCCGCAACGAAAAGACCAAGAGCAAGTTCATGAGCAAGATTTTCAAGCGCGGGTCCGACAAAGACGACGTCGGCCCTCCGCCCAGGCCAGTCATCAGCGGCCCATACACATCTGGGCCAGAGGTTTCCCCAACTGGAGCTACCAGTCCTATTGTCCCTGGGCTCAAGCGACCCAACACAGCCCTGCACCCGATGCACGGCCACCGAGCCAGCAGCCAATATTCTGTGGCCGATCACCCGAATCAACTCTAAGAATGCCTATTTTGAGTTGTGGGCGTTTTGGAGTCATTCATTTTCTGTATGAGTAAGATATACTTCGGCGAGATTGGGCTTGGAGGCGTTCATCGTGTTCCCCGGCCGATTTAGCTTTCATTACGAAAAAGCTTTTTTCTTGAGATAGAAAAAGGACAAAATTGATTTTTTTTTTTAAAAAAAAAAAAAAAAAGAGCCACCGAAATCTAAAGGTAGTATCCGTACATGCTGGTGAAATTCGGGCTCGCGTCCAGGCAACGCTGTATCATGGCGTAAGGGGTATACCAAAGCCGAGGCTTCAGCCTTCGTAGTACTTCCACTTCCAAGACTGTAGCAAAATAGATGATACAGTGTAATCAAGTCAACCTCACATGGAAAAATTTTGACAAAGCGTCCTGCCGGCAGCCTCTATAGAAATTAGTGTTCAGAGCAGAGCCACCTGGGAGTCCTGAGCTGAAGTGGAGAACTCACATTAATGAGGCTGCACGTGATTCATCGCCCCAGCCAAAGTTCTGCGACCGCGGCCAGCCGTCGACATGACTTTGTCTCCTCTCCATCATCTCTTTGCATCAACTCGACTTGCGCCAAACGACCGAAGCGAATTCTTCAGTATCGAAATAATTCTCTTAATCTGTTCTTGTACCAAGATCCGGGTCGTCTGCGCTGCTGGGTAGCTCTGTGCATGGTCCAAGGCAAGGCGTCTCTCTCGGCCGGCAGTCACAGCGAGTTTGTGCACACGCTACGTTGGGCTGTTGTGACTGCTTATCTTAGAACAACAAATCCACTTGAACTGTCCTTTACTCGCCGTGTCAGCCAACAGGCAGTGCTGACATTGCCGTGATTTTGTTGTTGGAGCGCATTGATTGACTACGCGAGCTTCTGTTTCTTTCCCCGCGAACATTTTTCTTGCAGCAAGTGTCCCATTTCCTCGGGAGTAAATCTGCCTTGCAGTACTTGGTTACTTAGGCTTGAGACCAATTTACACCTACACAACTTGACAACCAAATACATAAAAGCCCGTCATAATGTCGGCAGAATCAGATGAGGTGGCGGAGGACTACCGTCTCGCCCTGGAGGACCTTTCTTCAAATATGCGATTTGAAATTAGCAACCTGACTGTGATTGCACGAGAGAACACCGAGCATGCATTGGCCATTGCCGAGGTTCTACAACAACACATTCTCAAGGTGAGTAATAAGCCAATGGCTGTTGCGATGCGATAATGACTGAATTATCTACTATCGCAATGCGAAAACACTACTCGACATGCTGACCGATTCTCAGGCACCCCCTGCTAAGAAGCTGCCCGCTCTCTATGTGCTCGACTCCATTGTCAAAAATATTGGCACTCCTTACACCCTCTATTTTGGACGGAATCTATTCAAGATATTCATGGAGTCGTATGCGATGGTCGACGGTCCTGTGCGAAAAAGAATGGAGGACATGCTCAAGACATGGAAGGACCCTGTCCCGGGATCGATGGATACCAGACCAGTCTTCTCTCACGAACTGGTCCGGCCGATAGAAAATGCCCTCATGCGAGCACATGCGGCTTCCATGCCGCAAAATGCAATGGCCGGCCGAGGACGAGGGGTCCTGATGCCACACCGCAACACCCCTACGCCGCCAGGCATGCGTGGTTTTCCAGTTGGTGATGGACAAGGTCGGCCACAAAACGGGGGACAGGTACCTGGCCAATATCAAGGCCAGAACTCGGTAAGCCGCCAATGCTATCCAAGTCCTGTCCAGCCTTCTGACAAATGGCAGGGTAACCATTACCGTCAAATTACGCCACAGCCTGGCCAACTGCAAGGACCTTATCCGGCTCCTGGACACTATGGCGCTGGGCCGCCGGGCACAAACGTAGACAAGTTGAATCAGGATATCCAGAATCTGATTGTAGCAACGCAAGCCGAGTTTTCACAGAATCCGCATGACGCGAGTATTCAGACCAGATTTAAAGCATTGATGGATCTTCAAGGCGTCGTCCAAAAGTCGACGTTGCCTCCAGATCAGCTCGAGCTCATTAAAAACAAAGTAACCGAACTTGCTGCTGTAACCAGGCCCAGCGCGGCTCTTTCACACATGGGGCAAAACCTGCTACCTACTCATTCTTCTCCGGGACATTTCCAACAACTATCTCAGCCCTCAGCTCCCGTTGCGGGCCAACCCCCGTTAGGGCAAGTGTCACTCGATGCATTGCTAGGCCAAGGAGCTCTTGCTGCGCTGATGGCAAGAACTGGATCTAATTCCAATAACTCGACACCAAACCCTCAAGGCTTGGGAGCAATACGATCACCCCCTCCTGCGCCAGCCCAACTTCCACCACCTGCCGCCGCGGCCCCGACTGATGCAATGTCTTTGCTTGGTAGACTGCGACAAGCGGGTATATTGCCGTCGGCTACTACCCCAACACCGCCAGTTGCCCAAGTTGCGGCGGCGCCTCCCCTGATACCAGCCAACATTGCCAGTATTCTTTCGGCGGCCAAGGCTGGTGCTTTCGGAGTTCCCAACGTGGGAACAGGCGGCATCAATGAAGTCATGTTAAAGCAACAGTAAGTAGTCTGTACTGCAAGGTAGCATTAAAGCTTACTGACTGTTGGCAGACCACCTGAGAACATCATCCACGCGCTGTACGACGAGCTCGGTCCGCCTTGCGCTGAATGTGGCAGACGCTTCAAGCGTAACGTGGAGGGTGACAAGAAGAGACGAGCCCATATGGACTGGCATTTCAAGGTGAAGCAGCGAAGCGCCGAAGCGGAGAAGAAAGGAACTCATCGTAGTTGGTACGTTGATCAGCAGGTAAGCCAAGACATACTCATGTCCCCTATTAGGAGTTTCTACTAACATGATACTCAGGACTGGCTTAAATCACGCGAAGTCGTTGACGCAGATCACGTTGCGCAACCGGAGCCTTCGGCGGAGGAGCAGTCCAAGACTACCTCGGGTCCCAAGTACATCCCAGTCCCAGAACCCACCAGCGGCATCAACAACATTTGCCCCATCTGCCAAGAAAAGTTTGAAAATAAATGGCTCGACACGGCGCAGGAGTGGGTGTGGCTGGACACGGTCCTCGTACGGAACCGCGCCTATCATGCTTCGTGTTATGCCGAAGCTACGAGGGACCGCGAGGGCACGCCTGGCGCGTCGAGACGGACCCCAGAGCCTGTGCTCGGGAAAAGGAAGGCGGAATTCGGACTCCTGTCACCCAAGATTAGGACGCTTAAGACTGCGTACTAGAAGCTGACCAGACATGAGTCAGCCGGCGTTGTAAAGGCTTTTGGTGTTTGGCAAGATTTATTGGGACTGATATGACAGCATGGACTGGACATGGCATGGGGGCGGCGTTTTACGATGGGTATTCGGAGATGCATTTCATCTTTGACCAGGATTTTAGAGGCACAGCTATCTGTATATAACCTTTTTTGAAAGTGCCATCAACTGTCTTGGGCTCTTCATTGCCAGATCTGCGGACTGGACACGGAGCTACTATTTGATCAATATCATCATTGAAAAAAGCACAAGAAAATGAACTGCTTTGTGGTAAAGAATCTGTGAATAAAAAAAAAACAGCCAAATGTTTTCCTCTCTTTACGACTCGTGAAGGGGTCGGGATGGTCGAGTCGGTCCTTTGTGAAACAGCCGAGGCTGGCCTCCGGGCGCGCAATCAACAGATTTGCCGGACGTCGCACTAGAAGCTTGCGAACTGTCCCCTCGGCTGCAATCAGCAATCCACGCACTTCCTTTGTCCATTTCACCTACCAATTGAGCTTCCGGCGCCATGAATACGGAATACTCCCTGCACCAGCTCTCCTTCTTCGGCGCGGTCCTTGTTGGCGGCTACCTGACAGTGCGCGTCATGATTCCGCCAAACCGCACGCCGGCGGACCGGGCGTGGCGCAACGACTCGCTGTGGTTCGCGAGCAGCACCGCCTTTATCAACCTGGCGATTGCGTCAGCCTCGGCGCTCGTGCTGTACCACGACGCGCTGACGGTCGCGGGCCCGGCCGCGACGGCGCGCATCTGCCCTGCGCCGCCGGGCCAGCGCAACGCGGCGCTCTTCACATGGAGCCCGACGACGGCGGCGGCGCTGCTCGGCATCCTCGTCGGCGCGCCGCTGCGCATGGGCGCCTTTAGCGGTCTCGGGGCCAACTTTACCTTTGGGCTGGCCAGGCCGCGCGGGCTCGTGACGACGGGCATCTACGCGCACGTGCAGCACCCGAGCTACACGGGCATGTGGCTGGTGGCGGTGGCGGCCTTTGTGCTGTTTTGCCGGCTCGACGGCGTCGTGGCATGCTTCGTCCCGCCGGAGAGCTGGCCGCTCGTGCAGGGCTGGAGCGCGACCGTGTACGCGGGCGCTGGCTTGCTGCTGATGCAGCAGATGACGACGAGGGTGCGCCAGGAGGAGGCGATGCTGAGGGAGCTGTTTGGCAAGGAGTGGGAGGAGTGGCACGCGAGGACGAAGAGATTTGTTCCGGGGCTGTTTTGATGGGATTGTAGTTGAGATGATGGGGTCGGGACATGTACTCGTGGCTATGAGTAAGGCACTGTCTCAGTTGCAGTCTTGATAGAATTAGAGTATAGATCAATCTGGCAATGTGGGAAGGGCATTCAGCAAGGGCTTTTTTTTTTTTACAATCCAAATAGATGAGCTAGATTACGTATCTCATTCTCTCATATGTTCGACATGTCTAGTAATGTAAGAGAGGCTTTTCAACTTGATCCTACATAATCCGTAATCACGATACTGGATAATGTGAATGGTAGCATGATCTACACCCCGCAAGTAGGTGACACAGCCGATACTCTACTCAGTACATGACATTGAAAAGATCTACCATAATCAAATCTTTGCTCTGTTTGGCTTCATATTCCTCCCTCTTCATTCTTGTTACCTCATCTCCAGGTTGGCCGTTTTCGCTTAACCCTGGCCTCCGCTGCCGCCGTGGCGACATCAGCACTGTGAGTCGCGCTCTGTAGCCACTTAAACGCGTCTCCCAGTGAATTTTTTTGAGCAGCGGCAAAGCACCTCTTTCATATCTCCCATTGTCATCTCTTGCCTTTTTTCTGTCCGATATCTACTCGATTGCTCATCTTTCAATACTCTTTTGCTTCGCACATGTCTGTCGATTGCCCAATATGCAACAAACCCGTCAAATCCTCCGAGATCAATAACCACATCGACTCTGGTTGCACGAGCTTCGTCGTCGACAAGGAGTCACCACCCTCGACAGCCACCAACGGCACGGCCGCCTCATCGCAGCACCCGCCGCCGCCGCCGACGACGACGACGACACAAAAAAGAAGCGCCTCGAGCTTCTTCTCGACGCCCGCGCCGAAACGACTGCAAAATGCCGACCTTAAGCCTGTGACGCCCGCGCCGCTCATTGGCATGAAGCGAAGCTTTGACGAGGGCCCCGGCGCGAGCGACGCCAGCATCAGCGCGCCGTTGTCTCGAGTCAGTGATTTGAAGGAGGTACCGCCACTGAAAAGCAACGCCGAAGAGGCAGCAGCAACAGCAGCAGCAGCGCCGGCCGCCTCACTCTCGACGACGCCCGAGAACGGCAAGCTGGTCAAGCGCGCCAAGCTCAGCAAGGCGGCGCCGCTGGCGGAGCGCATGCGGCCGACGACGCTCGACGAGGTGTGCGGGCAGGAGCTCGTGGGTCCCAACGGCGTGCTGCGGTCGCTCATCGAGTCGGACCGGGTGCCGTCCATGATTCTCTGGGGCGGCGCGGGCACGGGCAAGACGACGATTGCGCGGTGCATCGCGCAGGCGACGGGTCGGCGCTTCGTCGAGATCAACGCCACGAGCTCCAGCGTGGGCGAGTGCAAGAAGCTGTTCCAGGAGGCGGCCAGCGACCTGGCGCTCGCGGGCCGGCGCACCATCATCTTTTGCGACGAGATTCACCGCTTCAACAAGGCGCAGCAGGACGTCTTCCTGCGGCCCGTCGAGATGGGCACCGTGACCCTCATCGGCGCCACCACCGAGAACCCGAGCTTCAAGGTCGTCCACGCGCTGCTGTCGCGCTGCCGCACGTTTACGCTGCAGGCGCTCAGCACCGACGACGTGGCCGCCATACTCAAACGGGCGCGCGACGCCGAGATGGCGGCCGGCACGTACCCGCAGACGGGGCTCGTCGACGACGCCATGCTGGGTTACCTGGCGCGCTTCTCCGACGGCGACGCCCGCACGGCGCTCAACCTGCTGGAGCTGGCGCTGTCGCTGACGGCCCGGCCCGGCGCCACGCAGGACGGCATCAAGGCGTCGCTGACCAAGACGCTCGTCTACGACCGCGCCGGCGACCAGCACTACGACACCATTTCGGCCTTTCACAAGTCGGTCCGCGGCGGCGACGCCGACGCCGCCCTCTACTACCTGGCGCGCATGCTGCAGTCGGGCGAGGACCCCCTGTTCGTCGCCCGCCGCATGGTCGTCATCGCCTCCGAGGACGTTGGCCTCGCCGACAGCTCGCTGCTGCCCCTCGCCACCGCCGCCTACACGGCCGCGCAGCAGATTGGCATGCCCGAGGCCCGCATACCGCTCGCCCACTGCGCCGTCGCCCTCTGCCTCGCGCCCAAGAGCACGCGCGCCTACCGCGCCCTCAACAACGCCTACGCGGCCCTCCGCGAGCCCGGCGTCGCCGCCCTGCCCGTGCCTCTGCACCTGCGCAACGCGCCCACGCGGCTGATGCGGGATCTGGGCTACGGCGCAGAGTACAAGTACCCGCCCAACTACCGCGACGGCCGCGTCAGCCAGTCATATCTGCCAGAGGAGCTTCTCGGGCGGCGCTTTCTCGAGGACAGGGACTTGGGCACGCAGGTTGACCCGGATGTCGTCATGAAGGACGAGGGGGCACAGGCATGAAACACTGGAAGGGTGAAAAAGGTGTACAAGAGCAAGCGGGGAGGGGTTTCATTATAGCATTCATGGCGCTCGAATTCACAAGTTCAGGATCATATTTTGGCATTGGTCGCCAAAGGTAGTCGTAGTTGGAAACCTACTACCAATAAAACGTTGTACATTCCATTCATTCATCTGTCTGAGCTGCAGCCTTTCTAATGATACAAGTAATATAAATGATGATGCTCATGCAATAAAACGCCACTATGCTTGTACACCCGCTACTCTTCTGTAAGATCAATAATAGAGACATCGCTCCACCGAGTCACCTTACCCTTTATATTAGACGCGGCCAGCTTGGCCTCTTCTCGAGCTATGACCTCATCCCTCTGACCAACGTCCACTTCGATTTCGCGCAGCGTGCCCGCGGCGCCCGGGACGAGTAGCTTCTTCCGCCGCGATGGCGTGGGGCTGCCGCTCCTGTCACCGCTCGCAGCCTGGCTCTCTTGGGACCGGCGTTTACTAGGAGATGAAGGCTCTGCTGGTAGCATGTCGGACATGGACAACGGAGAAGAATCGGCATCTAATGAATCATCTAGTAGTTGCTTCTCTGACTGGCACGACAAAGCCGGCTCTGTGGATTTGGGCTCCGTTGTTTTGCGCGCTGTATAAAAGTCCAACGAGGTTTGCTTAAACTTTGGAGCTGATCTCGATGCTACAGTCTTTGTTGGATTGACCGGACGCCTGGACCCTGATTTTAACCTCGACGGCGAAGCAGCCGCGGCAAACTGCGAATGTAAGGAGCTAGCAGCCGGCGCAGGCTGTGAGGTAGGGGCCTGAGAGAAGGGTGCTGTAGATGATGGCGAGGTTTGACGGGGAGGACTGGACGAAATAACAATGGCTTCGGAGTAGACAGTGCTTTTGGAGGGTCTAGGCGGGATGTGTAAGCGAGCTTCCCCCTTGTCTGGGCTGCCTGTAGCAAAGGCGCCGGTCTGCTTACTTTGAGATCGAGGGGGCGTTTTCGGTGGGCGAGGGAGTGGTGGCAGCTCCTGAGACGGTGTGGTGGCCTCGATAGAAGAAGAGGGCACCTTATTTCGTGGTGATGATGGCTTGTCTTTCGTGACGCCTTTTGTGGCAACATTCGACTTCTTGCTAATCGAAAAGAGCTCATGAGATGGTATGACGGCCTCGGTAGAAGAAGAGGGCACCTTCTTTCGTGATGGTGATGGATTGGCTTTCATGACGCATTCTGTGGCAGCATTCGACTTCTTGCTAATCCGAAAGAAGCTGTCAATGGCGCCTGTAGGCATTCCAGTGTCCTTGGCCGGCTTGGCTGCCTTTTGGGCTTGCTTCTTCTTGGGTGACTTTCGAAGCGCCTTGGCAGCCTCTGCGGCCTCGAATCTTTGTATTGATTCTGGGGCATAGTGCTTTGTGACATCCTCCAATACCCAAGCAAGCTCAGGGACAGTTACGTCAAACGTCTGCGGTGTTTTGGCTTCTGTCACCTGCGAGGGGGCGTACTCGTCGTCGCTATTAAGGGCGAGCCCAGCTCTCCCGTAGCTAATGTCCTCTGCCACCTCTGTGGACAGATCAATGGGAACCACCTCCTGAGGTATGTATGATAGCCGCAATTCTGGAGTGGCGTCGGTGCTGAAATGAGTTCGGCGTTTCGTGATGTCCTGGATAAGGTTGCGTGACTGCATCAGGTTTTGAATAAGCATCGCTTGACCCAGTACTCGAATGAATTTGATAGCGCCCTCTCGGTAATCCCAGTCAAACGTCTCGCGGGCGAATTCGCGAAGAGAAGCCAGATCAATAGTCATCGGTTGTAACTTTTGGCGGATCGTTTCCAGATTTGTCTTTGGCGATACAACTGGATGAGTATAATATCGTAGTATCTCCATGTTAGGGAAGTCGTCAGGTATATTCAAGCTCTTGTGTTTTGTTCGAAAATGGCCACTTTCGTTGGTGACGAGCTCGTGGCGTAGTTCTGCTCTCCACGCGTCAATGCTGGCCGTGTCGGAGGTCTTGAGTTTGCAAAGAGAGCTGCCAAATCCGGCATTGGCAGCTTCGCATGCAACCTTGACACCGCATCCAGGTAGGCCGTCCGGGAGATAGTCGCCGCCACTCATGAGAGCGACGAGCACCATGCCCTGCCGGTCCAAGCCATGATTAGCAACGGCAGCTGTGTCGTAAAGCGAGACGTGTGTAGGCACTGTGACTGTCTTTCCCTCGGCTGACCAATTTCGAAGGGTCTTTGTACAGCCAAACATGATTGTGTCGACATCTTCGCTGAGCACTGCGTCAACAATGCCATGACGTTGGAGCAATGCACACTCTGCCTCTGCCTCGCCCGGCGCATCCAGAGCAGGTAAGCCAAATAAGCGAATCAGGCGCTTGGCCTGTGAATTTGCAACGCCATCGCCGCGACCTGATCTTTTGTTTCGTTTGGTGGTGGGTTTATTGGGGCCGTCAAAGACAAAAATTGGCTGGACGGGAATAGCAAGCAATCGTACAAGTCTGTAAAAGAGGGTTCGAATCGCAGGGTTCGTGCCACCTAGTTGCTTGGGTCAGATGAAGTGCAGACTACTGATGAAATTCCTTGCGCACCTCTTGCAGCCTGCGCTTGGAATTGCCAGATTGCGACGTCAATGGCGATTCGTAGCGGGCGGCCTTCGGCTTGGAGTGTATCGGCCGCGAGTTTGGACAGTGACACGCGCTGGCCTGGGCCAAGCTCTCCGTAGATGCTAAAATTGTTAGAAATGCCCAAGATACAACAGTCAGGCAGCATACCCTTTGATACCCATCAGAAAGTCATATTGAAGTCATTGGCAGCGAAATTATGCAAAGTGCACGATGCTAATGTGGCTAGTTGTAGAGTTGACGGTTTGGCCTGCTCTGGTTGCTCTGGTGAAGGCACTGATTGTTGACTTTACTGGGGCATCGGCGCCTAACCTGCCGACGCTTATTTTTACCAGCGAGTGTTTGCTAGCGGCTTCATTGGCCCGCCAGGGGGGTCTTAAGCTTGTTTGAGTTGCTCAAGCTCTCCATCTGGCAACCAACACTTGATGACATTACCGCGCCAAATTTAGCATCATGGCTTCCGGAGACGGCCCGGCTCTGGCTCATAGGAGTGTCTCCAACATAAGAACTGCTCAAGGCCAACAGCCGACGCCCTCAACACCACATACACCGCCGCGTGCCATTCCAGGTTCCTACGGCTCCCCGGCCACCGTTCGCGCCGACGATGATTTTCTACTCATTGAAATCGGCTCCCGTAATATCCGCGTAGGCTTTGCCGGCGACAGCGTTCCGAAAGCAGTGCTGTCAAGCGGGCCGCAAGACCAACGGCGTGCTGGTGACTTTAGGCAGTGGACCGAGTCGGAAGCGCTGAGAGAGTACTGGGCACCCGAGTATGAGATTTGGCGCTACGACCTGCGAGATTTTAATCTTGGCTTATTCCAAGATAAGCTTGAGAGAATGCTCCGTGATGCATTCACGCGGTACGGCAATTGCTTCGCTCGCTCACTGGCCAGACGCTGATTTGCGACTAGACATTTGCTCATTGACTCGCGGCCGCGAAGAGCTGGCCTAGTCTTGGACTCTGCAGTGCCTATACCGCTTCTGTCATCTGTCCTTGATATTCTATTCACAAAATTCCAAGCGCCTTTGGTGTCGTTGCTGGCCGCTCCGACCATGACGGCGGTGGCGGCTGGCATGCGCTCAGCGCTGGTGATTGACATGGGCTGGTCCGAAACCGTTGTCACCAGCGTTTATGAATACCGCGAGGTCAAGTGTACCCGCAGCATAAGAGCAGGAAAGAGTCTTCTGAACAAAACATACAAACTACTACACAACATCATCACCGGAAAAGAAGACGAAGAAGAATTGCGAGAAGCCAATCATGTCATCTCCTTTTCCGAATGCCAAGATATCATGTGTCGACTCATGTGGTGCCGAGGCGCCGCCAATAGATCAACGCAAAGGCAGTCGACACAGCTGGATACTGTGGTAGAACAGGACGAAACAGAAGCAGCTGCATCACATGTTCGAGGAGAGGCTAGGGTTCCATTGCAGTCGACATCTCAGCCAAAGACTATTCAAGTCTCGTTTGAGAAACTGGCGGATCTTTGTGACGACGCCATGTTCGACTCATCTGCTAATCCATCCTCTTTTGACGATCACGAACTCCCTCTGCATTGGCTTGTGTATCAACATCTACTCCAGCTACCACTCGATGTCAGGGCTGTTTGCATGTCCCGCATCATGTTCACTGGTGGCTGTTCAAATATTCTGGGCATCAAGGAAAGGCTTGTTAATGAAGTGTCCAGCATCGTTGATAAGCGTGGATGGACTCCAGTCACCGGAAAGGGCGTTGATCGTCTACGGAATAGTGCGCAAATTCGCCGCAGCAGCACAATCTCACGATCCGCCGAGTCTCCTGCCCCGTCGGAGTTGAGTGATGATAGCGAGCAATTTCAATCTCGGCCAAGCTCCATCGCCACGCAGACTGAAGAGGATGCAATCGAGGCAAAGCTGGCCAGAAATCGAAGAATCTTGCCCCAGATTCAGGGGCAGCTGCGCGTACTGCATTCGCTAGGTCCTTGGGCTGGCGCCAGCCTGCTCTGCCAGCTCAAGATTCCCGCCATGGCAACCGTCGACAAAGAGCTCTGGCTGCAGCAGGGTGCTAGCGGCGCATCGCGCGCCAGTGATGTGGATATCAAAATGCAGCAGAGGCAGAGCATGGGAGCTGCTGGCCTGATAAGAGCAGGCGGAGGCCAGCATGTGAATTGGACGTTGGGAACTTGGGGCTCGATTTGAGCCCGGCTCTTGATGGCCTAGTAGATACCAAGGAGTTATTCTGGCGCACCACCACTGAGCTGCATTAACGATATATTACCAATGGCATTCAATAATTGAATCAAGATGAATGAAAATCATAAACGAGTTAAATGAGTCATGACGATTCTGACAGCTCACTGGTATGAGTGACGTTGTGCCTAGATTGCGCACTCGGCTAATTGCATAAAGGCGCTCCTTGCCAAGTCACCTCACCTCCAACTTTCAACACAAGATTGTTCAGCATCATGTAAAACACATCCACACCCGTCATGCAAAGGGTAATGAAACGGCTACATTGCCCGTCACTAAAGCTGGTGACGCGGCCTGCGGCGCATCGAAGCTATGCGTCGGCCGCGAAGCGCCCGTCCAATGGACCCAAGCCCGCGCTGGATATCAAGCACATCCGCCAACACCCAGAACGGTACGAGACGACATGCAAGGAGCGCCTGTACACGGCGCAAGCGGACAACCCCGCGCGCATCATTGCGCTGAGCGAGCAGCTGGTGCAGCTGCAGCACAGCGGGCGGGGTCTGCGAGAGCGCGCCAACCTGCTGCGGCGGGTGCTGGCCAACCCGGCCACGCTGACCGACGACAGCACGCTCGGGGACTTGAAGGCGCTGAGCCGGGAGGAGCTGCACGCGGACGCGCGGCGCATCAAGGAGGAGCTGGCCGAGACGGTGCGGCTCGAGACGGACGCGCAGCGGACGCTCGAGGAGCTCGCGCTGCAGCTGCCTAACCTGACGAGCGCGGAGACGCCGCGGGGCGCGGAGCCGCGCGTGCTGAGCTACATCAACGAGAAGCCGCTGTTTGACGAGGAAGGGCGCAGCAGCAGCAGCGGCAGCCAGCACATTTGGCGCTCGCACGTGCACATTGGCGCCGAGCTCGGCATCCTCGACTTTGCCAGCGCGTCGGTCACGTCGGGCTGGGGCTGGTACTACCTGGTGGGCGCCGCGGCGCAGCTCGAGCAGGCGCTGGTGCAGTACGCGCTCGCCGTCGTCACGCGCCACGGCTGGACGCAGGTTGCGCCGCCGAGCATCGTCTACGCGCACATGGGCGCCGCGTGCGGCTTCCAGCCGCGCGACCAGCACGGCGAGCAGCAAGTGTACGCGCTCGCGCAGACGCCCGACGACGCCGCCGCCGGCGTGCCGTCGCTCGTGCTGGCGGGCACGTCGGAGATTCCGCTCGCCGGCATGAAGGCCATGACGACGCTCGACACGGCCGACCTGCCTCTCAAGCGCGTCGCCGTGTCGCGGTGCTACCGCGCCGAGGCCGGCGCCCGCGGCGCCAGCACGCGAGGCCTGTACCGCGTGCACGAGTTTACAAAGGTGGAGATGCTGGCGTGGACGCGCGCCGATGCCGACGCGGCCCAGGACGTCTTTGACGAGATGCTCGACCTACAGACCGAGATACTAGGGTCGCTGGGCCTGCACGCCCGCGTGCTCGAGATGCCCGCCAGCGACCTCGGCGCGTCCGCCACGCGCAAGGTCGACATGGAGGCTTGGTTCCCGAGCAGGCAAGAGCACAGCGACGGCTGGGGCGAGGTCTCGTCGGCCAGCATCTGCACCGACTACCAGACGCGGCGTCTGCAGACGCGCGCGCGCCCCGGCGGCCACTCGGCCGGTGGCAGCGGAGGAGGAGTAGGCGGAGGGGGGGCTGCGGACGCCGGGTTCCCTTGGACACTAAATGGCACGGCGCTGGCGGTGCCGCGCGTCCTGGCCGCGCTGCTCGAGGTCGGCTGGGATGAAAAGGCAAAGACGGTGACGATCCCAGAGTGTCTGCGGCCGTGGATGGATGGGCGCGACAAGATTGGCCCGCCGACACCTCGAAAATAGTCGAGGAGCTAAACCTGTTGAGAGAGGTGGCACCTCTGAGAGTTTTGGTCTTGGGGGGATGGAAGGGCCTTTTGATACTTATGTGTGTAGCATCCTTCTTCATGTACGAATATTTAGATTTAGGCTCTGCTTTTGAGTCGCGGTTTGCATGAACCATTGAATATAATACCACCTTTGACTCACTACTTCAAGCAATGCATATATATAAATGTGACGCTAGACACTCCTTGTTACTTTGACTGTTGAATAGAAAGATGAGGCTCATATGGTATCGTAATTCGTCAGATGGAAAAGCACAGTGTCCAAGCCACCACCCATTCCGTTACCGCGGTGGGGGACTGATTGTGTTCCAGGTATGATTCTTGCTCATGGTCCTCTTCCGCAGGTTCATCATAATGTCGAGCTCCATCTTGGTAATGTCCTTTTCCAGATCCTCGTCGTCTTGCGCATACTGCGCCTCTTTCCGCTTGTCATACCAGATCCAGATGCCGACAATGGCCGCCGTGATGGGAATGGTGAGGAGAAAGTAAACCCAGAGCTTGTCCGAGATGACAGGGCCGCCACCTTGGCTCTACAAGTTAGCGTCTTCAATTCGGAGCGAGTCTTGGCGTCTCTTGTCAGAGGAGGAAGAAGAAGCTCACTGGATTGAAAATTGAAAAACGTCATGCTAAACACGGACGCGAGAAACGTGCCCGGGAGAAAGAGCGTGCCGAGCAGGGAGATGGTCTTCATAGCCGTGCTGTCGCGCTTGCTGGCGTGGGCGATGCGGCGCTGCTCTCCGGCGATTTCGAGGTTGAGACGGGCTTCGCGCTGCGACATGATGTTGTACAGCTGCGAGAGAAAGCTCATTAGCAATTGCGTTCCATGCGCACATCTTTCCAGAACAAGTTGCAGCATACCGCTTCTCGCTGCACCTTTAGTCGCTGCAGAGTCGTGTGAATGTAATTTTCCAAGCCCGTGAGCTTGACCTTGTAAAAGTCCATGCGAGCCAGCATCGACCTATGCAGCCGATCCAGCTGCCTCCTCTCCTCGTCCCTCGCCGCCGCCGCCGCCGCTTCCGCCTCCGCCTCCGCACTCTGATTGCTTCTCGCCGCCGCCGTCGCCTCATGCATGTCCTTGAACAGACCCATTGCCTTTTCCATTTCCCCCGTCAGCGCCATGTACGCCTGCGGCCGCTTCCACAGCACATTCGAGTGGCACTCGACCAGGTCGCGGTTCAAGCCGTCGACCTCGAGCTGGCCGTTTTGAAAGTACTGCTCGCCCACCTCAATCTCGTCTCGCATGCTCACGGCGTGCTCCAGTCGCCGCAGCCAGTCGCGCGCGTCGCGCTGCTTCTGGTCGTTGGCCGGCGCGAGGTCGTGCGCGAGGATAATGGTGGGCAGCAGCAGCGGGTGGCCGGCCTGCGCGGCGCACGCGCGCAGATGCCGCAGCGCCGCGACAATGTCCGACGACGGCGTGCCCTTGACGAAGCCCGTCGTCACGCCCGTCGCAAACGAGTGCGACAGCATCATCTCCCAGCCGCGCGTCCGGCCCTTTTTGCGCACGTCCGACTTGCGGTGCACAATATCTGCGGTTGCCCAACAACGCTTTTGAGTCAGCAAGCGTCAAGACCAGAGAGAATGAATGAAGCATGCGGTCAGGACTCACGCAGATGGGGATCGGCGTCGTCGTGGTCGTACGAGCTCCAGAAAAAGGGTCCGACGACAGACGTGGTTTCTATCCCGCGAAAGGGCAGTCGGAGAACCCGCACCATTTGCTCATATACATCCTTGGGGAGGGACAAGACCTTGGGCATAAAAGTATCCTTGTCCTGAGCATCAGTTTGAACGCTACAAATATATCAGCACGATTGATAGACGCATTATATCAGCCACACAGCACTCACACCAGCCGAATGCCACTCAAGAGCGAGGTTCCGGGACGCAGCTCTGGCGGTGCAAAGGCGCCCTACCAGACAGCATCAGCATCGTTCTTTGTCTGCATCTGCATCTAGACCATGACGGCAATGAAACGCACCCTGCGATGGAGAAAGTTTTCAAATTCATCTCGAGTTAAAATATGTTCCTCGCAGGAATTGTGAAAAGGGTCCTATTCTCCTGGTCAGCTTTGTCAAACCTTTCAATCCCTCCCTCCAGTGGTCAGCAGAGAGAGAGAGGCCGCCCTACTGAGTAATTAAAGATTTCCACATATTTTGTCGCCTCGGTCACCACGCGACACTCGTTGACATATTGCCGAAACAAATAATCGTCCATTCTGCTTCTTCACGGTGCCCAATCTTTCCCTGCAACTGTCGTGCAGCCTCAGAAAAAAAAAAGGGCTGGTGGTGATAGTTAACAGCTGCTGCGCCGCCAAGTCGTCCTACCCCAGCAAGTAACAAGACGACTGTCCAAACGAATGATCGCAATGCCAAGACAAGATTTCGATGGCAAAACGAAACGGATGCAAGAACCAAGAGATCAGTCTCAATTCTTCAAAAATTTCCATCGGGGCAACCCGCATCGGAACACCGTCTGTCCGCGTGGCTGATTGGTAACCACAGTGTAGATCCCCAGCCTCCGCCGTTGTGCAGATAAGATGGCTGCAGAACAGACACAGAACAGCCAGCACAAGATAAACTACCGAAGGACTACGGATACCTACCTACTGCCTACCTAGGTAAGATGCGCCCACTTGCGGAGCGTCCTGCAGCCATAGTACATGGCCCCTGTCATGCACACCGAATAGACTCGCCTAGAACTGGGAACCAGCCATTTTGCTTATTGTGCGAAGTTGCTGGCAACTGGCCGTTGTCGCCAATGCTCGTCCAAAGTCAACCAGTCATATTCAAAAGGTGTTTTTTTTTCCTGCTTTCTGTTTCTCTCGCAACAACGGTATAAATATTTGGTTATACAGATGCTTCTCATAGTGCATGTAGTAAAGACTTGGAGCGTGCGGTAATGTGTAATCATGGCCTTGACCATTTCGGAGTCTTCCACCCGGTATCCGTCACACGAAACAAAACAAAACAGCGTCATTCCCTGCCAGTGCTCGTGTCTTGCAATATGTACCCGCAGGCACGGGCTTATCCGACTGCCCTGCAGTCGACTGCGTCTGCCATATTTCTCTTCCTCAATTATCCTTCATCTTGGCCAATGGACTAGAACTCGGTGAACAGGTGGCCGTACCTAGTGGCTTTGTTAGAGATTGAGTCCTATTTTCTTCTCTTGTGCTTGTCATACTCATCAGGTCCGCCAGCATGGCCGTAGCCATCTGGATCCTCTGCATATCTATCAAACTGGCTCGCGTCGCCGGTACCAGCCTTGACTGGTGGTGTATATGGCGCATCGATATCTTTTCTGGCCAATCGATCCCACGTCACTTCGGAGAACCATGCGTGGTTCTTCACGTCCGCAGGTCCGCCATAGAGATTGCCAAGTCTCTTTGTCAGATCTGCTGTGATGAGTCGTTCGAGCAGATTTTGGGCATCCGCGTTTACGTATGCAGGGTATTTGACTTTGCCCTTGAGAATGTTCTCATATATTCTCATTGGCGAGCCGCTATCCCAGAACGGCGTGTAGCCGCACAGCATTTCGTAGATGAGGATGCCAAGTGACCACCTAGCTTCAGCGATTAGCCATTGATGCCGCTTGGCAGAGAGCGCTCCTTATCATTTACCAGTCTACAGACTTGTTGTAGCCCTTGTTGGACACGACTTCGGGCGCCAGATAATCTGGAGTGCCGCACAGTGTCCACGTCTTGTCCGGGACACGCTTGGCGAACCCAAAGTCGGTAATCTTGAGGTGCCCATGACGATCTAGTAGCAAATTTTCCGGCTTCAAGTCTCTGTATATAATGTTTTTCGAGTGCAGATACTCGAGCGCCAGGGTGGCCTCGGCAGCATAAAACTTGGCAACAGGGTTGGGAAAACGCTAATTAAACACCTTAGCATGCAATCTGGACGCGGAATAGGGGGATACACGGGGGAAAACTAACCCCAGACTTTCTCAATAATGAAAAGAGCTCGCCACCTTCAACAAAGTCCATGACCATGTACAGGCTTTTCCAGTCCTGAAAAGTACCCCAGAGGGTGATGAGAAAGGGATGCTTGACGTCGCTGAGCATGCGGCGCTCGTCATTGGTGTGCTCAACCTGCTTCATCTTGACGACTTGGGCCTTTTTCAAGACCTTGATGGCGTAGAAACGCTGATTGTGCTTGGACTGAACGAGGTGAACTCGGCCGAAACTACCGGTACCGAGGGTTCTGAGGATATCAAAGTCGGTTAGGGAGTATTTGCCCTTTGTGGTGCGAGGTTGAGATATGGAGGCCTGCTGGTGGTGATGGCTTTGGTGTTGCTGCTGCAGCTGCTGGGCCTGTTGATAAAGAGGCACCTGGTGTTGCTGCTGCTGCTGCTGCGGGTTCTGCTGCTGCGGATGCATTGCGACGCTGGGGACGGGATGAGCTTGCTGCTGTTGTTGTTGAAGACGGTCAGGGTCGGTGCCAGGGCTCTCACTGGCGGCATGGGGGTTCTGAGGGATGAGGTTGGCGGGATAGTGGGAATTGGGATAATTGTTGTTGTTGGAGATGGCGGCCTCGGGTTGCTGCGTGTTCATTAGGTTGCTGATGGCAGGGAGATTTTGGTGCTGGAGGGTCCCTGCCCCTCCGTACGCGGGATTCATCTGGGGTTGCTGCTGCTGCTGCTGGGTGGGGGATTGTTCGCTAGCCGTTTGCGCTTGCTGCTGGAAGGTCGAGGTTGTCGAGACTGAGATCGGGATCGTAGGCTGAGCGGCGCCGTGGCTGGACGGACTTGCCTGATGAGGGACGGCGGCAGCGGCAGCGGCAGCGGGAGCGCCAACAGACTGGCGGGCCGAGTCAAAAGGCTTCGAGTTTGCAGGTGAGACTGGGCTTGTGGGATTTGATGATGAGGGATCAGAGGTACCCTCTCTCGTCCTCTTCTTCTTGAGAAAGCCTAGTCCAGGCATATGGTGATGACGCGGGTGCGCGGTTTGCTTGTTAAGGGCGGGGACGAGTGAATTGACTTTTTTGCCTGGGCAAGGCGAGTCGTCGCGCCAGTCAATGGCAGACGATTGAGGCAGCGCTGCGCAAGCCGAAGCAAAAGAATGAGAAGGGATAGCGAGCACGAGAAACAGCAAAGCGGGGAGGACGGGTTCTGAGAGGTAAGAAGACAGCTTTTACCTAGTTCCAGAGCTAGGCCGGGCCGGCAAGTATCTCTGCAGCTTGGGTAGCAAGGCCTGATCTGGAATTGGGCAGAGAAGGCGAGGTTGTGTGGCTGGAAAATGACACTACAGAATGAGGCGAGTTCAAAGATGGGAAGTGCTCAGGACTTTGCATGGGGAGAGGGGAAGAGACAAGCAAAAGGTGAGAGGCGGGAGATGAGCCAAATGGTCGATTTGACACCAAAATGGTGTTGAAGGTGGAGGAGAGGGAGATGCGGGGGTTGTAGTGAGGTACCTGGTCAGACCACCAAAACTTGGACAAAGATGAAGTACCTTTTTTGTCGAGTACTGTTTTTAGCTTGGCCCGCCACAAGTAAGCTTTCCGGATCAGGCCCTTGCGATCCTGGCGGTTGCGGTCGCGAACAGTTGTAATTCTAATTTGATGGCAATCACAGCTATCAAAATTTCTATTATTACGATTACGTAGAGCTGCAGATGGCTTGATCATTCCTTCACCAGCAGCCCAACTGGACGGATACCTGAAAACAAATTGGTACCTACATAGGCAACTCCCAGCCACAGCGCATGGCAGTGGGACCCTTCAACCCCTTCACTGCCCTTCAACTGGTTGGGAACGTTTCGGAGCTGCAAGTGGCACGCCATACTGGTGCTTTCAGCGCCGTCATCAGCAACGCCCACTTGGCTCCCCCGTCCACCCTTGAATCGGGATCGGGCACAATTTGAAAGAGTACAAATGCAGTTATTGCATTTGAAAGATTCAGTAGAGGAGCATGAAACCTACATGTCACGCCAAAGAAGGCGACGGGCTATTCATAATTGTCCTTTTTATTACCCTGCGCTCGTACATACTCTCAATACCACTCTCCCAGCATCGCATTGGGAAGAATACCTTCATGCTACAAAATGCAAAATCCGCTTTTGGCTCCCAGCACAGGCTTTAACAAAAACATCACACAGGTCACCGTAATCAATAAGCTTCCGCCTCCCTCCGACACATGCCCCTTTCTCTCTTCCCCCTGACTCTCCTCCCCATTTCTCTCTTCTCCATTTCCTCCTAGAAACGATGGCTGCGGAACTTGGCACGGTAGGCAGTGAAGCCGACATACGCACCAGCGACGGCAATAAAGAAGAAAATCACCTTGGTAAAGAACCAGGTCCACGATCCGCCGCTCTGCGAGCCACTAGACGCATTACGGGTACCACGGTTGTTGGCGGTGTTCTGCGGGGTGGCCGGCGGACCGGGATTGGCGTACAGGTTGTACGTCTTGACCGAGACAATGTCATGATTGTCGCTGAGCTCACCCGTTTCGGCGCTGAAACCGAGGTACGCAATGTTGGGCAGCTGCGGCGGGCGGGCCACGTCGAAGCACGTCTGCCATTCGTCCTCGTTCTTATACTGCAGCTCGAGCCGCAGGTACTTGTCCTGAAAGTACGTCAGGCGCAGCTTGGTCGGGATGGAAGCGTGGCGGATACCGCGCGCTGAGCAGCCTGCCAGCTCCGCATCCTTGCCGTCGTTGTTCTTGTCGTAGAATTTGCTGCCATCGCTGTGCATCGCCATGACGTAGGGGAACACGACGCCGGGTCGGTTGTTCTTATACGTGTCGAAAAACACGCCCAGCCCGTCAAACTTGTCGCTGCTGCCAAAGATGGGACCCATCTCGCCGCGCTGGCGCGTCACCCACATAGCGAAGCCGTCGCCAAACAGCTGATTCTTGCCCGAAATTTTGAACTCGACCTCGACCTCCCAGTTGGTGGCCGTCAGCGGCACGCGCGAGAAGAGCCAGCCGCTCTGAGAGGGGCGGTCCGAGGTAAGTCGAACGTAGCTAGGTGTCGTGTCAGCATATGGGTGGATGGTGGTCAAACGTCAAATCGACTCCAGGACGTACGAATCGGTGCGCACAATCGTGTCGCCGCCAAAGTCGAACCAACGGCTCTGCATATCCGAGTCGAGGTAAGGCTGTGTTCCATTGTGCGTTAGCATCTCCCATTACATATCCTCACGTGCCTCCACGACGGTGACCGACCTGTTCGAGCGTGTGTGTTCGTAGCTGTAAACGATGACATTGTTAGCTACATCCACCCATTGTACACTTCATCCTCGCCTCGCATCACGAACCGATATGCGTCGCATGTCATCCTGCGCCTGGGCAACCCAAGCCAGGGCTCCAACAAGCACCGCCGCGATTGAAGAGTACCACATGGTTTGAGGCCGTCTATAAGCTGCCAGAGCAAGATGTTAAATTGCTTAGACGACAATCTTGACTAAAAGCTCCAATGCACCGGGACCGAGCTAGGATTTGGCGATTGAAATTCGATCGTCCGCGACCAGTATCTCGAGGTCCGGGAAATGGTTCTGACGCTGGAGAAGGAAACGACGATGGTGGTTGGGGTGTGGTCGCGGTGCGGCCCCTAGCTACAGCTGTCCTCTTTAGCCAAGTCGCCTCCTCGGGTGCCCGCTTGCCAGGGCCTTGGCATGGCATGCAAGCGCGTGTCAAAAAGTCGCTGCAGTCTTGCGCCACGATTCCTCCAGCCACAATATGCGCCACGTTCTATTTTCTCGACGGCTCCTTTGTCGCAAGCTTCACATGAACCCGTTCACGTCAATTTTGACTTCCTCGCTCATCTCTCCCTCACAATTGTCCCAATTCGTCACATTTACGCTCCTATAACAATGTCCGGAGACTCAGAAACCGTCAAGCGGGCTGTTATGAAGCAGGTCCTCGAAGAGTCCAACCTTGCCAATGCCCGGACTCTCATCGAGGTGCGTCGCATGCCCCTTCACCGTTTAATTTCTGCGAAAACTGACCACGCTGCAGAATGTTCAAATGAGCTGCTTCGAAAAGTGCATCACAAGTCCCGGAGACTCCCTCTCCAAAGCCGACCAGACTTGCGTCACATCGTGTATGGAAAAGTACATGGCTGCCTGGAACCAGGTCAACGCCGCCTTCATCACCCGCGTCCGCCGCGAGCAGGGCGGCTTGTAGAGAAAACCACGACCGACTGCAGTGTACTATTAATAATATCGGACGAACATAACGAACATGAGCAAAGGCATGTTGGGCTTCATTGTCCAGCTTCATTTTGGATTGAGAATTGGATATTACAGTGGCTGCTGTTGCTGCTTCTGCGATGAGCGGCTTGTACAGTATACGATGCAGCTTCTTATGCGCTATTTCTTGTTCGCGATTTGTGTATCTATAGACTGGAGCTGTCATATTCAGCTCACATAGAATGACAACTCATACTCAAACGAGAAGGGCATAAAGCACGGGGACTGGGCCGCTTTCAAGGGTATCTATTATTGTACATGCATTTCATCTATAGGATGACATTATACCGACGGCGCAGCGCCGCCCGTCTTTTTAGCTTCATCTGCGGCCCGCTTTCTGGCCAAATATCTCTCCTTGGCGCTCGAAATCTCGCCTTCCGTCTTGCGGCTCTTGGATGCCCGCTCCAGCTCCTGCTTCTTGATCTCCTCATCGTCGTACGCGCGCTTCATCGATTGCTCCAGCTGCTCCTCCATCATCCGCGATTGGCGCTCGCGCATGGCCTGTCGTCTACCAGCCTGGCTGGGCGCATGGCTGTCCTTGGGCTCGCGCTCGGCCGGCTTGCGCTGCGCTTGTTGCTGGGCGGCCGTCTTCTTCTTGAGGTCCAGGTTTAGGCCGCCACGGAGCAGCTGTCTCTTGTCGACCACCTGCCCGTCTTCGTTGACTTCGACTGACGCGCCCTTTTCGTTGAGAGCTCTAGCACGCGCCGCTTGTACCTTGTCATCGTCCTCCTCCTCCTCCTCCTTCGCATCGGGCTCCTCTGCGCCGTCTTTGGTGCTAGGATTTTTGGTCATTTCCTCTGCCGCTCTGACGGACTCGGCGTGACGTTGCTCGTCCTTGTCCAACAGCTGGCGGTAAAACGCTGACATGCCCCCAGCATTGCCCTTTTTTGCCTCTTCCTCTTCCCTCCTCTTCTCTTCTTCTTCTATGCGCCTATTTTCCTCCTGTTGCTTCTTATATGCCGCCGTCACAAACTTTTCCTTGTCGGCAAACTCGTCGCCTTCGGCTTCTCGCTCACGCGCAATCTTCTTTTCCTCCGCAATGAGTAAATCACGCTTGCGCACATCCGCTGCTTGTATCAAATTCTTCATATATTTCGGCTTCTTCTCGACATCTTCTTTTGTCGCTTGCTTTTGGGGTTTAAAGGATTCGTACACGTTATCGTACTCGTAGACGCTGGCGTCCACCTCGGCCGCGGACGCGGCATTCTTGCGCGACGTGAGCGAGCTTGACAAGTCGCCAAACATGACATTGGGTTGTGATTTCGCGTTGAGCTTCGGTGGCGGGCCTTTGGTGGTCAGGCCGGGTTTCGACTTGGGCTTGCGCGACCCAGAATCTTGTTGCGGTTGCGATGCGCCAAAATCGTCGTCAAGATCGCCGCCAATCGCTTGAGTCTTGTTGTCTCCGTCGTTTGCGTCAGAATCGGAGTCTTCACCGCCAAACATAGGCTTGCGGCGCGGTGCAGGCTGAGGAGCACCAGGCTTCTTGTTCAGCCCGAAGGCCAGTGGTTTGCTCATGGTTATTACCGTGGAGGAGAAATCACGAAGTTGATGCAGCCGGTTCGTACGCCACAGACGGGTTAGCAATGAATTTCCAGTGGGGCTCGCCACAGCAGCATCCCGGGGCGGCATCCGGAGCACATGCCGTCACCTATTTAGGTGCTTTAGCAGCTGGGCCACAATGAGAATCCTCAAAGTACGACTGCCTTATTATCATCTATCAATTCTACAAAATACATTCTGAATAAAAAAGCTGACTTGGAATAATTTAGTGGCTGAATAATTATCTCTGCCTTTCATATCAATCCTATTTATTTTCTATTCCCCTTAATATTGTTCTCTTTCTCTAGGTGCTGGGGCCAGCTTTTTTTGTCCCCCCCTTGGGTAGCAAGGTAGGTACGGACACATCAGGTCAACATGTTTGTTTCGGGACAAAGAGAATATTTCAAAAAACTTTATCATCATCAACGTTCTTCTACAGCGTCCAAAATATTCGTAAACAGTTCCTGTGTGGTATCAACTGCTCACTCAGCTGGTGACATGATCGCCAAATGATGAAGCCTTACACGATGATGCCATGTGCGTCAAGAGATTTTCATATTCAATAAAAGGCTTGCGAAAGTGGTCATTCTCGACTTTGTGCTCCAGAGATGTTATCCGGCTGATTCGCCAACAATTGACATCATCTGCACCAGAAGGAGTGTAAGTGCTCTGTCGGTCATGCGACTATGATCAGTCAGCTTTTTGCCCCGCGGCATGGCCAACACACGATGGAGATCGCTCGCCATCGTATCTATTCGATATCCAACTCATAGTAAAGTCATCCGCCTACTACATCCGCCAAGTATACATCAATACGAAACTAAGTAATTCGATTGCCACATCTTAGCGATACCCACCTGTTTAGCCGCGTGCCCTGGCAAACCCGGCATCTATTCTATAATCTCTGTCCATCCAATATTCGCCACGCAACCTGCAGACACTGGACATGGAAGCATGCAGTACCTGTGCAACGATATTAACTCCCGACGACGGAAAGCAACTTTCCGAGAAGCCGCCGCCGGATCAACGAAGGGTTCCTTGCTGTGACAGGATTATATGCGGTGAATGCATCGTGGTCCGTATTACAGAGGCCCCTTCGATACTCGGTACCCTGTATACTAACGACACTGACCCTCAGAATAACGCTCGCTTCGCAGCCTACTGCCCTTATTGCCAAATATCTAGCGAGCCCAATCCACTTCCGCAAGGCCTCAAAGCACCCCCTGCGTACCATATCGACGCCAGACGTCAACGCCAACCGCCTCCGCCTCCGCCTCCGCCTCCGTGTGACCCCCCACCATACTCGGCCCGCAATGGTGCGGAGAACGAGAAAGCAGGCGGCACCGACGATACGCTGCACTTTCTCAACCACGAGCACGATAGCATCCTCTCGCTGTCGCTGCGCTACGGCGTGCCACAGGACGCCCTGCGCCGCGCCAACAAGATCCACAGCGACCACCTGCTGCTGGCGCGCAAGACGGTCCTCATCCCGGGTGACTTCTACAAGGCTGGCGTCAGCCTTTCCCCGCGGCCCGTTGAGGGCGAGGCCGAGGAGCTGCGCAAGAGCAAGATTCGGCGGATCATGACGGCGTGCAAGCTCGTCGATTACGGCGTGGCCCAGCTGTACCTCGAGCAGGCAGGCTACAATCTCGAGCGTGCCGTTGATACATACTTCGAAGACGAGGCCTGGGAGCAGACACAACGGGACAGAAACAGGAGTAAAGCAAGCACCACGCCGTGGTTTTTTCGTGGTTTGAGATAGATATAACAAATCTCACCTTTCATCAGCATATTACGTTGTGTAGACAGATATCATGTTTTAAATTCATCCTTTGGATCCGTTTGAAACTCCGGTATGCTTCGCCACTGACCAGCCTGGTCTGGGGAGTTTTGATTGCCTTGCACAATAACGCCGTCACTATTCCTCCTTTCCAAATATCAACCCACGTAAGACTTTGTACATATAAATCGCTGATAAAACAACCATCATCAAAAGGCTGATCTCGTGCGGATATCGGAAATCTTGCGCTCAATTTCGCGGACGGAGCGGTCTAATTCTCCTGCCATCATTTGCTTCTTGTCATTTGGCAGAGCGGCAAATCGCTCACACAGATCTCCGTCAATCACACCCTTGACTGGCGCATAGTAGCTGCGGTACATGAGGTGATCTCGCCCTGCAAGAGGTGCATCTTCTGTGCGAAGGTGCTGTTCCAAGCTCTGGAAGAAGTCGGCGTCTTCGCGGCTCACAAAGGGTATGAAGACACCGATGGTCCCCATGATACCACTCCAAAGCAGGACATCTTGTCCTCCAACGACCAGACTGGTTTTGTTGATGCTGGTTGGGACATCTTGTGTAAAAAAATGGCACATCAGCTCGAGGCGATGCTGCGCACCATGCAGGTAGTCACGAGCATTGACTAGGTGCAATCCAGCCTGCTCCTCGTCCGCCTCCTCGCTTGCCTTGGCAGGGCTGCGCACGATGAACATATTACCAAATTTGTCGCCACCCGCAACTGATTCGTAGTCTACCATAGTCGTGCATGTGGTCCAGCGAGCGATAGTGTCGTCGGCAAACGGAATGAGCTTGTTTGAAGCTGGCTTGTAAACGACGAGTGTCACACCCTGCTGAACGTCGCCGACCACAATGCGGCTTCCTTGGGTGTTAAGCGACACAATCTGCTGAGGCACGACTTCGGCTTGGGCTTTGCGAAGCAGCTGGCGCATGCCCAAATCATACATACGCAGTGTTTTACCAATACCTGCCAGCAGCTTGCCCTGAAAGGCCAATAAAGCCATTGCTGGCTCCTCGATTTTAGTCTTGTGAATAAATTCGAGTTCGCGGCCACCCTCTTGGAAGCGATAAATATATATGTATGCCTCCGATGAGCTCCGCGGGTTGAGGATCATATCCTTCCCAGTACCCACAACCAGAAAACTTTCATTGTCCTGGCTTGCAAAGCTAACAACAGCTGCGCTGACAGCAGCTTCATTATTCTCAAAGTCAACCTTCTGCAGGACACTTGGCTCTTCCGAGACCGGGTCAACTACGCTGATGCAGGATGCCCATCGACGATTACCTCTAGGGTGACCAAATTCTTCGGGAGGTAACACCTTGGCGTCGCCATTGACGGCCGCAGGATCTGCCAACAGCTTAGCCTGCAGATCTGGAGGCAGTGTATGATTGTCGGCTTCTATCGTATAGAAAAGAGGCTCGCTTGGGTGCTTGACAAACTTCTTTGGAGTATATGTAAGTGGAATCGAACTCTGAATGAGAGTCTCGCCCAGACGGTCTATTGAAAATATTCTGTGAACTCATTAGCGTTATGCCCGCTGGAGAGGCTTGATTGCAGTGAGAGAAAAAGTGTGAAGTGCAGTTCAGTAGGAACAATTGGAAAAAATGCGTTAGTCCTCATCACCGAATTGGCTTGGGATACTTAAGTTTCATCACGTAGCACTGTGGGATAATATAAGAAGACGAAGGGTGATGATCTTACCTCAAAGATTGCCCTTGAATGCCAACCACACCGTCTTCGCACTGTTCACTGCTGAAGTTCCAGCCCCATTCGAGATCGACGTAATTTAGGGGAGTGATCTCGAAGCTGTTGGTGATAGGGTCCGCATATCCAAGCCAAGGACGGGAGCTCAGACCGAGAACACAGGTACGGCCGCCAACAGAGACTTGGAATAGTCGGACTGGCTTAGGCCCAAGAAATTTCTGCCGCGTATCGGACAGGTCTCCGGTGATTTCATCCAAAACAGTGCGAAGATAAACGCCAGAGTGAAGACCAATATGCAGATAGAGTGTTGATCCGCCGGATGACGAGTCATCCATAGGAATTATGGCCAGAGATGTAGGTGCAGCAGTCAATGCTTGTACCGATTTATTCTCGAGAGTCGACTCGGGGTCTAGGCTCAAAATACGGACGGTAGCATCGTCGCAACCAACAGCGAGAAAAGAGCTACGAACACGACCCTCAGGAACCTCGCCAAGGCTGAGGGCCGTGACGGTTCCAAACATTTCCTTTTTCTCATCGTATTCCGCGAGCGATCCGTCCGAATCCATTTCAAAGTAAACGATTTCGCCAGAGCTCAGGGCAATTGCTACTTGATGTGCATTGGTCGATGCCGCAACGATGGATCTGTGCTGAGGGGCTGACCACTCGTTCACGTTCCCATTGCGAATATGCCTAATTCCCCTTGGATGCACCTGAATGAGACCATCCGTTCCGAGAAGCTGGGCTGCAATGGTAGGAACGCTGGTAAGGAAACCGGAGTCACTGACTTCCTCGACAGTCTCGCCGATGCTGAGGACTAATGTGCCGTTGGTAAAGGACAGTACAATGTATGTGTCGTACTGCTCATCACTGTTCAGCTTCAAGGTCCAAACTGCGGATGGAACACCAGGGAGCTCGGACGCAACGATTTCGTTGACTTCTAGACCATGCTTTATCGTTCTGAATGTGCTTCGAGCGCCGTTGCCGCAAATACTATAAATCTGGGGAGCATCCTCGCCTGTGAGATTGGCTACCTTGCAGTCTAGCAGAGGGTTCATTGCAGGAATACTGTCAACAAGAGCCAGGTTCTCCGCCGGTCTGGGATAGAAGTAGACGGGCTCGTACGCAGCCAGTGGGTCGACGGGAAAATCATCGCTCGAGAACTCCAGCTCGTCGTCGTCATCACCGAGCTTTTCGAACTGATAAAACGCGTAGTTACCAAATTGACTGGCAACGTAGAGAAACCCACTCTTCAAAATGCAGAGACTCGTGGCAACTGGCACAGTGTCAAAGTATTTTATCTTCATCCGCTGCACCTCGCCAGTTGGAGCTCCCTCTTCATCCTCAACCATATCGATTGTGATTTTGAATAGATCACCGTCGTCAGTCTGCAGTAGAAAGAAGAAAGCACCAGCACTGCCTTTGAGTTTATGCATCACGCCGGCCACGATGTTGCGTTTTCGAGAAGGGTCTTCAGTGGCGCCTCGCCGACGAGGGATTGGCACACGTAATGCATCCTGGTTGGAATGGCGGTAGGTAACATTCTCCTCACCACAAACCAAAACACCACTGGGGCCGTCATTTCCACCTGGCACCTGGAAGAGCAGGGAGGCAGTAGGGTCAACAGGGTCGGACCATTTTCGGACCACGTGATTGAGTCCAAGATCCAGTTCATAGTATACGAGGTGGGTTTCGACCTCGGACAAAGCTTCTCCCGTGTTGTCTTGGTCTACTTCGGTGTAGTCGATCTCTAAGGCGGCAAAGACGGGGTTCGCGTAGCCGACATCAAGGGCGGTTAGGGCTATGACCAGCACGCCAGGTTTATGCGCCTCGAGCGGAGAAGAGATTGTGAGCTCTGCTTGTGAGTTTCTGTTGAGAACATACACGAGCTTGTTCTTCTCAACAGCAGATATCAGACAAGCTCTTCCCTTGGGGTCGCATGCAAGGTATTCGCCTGGCACGACTCTGCGAATGCCCGTTTTGCCAAACGTCTCCATATGCAGGCGACTGAAACGGTTCGGCGAGGGAAGATACTCAAGAACAGTTATTCGACCAGAGTCGGTGGCGAGAATGATATAATCTATGCCGTATTAGCCTATCGTGTCGACGTCGACACGCGACGATGCTGCTCAACTACTGACCTTTACTGCTTCCAGCTAAACGAAAAACCGCGATGGAGCGCAGAACTCCAAAAATGTCGTGTGATAGCAAGGGGATGACCTTACCCTGCGCTGGATCAGGACGCAGAATAGTCAGCTGAGAGCCGGAACCCGTGATGATGAGCTGCTCTTTTGTGCCAGCAAACTGCCCCAGAACTGCTTGGACGACATTTGTTGGCGGCTGAATCGTCAGCGAGTAAAGGAACATGTTGGAAGTGGTCGCCATGTTCCTTTCTGGGCGCAGATGAGCCTGCGCGGCTTAGAGCTGTGGTTGGGAGTGGGCGTCGGCCGCAAAGATTCTACATTCGTAGCTCGTGGCATGCTTTTGTACAGCTTCTGCAGGATTTAAATTGTTTTGGGGTTGGAAATACCAATGGCGATGGAGGAAAGTTAATGCGGCTGGCAGAGTGGGTCACGATCTGGTACCTTGTTTTGTGCTCTTCTTGGTTGCCAGCTGCTAGCTGCTGTTGGCAGACGGGCTCAGGAGAATTGTTGAAAAATGACCCAATAGGATGCAATTGGCTAGAACTAAATAGTCCAGTTTCCCTTTCGTAATTCCTAAGGCGAGATAACGAGATCAAGACCGGCATCTCTTTCAATGCTCTTTATTACCACCGAATGTGAAAGTGGGCCAAGGGCTCTGTCCTCGAATGATATGCGTAAAAAACATCCGACAAGCCAGTCGCACGTAACTCAAGCACATCGAGACCCGATCAGTCTTGCGACAACTCAGCAGCAATGGAGCAGTCTCTCCGCCGCGCGGCGCAGAGCCTCTGCGGCCAATGCTCTACGGCTCTACGTGGGCGTCTAACTCAGCGAGGCGCCAGCAGGCAACTCGCAGCCATCTCGAGCCTCTCCAAGGCTTCGACGACGTCCCCGAAAAAACAGGCAACCACAGCGACAGCTACAGCGACATCTACGTCGACGCCAGCAGCGAGAGAGTATTCTTCTCAATCTGCGCCGTCATTTAGTTTCAAGAACTCGGACAAGCCTCCTGTGCCCACTTCTGTTAAGCTCTCGCAGGATGACCTCTTTCACTCCTTTACCGACTCCCCTGTACCCGAATTCCGACGCCGCGCCGCATTCATGCGCCAGCATGCCTACTGTCCGCATCCAGACCACAGGCCAACAAAGATGTCGACACTCCCTGATGGCGAGCAACCTCAAACCGGTGATATGCCTCCTGCGAAGGTTGATTTCGATTGTCCCGACTGCGGCATTCCCGTATACTGCAGCAAGGAGCACTGGATGGATCATTATGAGGAGCATCTGAAGATTTGTGACACTTTGCGACAGATCAACGAGGACGATCACGATTTGCGCTCTGGGAGAGTGTTTCATGAGGCCAACCTGCCCGACCTCCAGCTTGATGATGCGGCTGTCAACATGACCAATTGGGACACTTTCATGTACACTCGCGAGTTCAATGCTGTTGACTCTGATCGAGCCATGCGCCAAATTACTCGCCTGTTGACTTATCCTGTTACAATCGGTAGTGTTCTTCATGAGCTCAGCCCCTACAATATTCAAACTGGAGGTCGTCTCACCACCGAAGGCCTCAAGAGTTTCAGTGGTAAGTGACTACCATGATTGCACCCCATCTCGCTTTGATATGTTGGCTAAAATGACTAGCCTTGAGATACAATCTTCACCCTGGTCGTTCCGGACGCGGTGCCACGATTCAAACACTTCGTCCCGAACCTCCACCAGTTCGAGTCTTCGTCTTGGGAGCTCGCGCTGAATCGTCCCTGCCCCGGTCTACCTGGGTGCAGCTGGCGCATCTCTTCCCCGAGTCTAGACTGCATCTTATTATGATTGGCCCCGAGAGCATGGCTAACCGAGATGACGAGTTTCCTCTCCCCGAGCGCACACCATCGAATCCATTCGGTGCGATTGTCGAGGACAGGGTTTGGTATAAGATGAAGATCAGCACTATCGTGGACTATTATCACACTATCCACAAGACTGGCCACTTTGCTCCTTATGACCCGTACTTTGACTGCTTCGTTCTTTTCCATCCCGGCCTTGGCCATCCCGCCAGCAGTCACGAGTGGGAAGAGACTTTACCTCTCCTATTGGAGACCAAGGTGCCTATTATCAGCACTGGCTACACGCAGCAGGACCTGGACCGCGACGTTCAGTGGGTACGAAACAAGTCGCGTGGGGAGTTTGATATCCTGCTTGAGCCTGGCGAGAACAATTTCAGAAGTCTGCGATGGGACCTCAACGACGCCGACCCTCAAGACATCACCTGTGGCAACTGGGGCGTGTGGGCATTCCGTGGCAAGAGGTACATTTTCATTCTTCCTTGTTCAATTTTGAAGCATATACTAACATGTTTCTCCAGATACGAAACCACAACTAAGGACCAGTGAATCGAACGGACCAGCATATGGTCATGCGGACCGACGCACACTCATGTAATCCATCAAGTAACATGTAAATGTATGTACAATAAATATTACAATAGACCAAGCTCTCAACATGTCATGGTTGCGCATCTATCGTAATTCTGCGGCCAAATAATGCTTTGACTAGTTAGAGTTGCATACATGATTTGTCGACAGCAGATCGGGTACATGCTGGTTGGCTGGTTGGCCGGGTAGGCATGTACGGGAGGACCCTTGTGGGGAGCCGCTGGGGACCATTGCATTTCACTGCAGCTAGTCATTCATGAGCAGGCCGAGCGAACATCAGCTTCATCAATACAAACGCACGATTTCCTTTTTCGAGACGACACGAACAAAAGACTCGCGTTTGACTACCGCGCCATCGTTATGCGACTCAGCTGATTGCAGTAGCGCGAGTTTGCGATGAGCAGCGCCTCTGTGGCAGCGCCCCCGGCGAGGCTGGTCGCCCCGCGCACTCGACCATCAGCAGCGCAGCAGCAGCGAGATACGGCAGCCGCTGGCGAGGGACGACGCCCGGAGAGACCACCGTCTATGGATCCATTATCAGACAAGGCGACGTTAATGCTTATCCGCCGCGTCCTCTGCCCCCAGAAACTGAGCGAAAAGGACCGCGACGTGGCCACGCCGATCGAGGAGCTACTTCCCTCTCTTACGAGCCGAAACGACGTCGACCTACAGCTGTACGCCTTTCTCGCCATTATAATACGCGAGTTTGTGCAGGCTTGGTACAACAAGATCACACCAGATGAGACCTTTGTCGCAGAGGCCCTGCAGGTGATTGCTCATTGCAGTAGGGCGCTTGAGCAGCGCTTCAGGACTCTGGACGTGGAGAGCTTGGTACTAGATGAAATACCCGACCTGCTGGACAGACATATATCAGGTACATGCAGGATATACTGCAATGAAAAGGCGCATTTCCGTTGACCATCAATAGCATACAGGACGAGCCATGATCCAGTGTCGCAGGAGCCAGTGGCGGTGGATCCTCGACAAGTGTATCATGCACTCTGCCCGCTTCCTCAGCTCTCTCCTGTGCCTCGAAAGGGCGATCAAAGGTCTATTGAAGAGCAGAAAGAAAACGAATCTGCCTACCGTCAACTCTTGGTGCAAGCCGTACTTGCTATCCTGCTGCCAACGGAAGATTTGGAGAACCCGTGTCTGACTGCCATCGTCGGCCAAATCTTCTCAGAGCTGATTGTCGGCAACATCATTGCTGGCAAGGCATCACAGCCGTGGCTTTTATATGAGAGCATTTGCATTGCGGGCAGAGTTCTTGGGGAGAAAAAGACACGGGCCACACAAAGAATGGTCTCTGGCCGACACACGCCCCCAGTGAACTCCAAGGGCAAAACGGAGCGAATGAAGTGGTCGGCACAAGCCATTTTCTTGACGATAGTCCACTTTGCAGTGGTGATCTTCTCCTCTGCCCGGTTGTTCATCACGACACTGGTTGCATCATCCTCATTGCCGCTCCGGCAAACAGCGGTGGGATTGTCGAACGATGATCAAATCGGCAAGCCCATCAAGGTTCCCGTTCTAGGTTTCAAAGCGTGGCAGTGCGTAGGGAATTTGATCCAGCTAGACGCGCGGATGCCATGGCTTTCCGGATTTCTTTCGTTGGTGCAGTATCAGGCTGTCCATGGGCCAGGAAAGCTCGTAGGGTTTAACAGTCCACTTGATCGGTAAGTCTGTGTTTTGTTTTGATTCCGTCATTATTTGCGCAATCAGCCGCGTCCCCTCTTCCTAGCACTACAAACCATGCGACATACGTTGGCACTCCGTATTTCACCGACGTCACGAGGTCTGAAAGCTGGGGCGAGATGCGCACAACAGGCATCCACATCGGCCCGCCTGACGATGAGGGCCGACCCGAAGCTGGCCAACCCCAACCCAAGATAGTCCTGCGACACCTCATAGTTTCTCTATCAGCGGCAACATGAGAACAGGATTTTTTTTTTGGCGACGCCACGGCGTGGAAGTAGAACTAGGCAACGAGCTTACATGCTTTCCTTGATGGATCCCGCAATTCGTTCACCTAGTTTCAACGCCACTGGCCAATGGCAACACAAAAGTCTTCTTTCGCCTCGCGATTGATTGAAGGAGTGGCCCGTCCCAATGAAGTCATCCAACCACGCATCGGATTCGTCCATTTTACGCGCCGCACTTTGCAGGGGCCTGTGACGCTCTCGCAAAGTTCCTAGGACTTTTGCATCCGTGGGCGCATCCTCCTCTCCTCTGACGGTGTGACACGATTTTTCTAGCGTTGTCTGCTCACTCTCCGTCAGTCCTTTTGCGACTGGGCTAGTGAGACGATGCTTCAGGGTACGAGGCCAGGAACAGTGATGCCTTCATGCGAGTGCTACCGTGCTGGACGCCACTGTGCGACTGTGACCGCAGGCTGCACTGGTTCTGTGCATCCTTCGATGACATGCGTGCGCCTGGGGACCTGCAGCCCGTGCATCGACGAGACAAGGCTGCACTGTCGGACAAGAGATGCACGATGCGCGCGCGTGTTGGGCAGGACATTTCGTCCCCCGCATGAGCTCCTGCGAACGCACGGCAGGGCTGCCTTGGTCGTTACACGAAATGCGAGCCATAGTGACATGCTTCCCCGCAGGAGCACAACATGTTTGAGTGCTCACTGCTCCGGCAACTAAAATTTGTTTGAAGTTGGCTGGAAGCGGCAACAGTCTCTAGTCACACCACACCGCATCAACACCTTGAATCCTGCTTCATCGTCCATAGACGCCCGTTACCTACCACCCCCTTCTCCCCACTCACACTTGAGGGAAAACAACCTCAACCGAAGCGAGCAAATTTAATTGAGGACCCCTACTAACATGAGAGGCCCTCTTTCTCATTGGCACCAGGTTACTATCCCATTACATCCAGCAGCTATTTTCGGCGTCACACCTGCCAGGGCTGCTGCGCACTCTGCGGGGCGTGCTCTTCCCCAATAACGCACCGGGCAAGTCGACCCTGGCGCCCCCATCATCTGACGACGAATTTGTGGCGCTGCGCAAGAGAGCGGCCAGTGCCCTGGTCGGCCTGCTGCCGACAGGCGTGGCCAAATTTTATCTAGGGAGCAAGAGCGGCGGCGAATCAGGAGCTGCGGCGGCGCAAGAGGATGGCATGGTCGACGGCATGGAAGATTTGCTCATGGTGCTGAATGACGAGTACTGTAACAAACATCTCATGTATAGCATCCTGGAGCTAATACTGGTTCGCCTTATGCCGGAGCTCAGCGAGAAAGGCGTAGGCGAGCTCTGGGAGGAGAGACTCGGTTGACGTTTTGCACTTTTCTTTTCCATGCATTTTACTTGCCTTGTTTCCGAGTCTAGACAGTACAGTATAATGATACCCATCTACGTTGAACGCATCATCACTTTAGTGAACTCCCGCATTGTTGTTTTCGAGTATCGAGCCAGCTCTGGTTGTATTGTTACAAATGAGAATAACTGAGTGGACAGACAAGTAAATGATGGATATATATAAAAAAAAAAGCTCCCGTGTCCAGCTTGCTCGCGCAAAGCTGTGTGCCCCGAAAGTTCGTCGCCGAACGGTCTGTTGCCAGACATGTATAGAGTCGCCTCCTAGTCTTTTTGTCGTTCTTGAAGTAGTTCTTATGGCCTCCCTCCACCGTCAGCTGCGAGCAGAAAATAACAAGAGATAAAAAAGAAAAGACCAAAATGTCACCGCTTTGCTGATGATCCCCATATACCCTCTAGTCCGTGCAGCCATTGGGATGATGGACAGGAGCGGTATGGAGTGAGTTCGTACTTGTCAACGCCACTTGAAAAAGAAAGACAAAGAAAAGATACAAGTGCAAAATAGTGAAAGGAAACCCCCACAGAAAAGTAAAAGAAAGTGTCAAACTGCCTCCCATCTTTCGCCCGTTGCGCGTTCCACGTTTCCTAGTCGTTTCCCTTGTCATTCAATTACCATGTGCTCCGCCAGCTGTGATCAAATCACTATTTCCTTCCACAATTCTTGCTAATCCCCTCGAATCCGGGAGAGAGAACTGATTCGGTTGTATGTGGAGTTTTCTGGTGAGCTGCATAATAGCCGAGTACTCGTGATCAAATTGTCCAGCCTGGCCGAGATTCTGGAGATAGCTCAGCAGTGTAGTTACCGCGCGCTGTGCATCCTCGGGGCTGGGCGCACCAGTCTTCATATCCTTTCCGTTGAGCTGCTCGTGGGGGATCGAGGCCATGGTGTCGGCAACCGGGGACTCTTGCTTGCAGATGGGCGGGAGATTGCGGGGCGTCATCAGCAGGGAATCTGCGGAGGCGGTTTGGATAGGGCTGGTATATTCCAATTCCATAGGTCCTCGAAGTGTGAATGCATCCCGTTTCTGTTCTGTTTCGAACTCTGAATCCAGGGGAAATCCCGCAGAGGCTCCATCGGGCGAATAGTTAAATGACGCGACGGGACTAATCAGCTCTGAAGAAAATGACGACGCTGCGTTATCCGTCAATGAAGTCTCCGAATGAGATGCATACTGGCGATAGGTGAAGTTGTAGTCTCCCCGGGATCGCAAATCGTCGTCACTTGGGCTTACAGAAAGAGGCGACGTGTGTGGCGACGGCGACGACGGCGAAATACTCTGGAACCTGGCAGATATTGGCAGTTTCTCCGGAATGCTCGGCTCCGAAGCCCGTCTTATGGAGCCCACAGTTTCGATCGAGTATCTTTGTTTGAACTTGTTGAGCCAGGTTGCCGTCAATTTAGCCAGTATTGCCTGTTGGTTAGGGCTGCCGCGAGCGTATTGGCACGCCCTGTCCATGATATCCTCATCACTCATCGGGATCCCGCGTTCCCGTTGTCTTCGAATGTAGTTGCCGAGCGTGCGATCAAAATCGGGATTCTTTCCGTTGGTTCGTTTTCCATTGGAGTCTTTTTCGATTTCACCTTTAAGATACATCTCCTTGTTGCGCAAAACTTTTGACACAGTGCTTGAATCCAGCAAGTTAGATCCTGGATCGGGGTCACTTTCTCGGTGAGTTCATACCTTCTTTCCACATTGAAAACATGACCAATATCTGCCTGTCTCGTTTTGGGATTTTTCTCATGATACAGGCACATATCTCTCTTCTGTTCGAAAGTCAAGGTCTTTCTCGTCTTCTCAGGGGGCCTTGTTGTACATATAGCAGGCATTGACGCCGGCGCTAGTGTATTGGAAGAAAGCGAAAAGCTGTGAGGTGGGCCATGTGTGGTCAACTCGCTTGGCCAAGTTGTGGTCGTCAGCATAGGCAAGTGATGGTGCGTCATATGTCCTGCGTGCGCGACATGCTGGTGAGATAAAGATGTGGACATGCTTGAAAACGATTCAGCTGGCAATTCGTGGGACATGTAGCCCGAGAAATGTGTGTATTCACTCATGGGGCTGTTTCCGTAAGGACTTTGGCTGTACGGGCTTGCATTATGCCACGGGCCCGGGTGGTAATTGTTGGAATTAATCATGGCGTCGTTGCTGGACGATTCGTCCGTATGACTATTCTCAGACTTCATAGTCTCGGTAGGTAAGCTTGTCGATAGCTTGAATGTAGATGCCAATGTCTTTCAGACTGTCAGCATTTTCGGGACGTTGAAACGACAGTGTTATTTATCACCAGAGTTCAAGACTGGTGCAGAGAGGAGACTCACATCATCAAACCTGATACACCGAGAACTCGGACATAAGAGCAGAGTAGTGTTTGGGAACGTATCAAAGAAATAGTTGACGAGGATGGAGTCCGACGGCTTGCGGCGTCTCCCAACCGGCCCTGTCGAAACGCTGCAGCGCTGATGCCTATCCCTTTCTATATTGGTGATATCTTTTAGAGTTTCGGTTTGGTTGAAGGAGTGTGGCTCTATGCCGCCGCTTTGACAGCGTGGTTCTGAAACAGTCAAGCGAGAAAGCAGGGGAGCAATATTGTGAACGATGCAGGAAACAGTGGCGAGACTCTCGGGCAGAGCTCTACCTCGCAGCGTCGTAGATCGTTATGAGAATAGTGCGTTGAGTCGTTGACTGGAGTATTGGTAGAGATGCGAAATCGAATGAGTCGAGGAGGTGTGCTGAGCAAGGAATGATAGAATGCGAAAGGAGTTGTCAGGTCTTGGAAGTGGAAACGGTGTGGCAGTAGGAAGCTGACCCAACAGTCTAGACCTACTTCCTATGCAAGCAAACACAATAGATAAAGCCAGACAGAAAAAATTCCAGAACATCGAAGGGCAAAAATGATGAGCAGGCGTGACGGGAATACTTGTAGGAATGGAGCGGGCGCATGTACGTTGGCAGCGACTGATGTACATGCACCAGGGCCCCGGCCCAAGCCATATGCCTGAAGCCCTTCCGGGGTGCGCACGATGAAAGCTGCAGGGGACTGGCCTGGACGAAGCTCCATGATTTGAGCACCCCGAGCCAAGCACCCAGACAGGAAATGGTGTGGGAGGCGATGGGGGGTGTGAGGAAAGACCGGATACTGCACCACACGTCCACATCCCAGCTTGCCCAGGTCTTGCGGCGGTTTGAGCTCGGCAGCGAGCTACAGACTAGCGCCCGCAATACATGCACCTACAGACATCGGCCGGCTAGATTGTCAAGCTCATCAGCATCACTCATTCCTGATTCGAAAGGACCCCGAATGCCCATCAGACAAGCCGCGAAAATGGAGCAGAGTAGCGGCGCGAAGCCGGCCCCCAACGATACTGCGCAAACGTTGACTTCCCACCTAGGTAGGCGGACAGTATCGCGTTTGAAATTCCCGTAAAAAGAGGCGGGTTTATCTTGTCTCAAATGAAGATCATCAAGACATGAAGAGCATTGCAACGCTGACTCGTAGTGTCCGTGGCGAAAGCCCAGCATCAGCTCGGCAGGTTCGATGGTGCGTTGGAGTAAGGAGAAGGACGGGCCCAGGTCGGCAGCTCACTCAAAATCCGGATACTTGTACTCATGCACCTCTTGTGGCATGTCATTTGCTGTGGCTCTATCAAAGTAGGCAAGCAGATATTGTTGCGATTGGAGAGAGAAGTCACAATGCAACGCCCCCACTGGCAGCCACACATTGGTAACATTACCAGTCTGATAATACTCAAGTTGGCGGCCAACCAGCAGACAAGAGCCGGCTAGCCTTCACTCTGGTCATGTTGCAGCTGTTAGCTTGGTGTGAGTGGGCGGTACCGGGGTTGGCTACCTTGTCCACGCTCTGGACGGTCCACCCTCCTTGTTGCAAGCGATAGCGCTCATGTCGCTGGGCGATTATTTAAGTGCTCTGGCAATGGTCAATGTTTGCTCTTGCCGCGCTTGCTATTGATGCTATTGTTGGCCTTATTCGGGGCATCAGAAGCATCGGATCGTGTCTGGGATTATGTAGAGCATGGAGGTGAGCAAGTTCAGGTGCCGCTGGCTTGTGTTCCGACTTCCGCGACCTGTAGTTGCCCGACCCCAGGCAAGCTGGCTGCACTATGTACATAGGTACCTAGCTAGTGCATGCATGCAGGTAAACAAGGCTGTGAGAGGGCAAAGCGAAGGGAGCACCCGCCCAGATCGATGTTGCCTGCAGTAGCTTGCCTGTTGCTGGGTCAAGGCGCGCGCAAGCCGTCGATTATGCTCATACTGGTAGAAGAGGGTGTTGCAAAAGGCTCGTGAGTTTGACTGCTTGAGACTTGGACAGCGAAAAGCACGTCTTTGGATAAGTTGAAAGTAAGGGTGAGATGAGTTTGACAGGGCAGGGTCTTGTAGTGGAAGAGGCGGCAACGCTCGGCGAATCCGTGGCCTGCATGTCGACTGACACGAGTTGTAGAAGCCTTCTCTTCTTTTCATCAAGGCTTGTCGGTTTTTTTGCCAGACTGCGTTGGGGGCATGACGGGCGCTGCTGTCAGTTCTATTGGTATGCCAAAGCATACTGCCACTTCTTGGCGATGATGCGGCCGGCAGATGCTCTGATGAATTCTAAAATGAAATGAGCATTGCGTCCGAGTTTCGGCTGTAAGGCTAGGGTGGGTAGAAAATTTTCGGAGACAGTAGCCATGCCCACCCATGCTTGGAGAAACAAGGACTGTGTAGGCTGAATTCCTGGACAACTCCGAGGGTCAGTAATCCGTACTGCGTGGTGAGATCTCATCGAGAGCTGTTTGAAAAGTGGATTACAAAGAAAGATGGTGGAGGTGCGCCCCAAACGTGCTTCTTCTGTGGTACGAGCAGCGGAGCAGGTCGAGAGCATGATGTACCTTGGTTGTTTGCTTGGCGGCGTGTAATTACTTGCTTCAGAACCGCCCCATGGGCTGTCTCCGTGCGTCGTCGCTATGGCCTGGGCTAGATACATACGAGTTGCGTCCCACAAGTTGGCCGGATATCTTCCCGTTGGCTGTATCTACCAGTGCGCCATGGCGAGAGGGTCCTGATGCGCGGCTGCAATCACCGTTTTGGGGCTGGAAGCCTCCCAAGCCAAGGAGAAGGGCAAATCCGCGTCAGATTTCCACGCTGTGTACGTATTACATACACATACAGTGATACTGTAGCACGGGGGGCAAGTCTGTCTCTTTGTCTTTTCGTATTTTCGCTCCTCTTCCTCTGTCAATTGATTGTCTTTGGTAGTCATTGTCGTCAGTGGCGTCGCAGGGGCGTGACAGGTTTCGGAGAACGAGGAGGCCATTGAGAGTCGAGACATGCTTGACCAACCACTAGAGAGTCACTAGAAGCTGGGATCCGTCATGGACGAGTTTGGAGAGCGGGACGGCTCGAGCAGCTGGTAGAGGTGTTACTACTGGTAGGTTCGGCAACGGCCGTCCAGCCGCCCGTGAAATCTCTCGTCCGCCTGCTCGTCGTGCTTGAACAGATGATGGGTGATGGGCGCCCACCATTGGCTGCCAGAGCTGGTGGCTGAAGCCAATGGGGTGGGGTAAGGATTGTTTAGGAGGGCGACTGCAACACACACCTCCGAAGCGGTGGGCGAAGATGCAACTCATCAGGCGGTTTGTCCGACAGGAGAGGAAGAGATGAATTGACGATTGTCATAAGAGGACGGGGAAAAAGGTCAAGCAGGCCGATGAGGCGTCGAGGCAGAGGCGGAGGCGTCGAGAGTACAAGACTTGGCAGGGCGTTTGCATTGCATACATATTAACTATCTAATACTGCGCACGGCTGGTGCTGGCAGCTGGTAGCCAGCCAAAACAGCCCACCCTCATCTGCCAGATGCCGTGCGACATGCAAGCCCTGTACTGGTCCTTAACAATGCCTATCAGACTCGAGTCTAATCAAGCAGACATGATGTTAAGACCAGGTACTGCAACGGCGCAAACGGCGCATAATAAGCCATGGCTGCGAGCATTGCTGCTGATCCCTTGCTAGCTTAATATCATTAATAAGGTACGGCCTCGATAATACGAATAAATAACGTTACACTATTTAAACACACAGAGTAAATTCAGCCACTTGGGCTCATCCTCTTTTCCCTCTCCTCAACCCTTCCATTCCCCGAATGCCGAACGGCCCAATCGATATCCAACGGCCAGCCACCTCGCCCAAATGCGACCATCCTGAACCATTTCTAGCTCCAACGGCTTAAAAAGTACTCTTCTTCTGAACACAACCTTCTTCGTCAGAAATCCTTCGTCCGTCCTCATCGCTCTTCTCCGCTATCGTGCAGCCAAAGCCCAGCCCAGTCAAAACCTCAGCCCAACCGACACTAGCCTAGCCGCTTCCTCGTCAAGTCGGTTGCTTCATATCCAAAGGGGGGAAAAGGATTTGACCGCCAGTAAACGAAGGCTCGTACGGAGTACTGAGCGTCAGACTGGGCAACTGGATGCTGCACTCTAATTGTCTGACCATGCAATCCATCCAAAGGGTTGTTTTAGTTCCCCATATGGCATCTGTCAAACAGTCTGTGCCCTCGTCCGTGCCCGCAAACCACATTCCGAGATTTGGCATGGAATCTTAACTTCTCAAGTCGAGCAAAGCCTTGCGACCCGTGCTCAATGTCTCGGCTAAAGCCCACGGTCGAACTGCATGCATGCCCTTCAAGCCACGACTCAACACGATGATCCGATGCAGCGCAGAGATGAAAAGGCAGCAAAAAGAAAATGAAGACACGGCGCCATACACAAAGTATTGCACGCATCACGATTTGCTAATCCGTGGACCGTACGGTACGGATACAGAAAGAATCAAGCCGCTGCGACTCCGGCGTGGCAGACCTGCAACGCCTTCTGCTCATCTAGACCTCACACCCCCCCTCTATGAGCTATCAAAAAAGCCACTGACCCCCGAGCCTTCTCTGCCGCGCCACTTAGAAGCCTTGTGTAACCCGCCAAGTAATTTGAGCACGTCGTCGCGTCGTGCACGTCTACAATTTATTACTCGGAGCTGACCTTCCCCGCCTTTGCGACTCCAAGAGAATACGTGTATGGTCCAAGTTGGCTTTCATCCCACCTTTTCACTAGTTACCATTGCTGTGAGACACTCTTTGGGACCCTGACAGGGGGAGATCAGAAAAAGAACGGGTTGTCCTGGAAAGTATCTCCGATACGGAATGTCTACTCCGTATTACCTACTCCGTCTACGTAGAAAACCATGTCTATGTTCTACAATGATCACTTGTACATCCTTTTTTGGAAGGAATTTTTTAGGCTCATTCAAGCAGTGCGTAGCTGTGATGGAAAAAGACAATAGTTCACAACCGCCCAAGGTTTTTGTCTCTCCCCCCTCCCCTTTGGTGGTTGGCAAGACTTGCATTGATAGTTTGATACATGCTTCTTCCGAACCCCCATTTCAGCGGCATTTGACGCAGGAGAGCGGAAGCCTTCCGACCCAGCTTCACTTGCCTGCCAGAATTTCCTCTGCGAGAGTCTGTCCTTGAAGGGCAAACTCGTTGGCCCGTGTACCCTGGTCCCCTCTGGCGAAACCTTGCATATTCTGAGTTGGGCTCTTGGCCAAGCTCTTTTTTTTCCCCTCTCATTCTCAAATGGGCCTGGAACCCCCCACGATAAGCGCCCAGGCCAAGTTAAAAACCGGGCCTCTCAACACATACATCGCCATGCCCCTGCCGTGGCGCCACACCCTCTCCGGCTCGCTGTTCTAACTAGTTACAAAAGTATCCTAGAGCATCCACACTCATCTCCCATTTAGTATCGGCAATCAAGTTTCAACACGGGTTTTTTTGTCCGTAGCTGGCTACCTTGCCCAAATTTAGCTCGCCCTAGGCTCGAGTCGGCTTGCAGATTGGAGGCCCAAGCAATGCACACAAACTCACATGCTGCTCGAGCTGTGGAATTCTTGTAAGCCATAACTTATAAGCGACTGCAGATGCTGCACATCTTGCAGATTTATTGCTCTTAAACATGCAATGTAGGATTGTCAATTACAATCTAAAGAGACCAGTCTCCGATCACGGCCGCTCGTTTGGGTAAAGCAAGGGAATCGTTTGCAGATGTCCTGGTCTCGGTCTCGCCTACTCCAAGTTCTTGATGTATCTTCAAATCTCGAGCATTTTTGGTAGTTTGAATATTGCGCAAACTCCGCCCACCATGTCACGAGTGCAGCGCCGTTCATTCTAGCTGCCTCGACTTTGTTCACGTCCTGCCTCGGGGGTCTCGCATGTTGACTTAGAACTGTGATACGAAAGTCGCCTTGAATTCTAGATTCTATCGATTCGACCTTTGATGGTGGCTATCATGGCCACTGTGCCTTCTAATTTCAGCTAAAAAGGTGATAACTTGCGTGAAGACATCCGTTGGACAAATCATACACAGCCTCCGTGCAAAACCAAGCCACTCATCTGCTTTGTAGCATGGCTTTTGTGTTCCTGGTCTCTATGACAAGATGTCAGACTTCAAGAGAATTTCAGATACCGTGTACTGTCTTTGACACGGACAACTTGTTCGCTCTCTCCTTACTGCATCACAGCAATCTCTCCATTGATGTGTATTCTAGCGACACGCCTTCAGTGGGCCATTTCCGTCGTTTCGAGCGTTTGACAGCCTGCTCCGTTCTTCTTGGGTACTGCAATTATCCTCTCCCAAAATTCAAAAGTAAATACTAAAAGTGGAGTGATGTATAAGTTGAGTGACTATATCGGAGCTCGATGTCGATTCAGAGCCCGAGATCCCGACATCGATCGAAAATGATGCCTCCACGTGCTCACCACAAGTCGCGATAATACGAAGCTGATGAAAGTGATGAACAGTATACGAGAGCTGTCGTAGACATTGTACAGTCAAGACACTGATTCATGGCATCGGCAGGAAGAGAGATGCCACGATCATGTACATCCAATTTCGATATTCCAAGAGCATGTGTCTTTTCTTGCGCTCGATGACGCTTGCTCGCTTGGTTTTCCTTCTTACGAAACGCCACACAGTCATTCTCCTCACCAGTCAACGCACGTCAGCTTCAAATTTGGCCCCGGAGAGGGGGGTTGGTAATTTCTGCCCTTTGATCTGAGCCGCGACGTCTGATTACCAACTCGAACAAGACTCAGCTTCAAACTGCCACCTGCAGTTCATCAAAAACAAAACCCCATATCTTTTGAAGAATTCATGACAAGGGGCTAACCAAGCGTTTCATCCGCCGCACCATTTGACCTCGCCAGATTGCCGATTTCGTTAAAGAGCCCGCGAGACTGGGCCAATTCCGCTGGTCTGAGACGACCGCCGCCAAGATCAGTAAATTAACAGTCATTAACCAACGGTCGACCCCTGTAGGGCGAGTTTATGAGGTGGAGGGTCGAGTCTAAACGGCGGCGGACTCGGGGCGGGCGAGAACAGCCGTCCGTGCCCCGTGGTCCTTTGCGCTGACACCACTCCGCAAGTAAACATAATCTTGCCAACATTCATGCTATTGGCTTCCTTTCGATGGTAATTACTTCTTGTTTGAAAACGCATAAATAGCTTTTCCCTACTACTCCGTATTTAATATGCAATATGTACTATGCAGTCCCCACCGCTCTCGTGCTGCAGTACCCCGTAGATGCTCGCGAGTAATATTCATCTCGATGGCGAGTTTGATTTCCCACATCCCTGCTTCAAAAGCAACAAAACACCCCACCATTGCCTGCAGAACCAAGAACAAACTTTTTGCCGCCCCCATTCTCATGTCTCGGCTCGCAGCCGAACAGTCTTTCTTGCTGTCAATTCCATTTCCTTTTTTCTCGTCGTGTCTCGTCTGCGAATGGGGTACGATAGTCACGGCGCAGCGGCAATGTCGGCCTGCTGTGGTATTCTGCATGAAAGACAGTGAAACAACCGGCCCCAACGTCCTTTCTCTTGCATCGACCTGCCCTGCACCAGCCGGGCCCGGTCTGGCCACCTGAATGAATGCCAACTGCTAGAGCCTACGGATTTTCAGCCAGCAAAACTCCCAACCCAGCTGAGTACTCATCCTCGTCCTAATCGCTTTTCGCGACTCTGACAGCAGAGAGATAGTCTTCTTTTTTGAACCGAGCAAGGATGCGATGACGCGGAGTAGCTTTACTGCTGTAATTCATGCCCTCGAGGCCGCCCGCCGGCCCGTTTCACCCCGTACCCGCCGTTTCATCGATGAGATTAATCATCGCTTAACAATGGTAACTGAGAGGTCGATTAGCCACGTGGCCACGGGTTTAAGCAACCTCCACGGGCACGGTCTATGTATAGCACGCGGAGAAAGTTGCACTGTCATGCCACTTCAACTTACCGACATCCTCGTCTTCCAGCTCATGGGCCAAACCAACTTTCTGAGGCTGGTGCTTGACCGATTTGCCGTAGACAATGGCCGTCTTGAAGACCTCGGTGATACTTCGGTGAATGGCATTACACTACATGAAAGCCCATAGTATTAGCAAATTGGCATTTGTTCTTCGTTGGAAGGCACTTGACTTACGAAATCCTCGACAGTGCATTTGTTAGCCCTCAGGACAACAGGGGCGCTGTAATCTGGCTGCTTTCCCTTGGGTTTGGTGTAGACACGTTTGAGGTTGAGTTTCTCCCACATGACCTCCATAAGTTCATCAATATTCCAGCCGTGCTCGGAGCTGATGGGAACTGAGTTAGGAATTCGATACAGCAGGTCCAGCTCTTCGATACTGATGGCGTCGATCTTGTTTAGGCAGTACACGACGGGGATATAACTGCAGGGCGAATGGTCAGCCATAATGTTCCTAGGCAGTAGTCTCGTGGTGAACAGTGTTGCCCGTACCTTCGAGAGCGAGCCTCCAAAACATCAATCAGGTCATCAACCGTGGCGTCGCAGCGGATGGTGATGTCGGCCGAGTTGATTCTGTATTCACTCATGACGGCCTTGATTTCGTCGTGATCAATATGCGTCAGAGGCGCCGTGCTCGTAACGTTGAGGCCACCCTTGTCCTTCTTTCTGAAGGTGATATTTGGTGGCGACTTGTTGATGCGAATCCCGAACCCTTCCAATTCGGCTTCAATTACACGCTTGTCGGTCAGCGGCTTATTGACGTCCAGGACGATAAAGATCAAGTGGCAAGTCTTGGCAACGGCAATGACCTGACGACCTCTACCGCGACCGTCTTTCGCACCCTCAATGATACCGGGCAAATCGATGATCTGTAAAGGAGCACCTTCTAGGAGTCAGCAACCTACCCCAAAGAAAGCAACGCAAAGGTTGAATTACCGTTGTACGTGACCTGACCGGGCACCGAAGTAAGTGTTGTGAACTCATAAGCGGCAGCCTCGGAGTGCTGGCCAGTCAGTCGAGTCATCAGTGTACTCTTTCCGACAGAGGGAAAACCAATGAAGCCGATACTGGCAACACCCGTTCTGGCGACATCGAAACCAGCGCCACCGCCGCCGCCACCTCCGCTCGGGGTCAGTAATTCGCGCTTGAGCTTCGCCAACTTGGCCTTCAGCTGACCCAGATGGTAGGAGGTAGCCTTGTTCTTCTGGGTTCTGGCCATCTGCATCGCAAAAACTCCTTGTCAGTATCGTTCCATCCATGTGGTCGCGAGTGGCGGGAATGAAGTTGAACGAATGGCCAAGCGCCATTCATGGCCGTCTCCTGATTCGTCGAATGCTTCAAGGTACTGGTAAACATACTTCGGCCTCGACCTCTTTGATCTGCGCCGCGCATCTGTTAGCAAAGACACCATTTCTACATTAATCACCCGGGCAAGCCCTACCTTGTCCACAGTCGTCGACATGATGGGCAACTACTCGCAGTTCGCGCGCGTCAGGAGTCAACGGTGCAACTGGCCTGGATGTTGTTAGATATGGGGTGGTAAAGTTGTCGTAGTTTCAAGTCCAGCACGCTGTACGACGAGAAGGCAAGTCGCAATGAAGGGTATGATTTCAACTTGTCGATTGTCGTCCTTCCAGATTCTTTGGTGGGCTTGGTGGGGTTCACTTTTTTTTCGGTGCGACGGCCAATGATGTCAGGCCAGGGCCGCTACCCAGCCTGCTTAGTCAGGAGTCCGCCAGTGTTCGTAAATAGTTACGACGACCAACGTGAAAGATAATATTCTAATAAATACTTCATCATTATCTTTACTAAAGTACATATTTACGCTAGTAAAGGCCTGTCTGAATATTGCCCGCTTTACCAGAAATTCAATCAAGATTGCCATCCCACATTCCGTTTCATCGTACAAAAATATCATCAACATGGACGCATCAGGCATGAAAATGACGAATAGACAGAAAACAGACGAACATATAAATCGAGATAGCAAAATCAAGATAGAGATCTTGCGTCAAGGGAGTTCAATGGCAAAAAAACTGTTGCCCAGTCTGGGCGTGCGTTACGACATTTGAGCTCATATCGGAGCTTCTCTTCATCAAATATACCAACCACCCCTTCCATCCTTGGGGATATACACCCAAAAGAAAAGTGCCCATCACGCAACAGCAGCCAGAAACCTAGAGTCGCCTGTAGGCGAAAGCTATGTGACAAGAAGATTTATAAAGAATAGACCGACAGAGGAATAGTGTATAGGAGAACAAAACGTCGTGTACCCTATGTACATTCGCCATGGCCACCGTGTGGCTTTCAATGAGAACCGCCATTAACGGCAACACTGGGTGCCTCGAGCTGACCGTGGCCGTGGCCGTTGGTGCCATTGAGCAGCTTAGTCTCCATGGCTGAGCTATGTACGCCGTTTGGCAGAGATGGGTTGGCTTGGCCTTTGATGAGGTGCTCCAGGCCTTGCTGCAGACAAAGCTTCTCATATTCTGGGTCGTCTGGGAATACTTGGACCAGGCCGCGGCGTGGTACTCGCTTTTCTGGGAACGGTGTGCTGCTGATCAGATGCTTTGTCGGGGTATCCTCACGCAGAAAGTAACCACCAAGATAGTACTTGTACCGGGGCGCAAAGCCATGGAAGCGGTCCGCGCCTGGATCTTGTTTCCACTTCAGCGGTGCCTTCCATCCAACAGCCTGGGCCTCGCTCTCGAGAAGTTCACGGTACTCGACGGCGAGTGTCACGTTGCGGAGGTGGGGAATATTGGGTACGGTATAGAGCAGTTCGGATAGCTTGACGAAGAACATTTCTGTGGCGGAGAACCGCTCCCATGCAGCTTGCTTCAGCTTTTGCTTGTTCTGAAAGCTCACCGCACTAGGATCTTCGCCGCTGTAGTAATCAGGTAGCTGTTGGCCAATGTCCCAGTACTTTTCAGACAACAATGAGTATAGCTCCCACTCAGTTCGCCAGAGGGTCATCTTCGCCAGATGGGAGACAGGCGCACGGTCCCAAGCAGTGTACCGAGAGAGATTCAGGTCCTTTTCACCGAGAAGCAATGCAACATGTGTGTTGAGTACCCACTGCTCGCGACCCTCAGCGGTGCCGGTGGCTGCGGGATGGATAGTGTCGTAGCGGACACCGGACATGAATCGGAACTTCTCTGCTACACTGGACAGCTTTGGATTGGGACATATTTGGAGCCATCGCAACAGCGGTGGTAGCTTGTCCAGTCTAGCGCGTTCTTCTTCTTCGCGTATCTTTTTGGCCTCGGCTTCACGGGCAGCACGTTTTCGCTCCACTTCTTCGCGATGACGGCGCTCACGCTCTCTGCGCTCCTCTTCTTCTTGCTGTCTCTTCGCTTCTTCGGCCTCGCGTTCCAGCTGCTCGCGGTGCCGACGTTCTTCTTCTTCGCGCTGTCTTCTCTCTTCCTCTTCCCTTTTCCTCTTCTCTTCTTCTTCGTGTAATCGTGCTGCTTCGGCTTCGCGGCGCTGGCGCTCTTCTTCTTTGGCTTTCCTCTCCTCCTCTTCCAGACGGCGAACTTGCTCTTCCTCGAGTCGTTTCTTTTCCTTCGCGAGTGCCTCCTCCTCTTCTTTTCTCTTAGTTACTTCAGCCTCGTCCACGCCTTCCTCACTAGGCTCTTTTAGCGGCGCTTCTGTCATGGCAACATCAACATCCTCCGACTTGATCTTAACCTTGTCAGAAGATGCAGAGCGGTCGGAATCCCTTCGTTTTGACTCTTGCGATTTCCTGTCATTGCCGAGGTCTTCGTCGCTTGCGCCCTTGCCATTCGTCTTCTTCGTCTTGTCTTCTAGGGCTGACCGCTTGCTCTTTTTCTCCGGTGCGTCGATTTCCAGGCGTCGACGCTTCACAGAAATTTCAGCCTCATCCTTGTCTGCGTCAGCAGAACGCTCAGGTGTTGTACTCTTGCGATGCCTCTTAGACGTCGTGTCGATTTCCCGAGAAGGATCATGCTTAAGTGCCTTGGTTCTGTCATGGTATTTCTCTGACATTTTTTGCTTTTCTGCTGTTTCGTCATTACGAGAGGCTTTGGGACTTGTTGGTTCTTTGCCAGCTGAGACGCGACCCTTCTTTTCTCTCTCGCCACGAAGTTCGCCCTTTGACACAAGCTTGCGGCGCGGTTTGACGGATTCGCCGTCGGATGATGCGGCTGCAGCATCCGACTCTGCGCGTTTCATTTTGGCCGATTTGCTCTGGACGTTCGGTGATGCTTCACGATAGATATCTTGCATGGCTGGCAATTTCTCTTCTTTGCGTGGCCGACCAGGACCGCGTTTTGCCAATTCTTCGTCGCCATGGGTTGAGAAAGAATCGGATCGCCTCTTGCTTCCTTGGCCGTCCAGTTTGGATCCGGTTTTGCGTTCGCGCTTAGCATCCGCCCGTGCTTCGTCTCGCTTAGCGCGCTTTTCATCACGTTCGCGCTCTTTTCGACCCGGAGATTTATTGGGAGCACCATCCTTGTGCGTACGTTTGTATTCGTCGTATGCAGCACGAAGAATGTCCTCTTCTTCCTTCCAATTCGGGCCCTGGCGACGTCGCGCAATTTCGTAGTATGTCTCACCCTTGAATCTTCTTGTCGGATCAAAACCTTGCTGCTCCAGTAACAACTTTACCACCTTGATGTTTTCTTGACCAATAGCCGCAAGAACAGGGGTCGCGAATTCGGCAGCAAGACTGGCGACAGGGCCAGGATCAGCATTTGCACCTCCGAGGCCTAGTAACAGCTGGATAACCAGATCATGACCACCACGAGCAGCAGCGACCATAGACTCGGGATCATCAAACCCCTCCTTGACTTGCAAGATGCGGGCAACGGTCTCCTCGTCACCACGGCCTGCAGCTTGCCGCAGCGTTTTATCATCCAGAGGCATGTAAAGCAGATCATTTCGGGTCTTGGTAGCTCGCCCGGTTGTGCTGCGTCTTCCGCTCGGTGCGGCTGGCGATCGCCGTGGGCTTTCAGGCGCATGTGAATCGCGAGTGTCAAAGTCATGGTGAGAATGTCGGTCCTCCGATGTTCGCATTCTGTCACCGGCCTTCTTTCTTGCGGCAATTAAGAGCGCCCGGATTTCATCCGCATGATCGGTTTCCTCTGTCACACGGTCGATGGGCTCCTGCCCACTCACGTTGGCTTTGCGTGGATTGACGCCGGCATCCAGCAGAAGCTTGACAACCTCCAAGTGACCGTTGTCCACAGCATCGAGTAATGGTGTGTCTTTGTCATAATTTACACAGTCCATATTACATCCTGCCTGGATCAAGAGCTTGACAATGTCTTCACAACCGTTAATTGCAGCAATCTGAAGAGGAGTATTGCCCGCGTAGTCGGCCACATTCAAATCTTCTGGTCGTTCTCCTAAGCGCTGCTTGACAACATCGTATTCGCCCCTCGCGCATGCGCGGGCGAGCAGCGTCTGACCATGGGCATCCAAGTGTTTCTTGTGCGGCCCCACTTTAGCAGGGGACATGTGAGATTCGGAATTGGAGGGTGTGACGAGGCTCCTTAATTTGGTGCTTCGGGGGTGAGGGCTTTCACTGGTTGAGGAGTCATCGGAGTGGTATTCAGTAGATTGTAGCGGCGGCGGTAATCGCTTCTTCTTGTGGCTGAGACCGTTGGATGAGGGCAGTTGCGTAGAGGCGCTTCGGCGATGATTTCTATGAGGGGAACGGGATTGTGATCTCGCCTCACGCTGAGATCTTGAAGAGACTCGAGCGTCGCGAGGGTTGCGGCCTACGTCGACACTGACGGAAGTGGTGCGCTGGCGCCTAGCCTTGCGCAAATCCGCCTCGTCATCGGATTCGACTTTGGGAGCCTTGCGTTTTTGGGAATTTATTCTGTCACCAGATTTGATCTTGTCTCTGAGTGATGATTTAGGCGGCTTGTCGGCGAAATCGTCCGAGTCGGATTCGGAAACGTGGGCTGCATCGGAGCGCGACCGCGGTCGACGGTGCTGCAGACGTCGATGTGTTTGAGTTGGCGAAGTCGGCGCTGAACTCAGTCCGCTAGAACAAGCGCGATCCTTACCGCGAGAATGGCTTTCCTTGTCGGCCAGTCTTGACCCTGCGGAGCTAGAGTGACGCTTCTTCTTAGGAGCGTCACCGGGGCGAGCAGTGATTGAATCGACGTCGGGCTTGAAGGCCTTGAGGCTGGACGTCGACTTGAGAGCATCGGCATCGCTCTCGCTCTTGTCTTCTTGCCTGACCTTGCGCACCTTAGAGGGTGAGTGACCATCCTTACCGGGAAGCACGATGGTCTCAGCGTCGGAGTCGCGGTCCTCGGCGCCATCGTCGGCTCGAGAGAGCAAGGCGATGGTAGACGGAAGCTTCGGCTTAATTTCTGAGAGAGAGCTGCCAGTTTTCGAATCTAGCGCGGATGCGATTTTGGCGTCGACCTGGGAGCCACGACGCCGTTGAGGGGAAGCAGCCGAGGACCTCGCTTGGTCGGTCTCGGCGGCATTCTGCGCATCCATGTCATTTAATTGTGCGAATGGCGGATGTATGCGAGCATCATGAGAATGATAGAGGGACGTGATGCGGCGCTGCGATTGAGATCGCTCTGAGGCCCAGAGTGGCAGTAAGATGGTTCGGGCAAGGCCAGCCAGCCCCTAAATCCAAGCGATGCTTGCACTTGGGTGGGCGATCGAAAGGGGGGGGCGACTGAAAAATGAAGCAGTAAATATATCAAAATAAAATGTGCGAATACTGGTCAAATAGAGGACACAGAATACGGAGGTTTTGGTAGGCGGGCGGGCGGGTGATGAGGTCGAAGTTTGTTGTGGTGAAGGAAAGTGGGCGTTTGTTGGCGATGGTGAAATTGAAGATTGGCGGTCCCAGTGGCAGAAGCTGTCCAGTAAAAGGTGGCAGGCACACCTACCTATCCAACGGTGGAGAAGATGCAGTTCAGTGGCAATGCAATGGAAGGCAGCAGCGACAAGAGGCGCTGGACTCTGGAGCAATTTGAGGCCGGGGCGGCTTTGGACCACGAAATTTTAGGGCCCACAGCGAGGGATGGATGGATGGACGGCTTGGCAGATTCGGCGTCGGCTCAGGCGTAGAAATTAAAAGAAAAAGAAAAGAAGCCAGAACGGTCTAATCGCAAACGGGATCGCGAAATTCACACTGAGACTGCTGGGCAGACCGACCGATAGGATTGGCCGGATTCATTTTTACCTATGATTTCGGCAATGCGAACTTGATCAAATTCATTGGAGGGTGTCAATGTGCCAGTCATGACAGTGGTGGCAAGCCAGCGTAAACAAGCCCAGGATCATCCAGCTTTGATTGGAGGGAAATGCGGGGCGCATTCCGGCGGGGCAGAGGCAACCCCCAGCCGCAATTTTCTTCTTACGCCTTGGCTGTCAAGCTGTCCGCTCTACCGCTCTGCAAAAGTCAATGCGGCTCAAACCCGTTACCTTGTCTCCAGGCTGCCTGCCTAACGAGTCAGTATCAATCCCTCAAAATAAATATTCGCCATATCCTGAGACGCTGGCTGAGAACCCCGCGCAGCATTCTGGTCCCCGGGCCGCGATGCTGCCGGCAGATCGCTGGCCGCCCACGCACTGCTACCTACCTATTTAGTGTCTGTCTTGTTGTTTCTGCTTGCAGGCGGGGACGGGGCGGACGGGGCTGCACATCTGGCACCACGCCGCTCCCAGCACTCCAGCCTCTCCAAAGTCTGCTCCTACAACATCACTACCTGTCACCCGCTCATGGTCGTTTATCAATAGACAGTACTTGACGAGTGCAGCATCCCATCCGGCCTTATCCGCCCTCACACGTATCGCTGTTTTGCCGAGTCCACGCCATTTCATGTCTCACTCGTCGATGCGACTCAAGGAAATCGTCTACCGTCCGCGATGACACGAAATAGAGCCCAGTAGTTTTGTTGGTAACGGCTACGATGTTGCAACAGAAATATCTATCTCCGCGGCTCTTCCAACAGAGTGGTGCATCACAGCTCGACAGCCTCGTAAGCCAGCACTTGGCCGCATAGGGTATCGGCCGGGCCTGCTTCCAGACGCGTCCGTGAAGATACTCGCCGGCAACGCTATGAAACAGATCTGGTCAATATTCTTTTCCTACCGGTCTCCCTGTGTACGACATGACGGACATCGCAAGCCTATTGTGTGGCGACGACCGTACGATAATCGCTACTTTGGTGTAGCGGCAAGGATTCGTAGAAAAGAACGGAACATGCCACGTAGATGGTACAGCCAACCAGGTAATCTGCGTTTGCAAGTGCCAGGGTATTTCATCCCTTCAATTCTATCCTCGCAGGAAAAACTCGGTTCTTGGAGTCCAACTTGGTGTGATCAACTGCCTAAACATTGGCGTCCATTTCGCTCCACACGTGACAAATACATTGCACACACTTCATTGTCCGTTTGTTGGACTTTACATCTGCAGCACAGATTACATTGCGCAAAGGTACCAGAATCGCTGAGCGCCTTAGCCATTGCGGTGTAGGCATGGTTCATGCACCAATAACAGCATGGTGGCACCTTCAAATCCCGGCGTAACTCTGCCAGCTAATCTTGAAGCGACGAGAATCGAGAGCATACCCTCAACCGCCTACTATATACCCAATTTCATCAGCATAGAAGAAGAACAGCTGATACTAGACAAAGTGCGCGCCCAAGAAACCACTCAATCATTCTTGCCTGCCGCGGTTAGCGACCCCGATACTGAACGCACTACAGATTGCCACCGCTCCCAAGCCTCGATGGAAGCAGCTCACTCATCGCCGCCTGCAGACCTGGCCGTCCGACCTTGTGCGCGACAAGCTTCTCGAAGCTGTGCTCCCACCATGGCTCGAATCACCCGTCGTGTCACGTCTCCAGTCGATCCCCGTGTCACCCGATGACACGGTGCAAATCTTTAGCGGCAGCCCGCACAGCAGGCCCAACCACGTTCTCATCAACGAGTATCCGCCTGGCGTCGGCATCATGCCCCACAAGGTAAGTGATACAGACCAGTTCGCGATCCGGACCCCTCAATTTCACATGCCTGACATGGATGATGTTTGTTGTTTTCCCTTTGTATAGGATGGCGCAGCATACTGGCCCGTGGTGTGCACAGTCAGTCTTGGCGCAAGCCTCTGTCTCAATCTGCATCGAAGCAAAGACGACGGCGCTCTGAATCCAGAGCCCGCATGGCGCATCCTGCAAGAGCCTCGCAGCCTGCTCATTACGGCAGGCGAACTCTACACCGACTACCTCCACGGCATCGCCGACATTGAAGAGGACGTCAACCTCTCTGCCGAGACAGTCGCCAATTGGTTGTTGCTACGTGACCCCTCTGCCTTTGAGGGTGGCCGAAACGTGCGTCAGACTCGCACGAGCCTCACATACCGAGACGTTCTCAAAGTCTCCAAAGCCGCCAATAAAATCGGCATGTTTCTCAAGCGTTGAAGTGGCTCCCCTGGGCGGTGAACAAGGCAAGACTGTCATTCTTCACAATGTATATTTGCAGACTCTCTACCTAGAATACAAACGGTATCATGGTCCAACGCGATGCCACCGCAGCCGCGCCAAACTTTTGCACATACCATTTCCGCGTGCCGACCGCCGTCGCCCCCAGGTTCGCCACGACAAACGCCAGCCCGCACATCACGGGCCCGCTGACCCAGCGGCCCATTGGTGCGGCCGCCACCGCAATCGCCAGGTAGATGAGGCACTCGCACGTGTAGTGCGGGCAGACGAGGAACCGAAAGAGGCCCTCGCTGGGCAGCGTGTACTTTTTCAAGCGCGCGAGGTGCGCGTGGCACTCATGCTGCTTATTCCAGGCCCAAAAGTACAGCGCCATGGCCACGGGCACGCGCGAGGCGAGGATGCGCGCGGGCTCCTGCGTCTCCCAGGATGCGAGGATGGCATCTAGACGAAGGTGACTTGTTAGCTGTATATGCGCCACATGATGAAAAGTAGACTCGAGATTGACGGGGTCTTACCCGAACCTTCGATCCAGACGCTGATGCTCATGATTGCGTAAAATGACAACCCCACGGCCCAATGCACAACCCACATGGACGAGCCCGAACCCGTCTTCATCACACACACGCTCTCGTATAGCCTCCTCGTCCCCTGCAGCGCCATCATGATCCACGCCGCAAACACCTTTCCTAGCTCCCTTTCCATTTGAGCCATCGCCTCTGCCTCCTCCACCCCACCGCCTGACCCATCATCCGTCGCGCGCAGCTGCTGCTGCTGCCTCTCCGCCAACGCACGCAGCACACTGCCCCGGGCCCAAAACTGCCACGCCCAAAACGCCGAGCACGCGACCGACAGCAGGTAAAAGTGCCAGAACCACGCGTGCGGGACCTGGCCGGCGCCCGTCACCGCCGCGACGACGAGCTTCTTCAGCCGCGACGGCGGCGGCGGTGGCGGCGGCGGCGGTGGCGGCGGCGGCGGCTGTTTCTGGTCTGCCTCGTCTGCCGCTTTGCCGGTGCCGCGCGCGCCATAGTCCATCAAGAGGCCGCGAAGCGACGCCGGCAGCGCCTGCATGACAACGATACCACCGGCAGCGCCGAGGAAAAGGACTTGGCACCACTGCGAAGGCGGCTGCGCGAGGGCGCGGTCCCGGAGCAGCAGGAGGTGCTGCAGGGCGTGCTGGGTGAGGGCTTGCGCCATGACGGGCGAGCGTCAAACGTCGGTTAACTTTCGGTGACAGCTAGACGAGAAGAAGAAGAAAAAACTGCAAATGAAAAAAAATCGGTTGAATTATTTTTGGCGTTCAGAGAGTACCTATGCATGCAATGGATTGGCTGTGCGGTGAATTGTGATGATATTTGATGATGGCAAAAAGATGGACCAGGGGTTAGTCTAGGCGCCGAGATACCCGCAAAAACGGGTCGACATCCCCGGAACCGAGTCTGGACGGATTCGTATAAATTGACCAGTAAAGTCAAGTCTACTCGATTATTGAACAATTAATTGATTTGAAGAGCCTGCAAATAACTGATGCACTGAAGTCTGCAATTTGCCACGATCAAGGTACAGAATAGTATGTGGCTTTTATTAATATAAGGCCATCTCGAATAGAACTATCCGAGCAGAAGAATATACGATGGGCGTCAAAAGATGCGCCCAGGTGGTCAACAATGCTTATTTGTGGACATCTCAGGTCATACTGTTCATAAAACACTTTCATCCATCAAACACCCATCAAATCAAGCGCTTTCTTGAACAATCATTTGCATCCCCAGCTTCTGCATTCAGTGCTGGGATTGATATTCTGGTTCTCGTAGACGCAATCATCATACTGAACCTTGCAACGGTACACGGCGTTATTGTAGTTGTTGTTACCGAAACCCCAATGGGCACCAGCCCAGGCGTTCGCACTGGCCCAGGCACCGCTACCGCCAGCATAGACAGAGGCAGAGGCACTGACACCGCCGCTGTAGCTGCCCCAGCCCTTGCAGACGCCAAGGTTGGGCTTGACCCAACCAGGCCAGCCAAAGCCGGGGAAAGAGCTTGAAGAGGAAACAGAGGAAGAGCTCGAGGACTCGCGCTCCTCGATGGAGCGAGGATGGAAATTGGGCTGATTCTGAAGGTTTTTGCACGAGTCGGCATAAACCTCGACACACTTGTAGTACTGGTGCTTGCAAGCCTCGCAGCAAACACCGCCAATACGGCCGTGAGGGAATGACGGGCAGTTTTTGCTGTTGGCAACAGTGTACATCTTGAACGGGTTGGCGTTGAAGTCATCCTTGCAGTCGTTACAAGTGACGATGGGTAGAGGAACACCACCCACAGGGTTACCAGGGCCAAAGTCACACTCCTTCGAGGTGGGCTGCTTGCAAACATTGGTAGGCTGAGGAGGGCACTGGGTGGTAGAAGTACTGGTCTGAGTGCTCGTCAGAGGTTTGGTGCTGGTAGTGGGCTTGGTAGTGGTTCCAGGAGGCTTGGTGCTGGGCTTGGTGCTGGTACCGGGAGGGTTGGAGGTGGGCACACCAGTGCAGGGAACGGTGGCAGTCTGAGTAGTAGACGTTCCAACGTGACCAGGCTCCAGAGACTTCCAACAGTCAAGCTTGTTGCAACGGTCACTGTTATCACAACGGTTGCAGTAGCTCTTGAGGCTCTTGCACCACTGGGCATACTCGAAACAGTTCAGGCTGTCAGGAAAACCAGCCTGGTGGAAGCAAGAGAAGACGGTGACCTCACACTTCTTCCAGGCAGCATAGCAGTCCTCCTTGCAAGTCCACTCGGGAGTGGGAGGCAGGCACCAATTACCAATTTTATGCTCACAGGTGGGAGGGGTGACGATGGTAGTAGTGCAAGTTCCAGGAGCAGTGCTAGTAGGTTTCGTAGAAGTGCTTGGCTTCGTAGTCGTGCCGGGTTGGGTAGATGGACCAGTAGTAGGACCGGTAGTGGGACCGGTAGAGGTGCCGGGACGAGTAGACGTGCTAGTGGGCTGGCTAGAAGGACCGGTAGAAGTACCAGGGCGAGTAGAGGTGCTGGTGGTTTGGGTAGAGGGACCAGTCGAGGTGCCAGGGCCGGTAGAGGTGCCAGGGCGAGTAGAGGTGCTGGTGGGTTGAGTAGAGGGACCGGTAGAAGTACCAGGGCGAGTAGAGGTGCTGGTGGTTTGAGTTGAAGGACCGGTAGAGGTGCCAGGGCTAGTAGAGGTGCTGGTGGACTGGGTGGTTGTTCCGGTTGAGGTAGGCTCGGTGGACGGACCGGTGGATGTTCCGGGGCCGGTAGAAGAGCCGGTCGAAGTAGACTTGGTGGAAGAGCTAGTCGGCTCGGTGGATGGGTTGGTAGACGATCCGGGGTTGGTGGAAGGACCTGTGGATGTGGGCTGAGTAGGCTGAGTAGTAGGAGCCGTCGAGGTGCTGCTGCTCGTGGGAGGGTTGCCGCTAGCGCAAGGCTCGTTGGACTCGAGGTCCTTGGCAATGTAAACGCTCAGACGATTGCCACCACCGCAGATCTTAGAGGCATCACCGCCGCAAGGAGCGTTGCAGTCCTTCTCGTCAGCCTTGACGGTGCGTGAGAGGACGTTGCCACACCAACACTCGTGGGCGTATTCGGTAGCAGCGATGGGGAAACCTTGAGTCTTGCAAGCAGCAATGCAAGCCTCAGGAGTGAACTTGGCGGGCTCAATGCTCTCGGGCCAGGGGAAAGCACGGCCCTGTCCATTGACATTATCGACATAGCAGCCGCTATAAGCGTAGTCGGCGACGGTGACCTCGCTGGGGGTCTTGGTATAAGTGGAATCCTCCCAAATGTTGAGGGTGTCCTTGCCACCGCAAAGCTGACCCTTGTCACCATTGCAAGGGTAGTTGCAAGAGCCATCAGCGGTCTTCTCGGCAGCTATCTCGTCACCGCAGTAGCAGACTCCGTAGTAGGTGAGACCGGCATAGCGGAAGGCGTTGCCCTTGCAGACAGAGGTACACTTCTCAACAGTCATGTCGTTGCTAGAAACCGTGGAGCGCATGATGAGAGCGGTGTCCCCGTTGGTGTAGCAGCCCTTACTAGTGAAGGGGGTGAATTTGTCGGTACAAGGGGGAAGCTCATAGTTGGTGGCAGTGGTGAGCGCGGCCAACGACAAGGCCGCGGCGGCTGCCACGACAGACCTGTGGAAGGCCATGCTGAAGGTAAATGGGGTCGGACGAGACAAAGGTAAGTGAGTAGAATGTAAAGACGGGAGGGATAAACGAAGGTTGGTCTGTTACAAAAAGATACAACGGCCGAATGAGGGGATGAAAGTGAAAACACAGAGATCCGCGGAGAAGAAAAGTCAAGCAAGAAACGTTGGAAGGGGGCAAGAGAATATATACACGCCGCCTGAGTGATAGGCAGGGAAGAAGCGGCAGAGCAAGCAGCCAGCAAGCTGGGAGCCGAGCCGAGCTGAAATTTGTCGACGGGCGTCAACAATGCCGGGGGGTCCGTCTGGCTAGGGGGACCCAAGACTCCATCTAGATTCTGGGTGTAAGTGGTATGGCAGGGAAGCCGGCATTCATGGCCAAGGTGGAGGATCAGACGCAATTCGGGCCTTGACAGCTCGGACCACGCAGTGCAGGCGATGCTGCTGATGAGCGTGGAGACATGGGTAACGACTCAGGACTGGCAGGCTGTCACTAGTTGGGTATATAGGCAGTAGGCCTCGACGAAGGTCGGGTCAGTCTGCGAGAATGCGGCTGCGGTAGGATGACCGGGGTGACATGGGCGACATGACCAGGGCTCATGAAGCGGGTATCGAGCCTCTATGAGGCTCAGCAACACTCAGTATAACCACAACATGATTGGTGAATAGATGGTAGCAAGTTGGCCCATTGTATTTCTTGTCTTGTGTTGGCGAGGACTGAAGACACAAAGGGCACTGTCCGATAACAGGTCGTACTACATTTCTCGCGTCAGCCATCTAAGATTATGTGCAATTGGATGAGCAAAGCCCTACAAGAGAAGGAAAGAGGGGTTTTTTGGAACAGGGACGAGCTAGCTCAGCGGTGGCGGATAGATGTCATGGTCAGGGATTGAGCATGGTGAGTCTCTGCGGCGATGGGCAGGAGATGCGGCTTGGCGCGCAGGAAAAATAGCCAATGTGCGTAACCCGTTCGGGCAAAGGCTGGAGGATCATTGGCTAGTCAACTAGTCAAGAACTGATGAGGATAGGGGAAAAAAAGGTCTGAGAGCCGGCAGTATGCAAAGCGGAGGATGAGCAGGGTAGAGAATAATTAGAAAGGTTGTCGGCTTGATGAGAAGCGTCGTGGAGCAAACGAAAGAGGCATAAAGATTTAACTAGATCAAAAGAGGGGCAGGATAACTGCGGGATCGAGTGGACCTGCATTAGTTAGTTGGTGGAGCTGGCCAGTTTCTGAGTAGGTAGACCGTAGGACTGACAAGAACAGGTAGTACATAGCAAACATAGGTAGGTAGGCAATAGGTAGGCGCTGAAGACCATCGTGGATTGCTGGCCATGCACACCATGGTAGGTGTGGCTTGGCCTGGTGCCCAGTACCCAGGTTATTTTGGGCTGATTACTTGTTAAATGATTTTTTCCGTTTTCGCCGGCTGGCCCGACCAATACTTAAGCGATGACATTTGCTGTGATTTGGAAAAAGGGATACAAGGAACAAAGTCAAACTCTCTTGTCTTGGTTACAACCTTGTAAGCCATTACGGTGCTTGCCAACTTGCCGTTTTTCAGCCCCAAGATGTTGACAATGGAATACTGTGGAGAGAGGCCCAGTACGGCGGGCGGGACCACCAACCGAAATCTCACGGGGGCCAAACTTCATTATCAAACCACGCACGATAGCTCTACCTATTTACTCAGTACAAATCCCGATGCCCAACAAGCCCTTGCGTAGCCACGCGTATTGAGAGCCCGTCGTTGCTATTTTTATTTCAGCTCTTGTGATTTTGAAAGCCACCCTTTAGAGTGACTGATATTTATTTGTCAAGAAAAACTGAAAGAGAAGGCTTCTCCTACCGTTTATTACGTTACTGAAGCCCTTAAAGGGGTCCACCACCACCAGCCCACCCAAATACATACTTTACATCGCACCTTCTAAATACCCAGCAGTTGGCCTCTTCACTTCGCGTCAAGCTTGCGGCAATTATGATATCCAAGCAAATGGTATCTGGGTCAATTGTTCCCCCTTATTTATTGGTAACCTGCGTCATAAGAAAAACCACCAGCCACAAGCCCTATTCCACTTGCACTGCACGCAGCCGCGGCTGAAGATGGCGCGGGGCCTGTTGTACCGCATGGACTTGGCTGGACTCGATGCTGCAGCTACCGAAGACGCTTCCTGCATAATACGAGCCCAACTGTCCAATTGGGGCGTCATCTATGCAGGCGCAGGGACAGGGCAACAAGGTGACAAGCAAGCTACCTTGTTCACAATGACCATCGCCCCATCCACGGACTATCGGCCCGCTCCTTCGGCCAAGTCGCCCAAGACGCAGAGAACCGAGGAAACAAGAGTGACTACCCGGCATACCCGGGCGCATCACTTCTCGCTAAGAAGCACGTTCGAGAACACAGCCAGCTTCACAATAATCATGACCCGACGCCAACATGGTCCGCCACTTAGGCTCGGTCCCGTCCATCCATGAGGCACAGGCTCTGCCGACAATACAATGATCCCCATTCAGGAACACGCGGAGAACCAAGTAGACCAAGGGAACGCATCGAGGCCACGCTACAAACAAGACATTGTCTTCAAGATCAAACGCCACTCTGTGTCCACCATGTGGTAAACTACAAAGTACCTCTCTCTCATGTGGAGTTGGGCTGCTATTTATTCGTTCCTTCCATTTCGTCTTTTGGCCCGACTTGGATCAACAACACCTCAATATACTCAATATGCTCAATATGCGCATGCAGAGTACATGGGTGCGGCCAGCCCACAAGCCGACAAGGCCGCCTGAAACGCTGAGCTAGCTGACCTTGACGGACGGTAGTCGTCGGTACTCTACAACGGCATTGATCTCAAGTGCTGCCATTTTGCACCGGAACAATCCCCATCCGCAATGGGTCAATCTTGGCGGCCGTGGCTCTTACTTTCATCATGCTCATTCCATAGGTAATGACTGATACTAACAAGCGCTCAAGTACTAATATGACCGAGGTGCGACTAAGACCGAGCCACTGCACAGACATCACGAACCCACTGCACCGGACACCTTGTCATAGACCAACAAAAGTCCTCGTCGCTTGGTTCCGTATTATCGGCGGTATTTACGGGGTATAGTAGCTAGACTGTAGCCGAGGCCGTTAGCCAGTTGGCCATGCTTTTGAGGACCTACACATACGGACATTGGCACGACACCACACTCGTCCAACACCAACAGCCTGATCTGTGGCTGCGACTCAACTCTCTCTACTCGACCGCTGAATACCTATAGCGAGCGCCCTCCTTCGCCAAATCAATCAAGATCTGTATACCATCCTAAATCTGTATACCATCCTAAATATCACACCCTGCCAAGAAGAAAACAAAGTTCCACCACCGATCCTCCCAAGTGGCCAAGCCATCGTCCTAATCTTGTTCTCGCTCTTGGTTGGGCCTAGATTCGTCGCCACTGCGCTAATAAACTAGCACCTCGCGAACAATGGGCTCAGAAGAAGTCTGTGTGGGCCGTCAGGGGTCCTTTGGCTGGGGCCGACGTTGCTCTCTTCAATTCGCGGAAGCGCAACGGAATGCATACTGGACCGGCAATCCGGTCTGCAAGTCAAGGTCGATCGCAATACCCTCTTTGCTCAGAGATGGCCGAGACGGCAAAACCACGGATTATACATCGATCTCGAGATCATTACCTGATAATCACGGACAGTGATCTCACACAGTGGTACCAGCACCGTCGCCTCCAGAATGCATATTTCTTCGGAAGCTCAGACGTTTATCCCGACTGGGTGGATGATTCGCTCACTTCATCGTTCCGCGCCTTAGTGTCAGAAAAAGACCTCGTCTGGAAATTAATTAAATCGGCACAAACTTCCGTTCAGGTTCCCGAAATAAGTCTGGCGCGAGGTCCTCTCTCCCCTTGGCGCTCACGCTTGTTCACCAATAAGCTACGCTGAAGCTAGAGCATGCAAAGCCTTCATCAATTTTCTGGAGAACAGACCGGGTACCCCTGGCTCGCCATATTGGCAGTCTTCGATGGTCCTTCAATATTTTCGTAATCCTGCTAGTCTGGGCAGCTTGCTTCATTCTATTCCGGGAGATCGCGCTGCAACTGATCTCTAGTGATCGACCACGAGCGATCTGCAAGACTTTGGTCCCATTTGACACTGCTTAAACATCTCCAACGAAAGGTTTTCCATCGGACCATGTAAACATCGCTCAAGTCTTTCTGGAACAACAACAGAACCATATTTATACTTCCCCAATGCTACCGCGTACAATTGACTACAAACAATAGAGGTAAAAGGTAGCGGCGAATATTAATACAGTACGGGTGCAGCTCAGCTGAACTATTGACACAATTAAAATTTAATACGGAGCCCAAGCCACATACTCAGCAACTCAGGTAGCCGGTAGAGATGGAGCGGATGACCGTAAGAAGTACTACCCCGACGGCTTGCTCGGGCTCCTTTCTACCGTGCAAAAGGGAATAAGCCTGCCTGCATTGGAGACGCAAATAGATCACTGCAGGACTGCTGCTGGAAGCAAGCTGACGAGGGATTCGGGTGGTATGCAACACAATCCAATATAGTTGTTGAGGTCCCTTTCGCTGTTCGCAGGTCGATTATTAATTGGGCCATGTCTGATCTATTTTCAAGGTAGTTACCACGTGGACAAACGTCTAGCTTGTTAGTAAGGGAAGCTAACAAATATGGTCTATATTTACCGATGATAGGTGATAACGGCTTGGCATCGTATAGATGACAACACCCTCTAGCCGAGCAAACGCCTCGTGGTCAATTCGCATCGCGAATCCTGTCTTTCAATGGGGAAACCCCGGTCTGTGGGCGTCTAGAGAACAATTAACAGAGCTAACTCGATGTAGGCAGAGACAAGATGCCTATAGCTTCTCTAAAAACGCGTGCTTCTGAGCTCTATGTTAGCCCTGGTTCGCATACTATTGCTGTATGTTGTGTAGACCTCGTCAAGCCCATCTCCTTTTGGTGGCAGGAATAACCGTTGGCCAGGTGGAACGGGCGGCTTGGGTTCTAATTTCCTCTATTGTTTGTGTGTTTGTACTAGTATGTAACGACGAAAACTCATTATAATCCCTCATCTCGCGTAAATAGCTGCTAGTGCTTGCTGCTTTGGGATGACCGCCCTGAAAAATCACAACATTGGCTTTTGCTTTTCGTGTGTTATTGCGCTGAAGCCACACCCCATCTCGTCCACGCCATCTCACACCATCTCACACCATCTGGTCCTGTTGACTGTCCTGTTTTGGTTTACAGCTGCATATTATAGCCCTGTTACACCGATAGGACCGACCAACCGGCCGCCGTCTCCTGTGTTCTAGATCTTGGGGAAAAAATGGAAAGAAAAGAAGAAAAGAAAACAGGCCACTCTTAGCCTCACTTGAACCACACAGGTCCATTCTAAAGGAGAGGGGTCTAATTTGGCGAGAAATCGGCAAGAGATGCATCTTACTAGCACCGAAACGTAGTTTACTTTGCATTTGCAGGTCTCCTTCTTTTTGATTGTTACTAGCCAGCCTCGCCGCGAATCTCTGGTCCCCCCTCCACTACCCTCCTCCCTCCCGTATATATACAACATGAGCTCTTGTCGACCCGCAGCTAGGCTCCCCCATCTGCCCGACGGCTCCTTTCCTCCCCAACTCCAACTATTGTGGCGTTGAACTAGTATCGTCTCTTTTCTTCTTCAGCTAGCCACTGTGCACCTGTTTGAAGGGGAGAGGGCCAGATGACTGATGAGAGTGCGAAACAGCCATTGAGGGGCAGTTGTCAGCACTCATTTCTTCCGCCCGTCTGTAAACGTCATGCTCGTATCGATGGAACTCGAGGGAAGTTTTGCGCAAAATGCATACATGCATCAAAGGGGCAATTTCTTCCAAGGCAGGTATGGCAGCGTAGACCGAAAAAGCCGTCTTCATCGAGGCTTTGCATCGTGGAACTGCACGCCAATTCAATGGGCCATATCGGGGATCTTTTGCGTCTTCCTCGTGTTGATTGAACCACACGATCAGATGATGCGCCTGGCCCGGTCCAGCTCTGCTCGACTGGTCCGGTCCGGTCGGGGCTCTGTTGTGGGCAGAAGATGGCCTTTTGCCAGTGCCGTTTCGATATGCTAGGCGACATCTGGTGCACTGGACGTGGACTTGGTACCTATAGGAGCGACACCACACATGACTAGCAATACATATATAATCATAAAAGCACGCTTATAAGTCAACCATGTATTCTTTGTTTTTTTAGGGGGGTTTATATCTTCAGTCTGGCTGTGCTCCTGCCCGGTCCTCATCGAAGGACGCTGGCAGTAATTACATGTCAATTCTAGAGTACATCCAGTTGCAACGTATGTTCTCCCAAGTGCCCAAACGCCGTTGTGCAAATTTTGAGGCAGCTCGTCTCTCGTTGGAAAAAAAACTGATTCAAAACAATGCTTCGTGCTATTCCGTCATACTTTTCTAAAGGAAAGAGGAAAGAGAAAATCAAAAAAAGAAATGCCTCAACCCTTATGCCTTGCCGCGCATGTGAGGAGGAACCCACTTGCCGGCGGTGCCCGAAGACAGCTGCTCGGAAGGCGCCGAGTCGTGCTGCTCGCTTCGTCGAGGAGGCGGAGCATCGGCGCGCGAGGAGCCGCCGCGGTCCATGGGAGCACCGCGGGGAGAAAAGTTTCTGGGGGGAGGCGCGCTAGCCGTGGTCTCACCAGAGGCTTCCTTGGCCGCCTGTCGCTCGCGCCAGCTGGGCTTGCTGCCGGCGAGATTGAGACGAGGCGGGCCGCCGGCAGAGGGAGAGGGGCGGTCCTGAGAGTCGGAGCGCTCCACGGTGCGACCCCCAGAGGCGGCGGCCTTCGCGGCTTCTCTCTCACGCCAGCTGCCGGAGCCAATCGTGGGAGGTCTTTGGCTGCCGCTGTCGCCAAAAGGCTCAGCGCTGCGCAGAGGACGTTCCTTCTCGGCCTTGCGGCGAGCGAGAGCCTCCTCTTCGCGGCGTTGTTGAAGGGCTGCCTTCTCAAGCATCTCCTGGCGCTCCTTGTCGCGCTGCTCCTTGAGCTTGGAGAGCTCGGCCTTGCGGGCCTCCTCGCGCTCGCGCTGCTCCTCTTTCTCGCGAGCGGCATTCTCCTCGGCTTCGCGCAATTCTCTCTCCTTCTCTTCGCGTTCACGCTTCTCGCGCAGCTTGCGATCGCGGAATTCCTTCTTGCGAAGGGCGATCTGCTTCTCAAGCTCCTTCTCGGCATCACGGCGACGCTTCTCGAATTCGTCACGGCGGCGCTCATGCAGGTTCTCCTTGAAGGATTCATAGGTAGAGACCAGTCTGGTCAAGCGGTGCTTGAGCTCGACGTTGGCCTTGTGCAGCTCCTCGGCATCCTTGAGCTTCTTGGCGGTGTTCTTATCATAGACGGCACGATCATGCTCGCACTGCTTCTCGTAGTCCTCGGCCATCTTCTTGGCTTCCTCCTTGCGGTAGGCACGCTCCAGATGATCGATACGCTTGCCAGTGACTCTGAGCTTTTCCTTGACGTCATGCTTTTCACGCTCAAGCTGGCTCAGCTTAATTTCACGGAGACGGTTTGTGTCCAAGTTGTCAATATCACCCAGGTCAATGTCGAGACGCTTGCCGTCCATTTTGAGTTCCTTGATCTGCTGCTCGACCTCGGCCCTGCGAACCTTGTCGCGCTCCTCTTTGAGGCGTCTGGCTTCACGTTCTCTCTGGTCATTCTCCAAACGCTTGTCCTCGGCCTCCTGGAGAGCCTGCTCCTTCAGACGCTTCTGGCGGGCATTCTCCTTGTCCTTGCGGGCCTGAGCCTCGGAGGCTTCCTCCTTGCGCTTCGCGATGATGTCCTTACGGGCAAGAATAGCCAGGTGTTCCTTTTCAGCTCCAGCCTTGGCACGGCTGAGGGCGGCATTGCGGGCAGACAGACGTTCTTTGTTGAACTCAGGATCGATGTAGTGGCAAGTCGTGAAGAGGGACCTAGCAAGGCGAGTGAGCTGAGATCGGACAATCTCAGAGGGTGTACTCTGGAGACGCTGAACAGCACCGCCATCGGCCTCGGCGGAACCAGCGGCGGAGCCGCTGTGGCTAGCCTTGGAAGACGAGAAGATGTCGCTATCAAAGCTCAGCACCCCTGTAGCATGGTCCATACGGATGGCGAGGTCGCCCTTCTTGTTACCATTCATGATGAACTTTTCAATGGTGGCACGGGTAATCTGGAAAGGCTCAGGAAACTTGGCAAGAGTTTGGACAAACTCAAGATCAACGGTATCGTAGACCTGAGAAAGCTGCTGGAACAGGCGGGTGAGAATGACTTGCTGCAGAGGGAGGATGTAGCGCTCCATCTCAGCGTCAGCGCCAATCTTGCTCAGAATGGGAGAGATTTTCTGGCAAATGGACAGAGGGTGGAAATCAACCTCAAGAATGTTATAAAGCTCCTTGATCTCAGGGCGAACACGCTGAAGGAGAGACTTGGACAGCGCATCACGGAAAAGACGGGCACGAGTAGGAGCCTGGGTCATGCCAAGCAGGTGAGTAAGACGTGAGTTCTTGTTCTTGCGGGCCTCGTCAAAGTCAACCATGGCACCACGAGAGCGCGAGGTGCTGATGACGGGAATGGCGAGGGCAGACAGAAGGACGAACGAGGCAGCCTTCTGAAGATCAGCCTCGGTGGCAGGCGGGTTGTCAGCCTTCTTGCCCTGACCGGAGGCAACAAGAACAGCAGAGTGCCGAAGCAGGTTGTAGTATCTGGACCAAGCAGCGGCGTGGAACAGGTAGTTCTCACCAACGAGAAAGATGCGGGTGAGCTTTTCGTAGTAATTGGCCATCATGATGTTCTTGGGGGGACGCTTGCTAAGGTTGAGCAGAGTGTGAATGTCCTCGACGCTGCGGAAGGCCTCTTGCCAGAGTTCAAGCTCAACGGCAACATTCAGCTGCTGGAAGCGGGTCTCGAGATGGCGCTGCAGAGTGTCGGCATCGTTGAGGTTGATGGCATGCATCTGTGAAGAATACTTTGCAGCGGTCTGCACATGATTACGGAGAAGCTCGCAGAGTCTTCGGAACTCGGTCTTGCGGGTATACTTGAGACAGAAGTCGAAGGCCTGCGAGGCGGTGCTCTGGTAGAGCATCTCGAGACGGGCGTTGTTGCGCAGAATGTCGAGAACAGTACGGTAAGCCTCCCAGAGGAACTTTAGCCAAGGGGTGACGATGGCGCGGTCTGTACGGTCGCGTGATTGCTCGCCAGAGACGGTGGCGAGGAGAATGGACTCGGGAGTCTCGGTAGCTTCCAAATCCTCGACATTAGAGTCGCCGTCAGCGGTTGCCTCGAGGCTAGACTGGACCTCGTCGGCCTTTTGCTGCGCAGCAGTGACTTTGTCGACAGCGAGCTGAATAAACTTCTTGAGGACGAGCTATATGTTGGTTAGCAACGCGATCAAAATTGAATCGCGGAGCAGGTTGGTTCACGAACCTCGATGGTCGCAATATTTGTGTTTTGAGAGATATTCTTATACTGGTAGAGGGCGTCCTTGGCGAGTTTTCCCTTTTTCTGTTCGACGGAGAGTTCGACCAAGAGGAGCATGACGGGCTCGAGCGACGCGATGGGAACATTTCGGGAGCGCTTGCTGGTGATGTGCTCGTGAAGCAGGGTCAGAGCCGCCGGGGGCTGACCAACCCCGATGAGCTCATGAGCGCGCTTGAGCACATTTTCGGGTTTCTGGTGCGGTGGAGGCGGCTGTTGAATGAAGCGCGAGTTAGTATCTCGATAGGGAGGGGTAGCAAGATGGAAAGGGAGTTGAGGCGAGCGTAGGGAATCGCGACGCAGCAGGATGCAGCAGGACGCACCATGATGGGCAACTTCCTCTATATGGTTGCTTGGGCAAGTAGAGGGGAAGCTGATTCTGAGTTGCCGTCGCGAGCCAAGGGTTGTCTGTAGAAGGGCTCTGGCGTGGCACTCTTTGCGTGAAGCCTAGCACTGGGACGAATTTTTCAATTTCGTGTGTGGACGCTGAGGGGCTATGGAGCGTGGAGAGTCACGTGGTTTGGACGAACTTCTAGGCGATGACTCGGAGCCTATCTACAAGTACTTCCAAGGCTACACCTTGGCAAAGAGAATTGTCAAAGTTTGGTCAATTTTGGTGATTTATTTTCTTGAGCCTTCTAGGGGATATTATACTTTTTGAGGGTAATTTAGAGCGAAATGCTGTGGTGGCCGTTTTATGCACCATCATCGAGTTTAGGGCAGCGGAAGTATGACAGAATGCTAGGAGTGTATGCCGTCCAGTACGATGCAGCCCCCTCCCAAAATCAGATAAACTAAAATATGCACAATTTCCCATCTTTAAATAGTATGGCGAAATATCATGTCTTGATCTCGCTTGCAATAGCGATGACGATGAAGATGGGCAGGTGGATCACGTGATGTTTGAGCTCTGGCTTTCTGCCTGGGTTTCTTTCAATTTTCCGCCCAACCCTGAAAGCTTCGCACGCAACCTACACAACTACTGCATAGTCATGGCTGACTCTTCGCGGCAGAGGTCTCGCTCGAGATCACCGCGGCGCGCACCAAAAGGCAGTGGAGGATTCAGATGGAAGGATAAAAAGTCTGAGGATGGCAGAAACGATCGCAGAGACGGCCGACGGGACGACAGGAGAGAAGACAGACGGTATGACGGCCAGTGCTACCGCGGCGGACGCGACAGAGATTTCCGCGACCGCGACCGCGAACGTTCTCCTCGCCGCGACAGGTCACCTCGACGAGACGAAGGCCGCCGCCGCAACCCAGACGGCAAAGCAAGCAAAGAGAAGCGCGGTGACGACGGCAAAAAGGAAAAGAAGCCAAAGAAGGCTGTATCTCTTGCTGGCAAGGAACTCATCGTGGTTCACATCAACGATCGTCTCGGCACAAAAACGGCCGTGCCCTGCCTTCCCGACGACACCATCGGTCAACTGAAGCTCATGATTGCAGCACGCATCGGTCGAGAGCCTGGACAAATCATGCTGCGGCGTCAAGGCGAGCGGCCATTCAAGGACCCTATTTGCTTGGCCGACTATGGCATCTCCAACGGTGTACAGCTGGACCTAGAGATTGATACAGGCGATTAAGAAAAGGGCACGAATTCGATGCAAACACATTAATGTTGGGCGCCGTGTGTCGAGCCTCGGATATAGCTATTTGCGGGATACGAGCAGCGCGGGAGGGTTGTCAGTGACAGTGGATCGCCAGAATGCTGCGTGAAGATGCGCCAAGCACCATGGAAGTTGTCACTCGCATGAGGATGCGGCAAGACTGCTTTGCTCAGAGTTGCACAAATGTATCATTAGGACGAGGAGGCGACAGACGGGCTCGTGGTCAGCCTCATGACGCATGAAAAGGGAACGTGAAGATGCGCACGAGGCGGGGTATTACACAGGGTGCGGTGGTATGAACGGGGGCGCAAGAGTGGAGGAGGGTACCTAAGGTACCTAGAAGCTTCAAGCAGCACGGAAGAGTTCCCTGCAAGCAGCTTGGCATCTAGTGGTGAAGATGGAGCAGGCTACCTAACAAATAGTGGTGGTACCGACCTACCTGGAGGTAGCTGTGAAGAGCAGTGGTGCTTCGGCAGATGAAGCTTTCATGTTGTCAAGACATGTTATTCAAATTTATTGTAAAGTCCTGGTCTTGTCTCTTACCTTATGAACTCCAGATACGGGCGTTGGCCACCAATAGCGGCCACGACGTATTCATAGGTACCTACCTACCTGGGTACGCTTGGTGGCTGCTGACTGGCTGGAATTGAATGCGGCGACCCAGTTCAGCGGCATCTCTGTGGCTCCTCTGTGGTTCCCAGCAGCACTGACAGGAAGTCAGTGTTTCCCCAAGGCTCAGCTATCGTACAGGTTGCAAGTTCCCAGTGGGTTCAGCGACGTTCCAATTTCCGTTGTGCAGACGCACGAGCCAGTTGCATTCCGGCTGTACATTCATAGCACCAGTGGACAGAGGTCACTTCGGCTGCTGTCCGGTGCCCGCTATTTAGGCTGCCCACTCTACGGATACACTGTGAGCTGTCCTTTTTCTACGCTAGCGGGCCACCCCCAAGCAGTTTGGCAGCTTCATCCCTCCTTGCCTCCTTGTTCCTTGTTGCTTGCTGCTTGCCTTGCTTGACCCCCCCTAATAAATTAAAAAAAACCACTAGCCTCTCAAGTCTTCCCCAATCACAGCTAGACCGTTGTGTGAATCGCCATTTCCCACACCTTCCCTCATCGACTCTCAACTCTCTCTTCCCGCACACAACGTCCTTTCTTTTTCCCGCCTTGTCCCCCCCCAACCCAGCTCATCTTGTTATCCCGGCGTCGTGTCGCTGCCTGCATCGGCATCACCACGGTCCTGTTCTAGTGCCTCTGTAAGTTCGTTTCCTTGTTTCAATTGAGACGATTCATGCAAGATGTCCGTGACGGGCTCTGTTTTGTCCTCCCGCCAGTCCCCAAGAGCCGCCGCCCCCTGGTGGAGATTTCAGGAGTTTAGACAGCCATCCGCGCAAAAACACTGTGCTGCACACCCTGCCAACCGACGGGACACGACACGACGAAACCGCGCTTCTTGATGTTGCTTACCAGCTACCGAATTTATTTCCCGGCTGCAACTTTGATTGACTCAGCGCCCTTGTTTCCTTCGCCGTGGTCTCGAACGTCGTCCACGCGCCGGCTTCACCTGCATCGAGCTCTAGGCCTCAACCAACATCACGCCTATTCTACAAACGAGCGCATTCAATCACGTGTCGGAAAAGGTCGAGACCGTCCGCTGACAAGTTGGAATCATTACAGAACGAAAAACGTTGAATAATCGCGACGGTCTGCTCTTTTCGCTTTGTTACGATCCTTGACGCCGAATCTCGGCACCAGCCACGATGCCTCAGTACGCTACGCGAGACGGCGACACGGCGCAGTTCAGAAGAAACAAACAGTCCATGGCCGATCTCAAGCTGCGCAGGTTGACCGAGCTTAACAACCGTCTGCGCGAAGATCTTGACCGCGAGCGCATCCCTGTCAGCACTGCTTCAAGGAGGTAAGACCCAACGAGGTGGTCCGCCGGTGGCTGGTGAATATCACGGCTGACATTTCTCGGGTAGCATCATCGCCTACTGCAACGGCACGAGAGATTACATGGTGCCCTCGGTTTGGGGCTCCGTCGCAAAGGGCGAGGACCCCTATGCCCCCCAACAATCTGGTGGCTGCTGTATCGTCATGTAAGGTGCTTGACGAAAGGACGAGCGGCTACCGAGAGCACTTGGCCAATCGCGGTATTACAAGAGAGAAGCATAAGCGTTCTTATCACACGAGACGGGCAGCGAATTGCCAACGGTCTAGACGCCCTAAGTCGGCATTTATTTGACGAATGAAACCCAGCGAGATGTGCGAGATACCCGTCCGCCAGCACCAGCCAGCACTACCCCAAATCCGCAGCTATATACACACCGCCTCTTCCTTTTTTTGTTTTTTTTTTTGTCGGTTTTCATTCTCCCTGGCTTGGCGTTGGCACCCCTTGTAATATCAGAAGAGGGCATGGACGAAGGTGAAGGAAAAGGCTGCTCAACATGACCGACATGTTTTCTTTTATTTTGTGCAAAGTTCTGCTACTCGATGTCTTTAACTTTATTTCCTAGAATTTATCTGGCTGCGGTCTGCGGTTGAGGAGAAGAAGAGCTCTAGGGGACGGTAGCTTTACTGAGGATTTATGGGCAAGGGAAGCAGATAGATCCTCGAGCATGTATTATTTCTTGCCCCTTGTATTGAGTGTTTCTTCACCGCATCTACATGCCACTTGTAGCACGATGGCATGCCTTTGCAGTATCAAGGGAAAATGTAAATGATAACAGTGACGAGACGAAGAATGACGTATAGTCGTATGTGGACGCAGTGCACCATCACAGTTACCTTTTGCGGTGCACAAGTGCGGGCGTGATGTGATTGTCGGCGCGATGGGCGGGCGCGGGCGCGATTTGCTTCACCCGCATGGCCGGAAAGCCAAGATGGAAGGAAGCCCGAATCTCAACGGCTTGGGATAGGTGATCATGACGTTGTATGCGACGAGGTCTCCGAACCCGATAAAGAACTGGGACCTTGTCATGAAGGTTTCCAAATGGAGTAAGTCGATGTTTGCTTTAGAAAAGTGCATTATTCATGTTGCCATTCATCATCTTATACTGTGCCCCCCCCCCCCCCCCCCTCCCGTTTGCCCAGTTGACCCCCGCCCTCCCTCGCTTTGTGTGGGGAATAGGTATTAGAAGGCAAACGACATCCCTTCACCACGCACCACGCCTGTGTTTCTTGTCTCTCGTTCATAACATCTCCTCTCCAATCAGTCTCAGCAACTGCAAACGGCGCCAAAATAGAACATATTAACCCTGTTTGGGAAAAAGACGTATCATGGCGGACAAGGAATACGTGACGCCGGCAGAGGCTGGTGGCCAGAGGCTCCCCCGCGTTACCATTGAGTTTTGCACGCAGTGTAAATGGTTACTGCGCGCCGCCTATGTAAGCTTGCTTCATTCTAAATGCCTGTTTTTTTTCTTTTTTTCCTCTTTTTTTTTTGTTTATCCTCATGTTGTTTGTCCACTAGTACTCAAAAACAAAAACAAAAACTCTTCTTCTCCTTCCGTCTCAGTTCTCTTAATGAAGGAAAAAATCACTAACAGTAGGATTATAGTACGCGCAGGAGCTGCTGTCCACCTTTTCCACCTCTCTCGGCGAGGTCGCGCTGCAGCCCTCGACAGGAGGCACCTTCATCGTCACCATCCACCACGCAAGTGAGTTAGACACCACTTTGTTGAGCGGCGGCGAGGGGACCAGCAGAAGAGTGCTGTGGGATCGGAAAGTGGACGGTGGATTTCCAGAGACAAAGGAGCTCAAGAGGAGGGTGCGCGACGTGATGGAGCCCGGCAGGGACTTGGGGCATGTGGACAAAGACTATGCGAGACCAGCACCGGTGGCGGAGAAGATCAAGGTGGAAGAGGTGAACAAGACCGAGGACAAAAGCCAAAATGTCACTGGCAAAGAGAATGCTAGTCAAAACGCCTCTTCCAAAGAGTGCGAGGACTGCAAATAGATGTGGTAATTGATGGAGTAACAATGTCATTAGGCATTCAATCGACGTCGTTTCATGTTTACGTATCGTCCGTCCACCAGATGATTCACAGCAAATGGAGCACGCGATTCTGGATGAAATTTTTTTTGTAAATTTTACAAGAGTCAAGCTAAGAAACAGCCGTGTCGTTGTCAAGCATTTGTAATTTTCGTTCTTCATATTTGGCGACAGGGATCATCTCTGGCAAGAACGGCGACATGGGGAATCCAGACATGGGCGACAATCACGTCAAGGACTCGGGATGTGGCGGCAGCCAGAGGAAAAGACGCAGGCAACTTTTAGTTGCTGTGGGCGAGGCGGTAGACGCGCCGTGGTAACGGCGGCGGTCAACAGAAGGGAGGCGACAGGAAACCTGGAAGAGTGGGTTGGGCAGCGAGCAAAGAGTTGGATTTAGCGACGACCAAACCTGTAACTTGGTTAGAGAATGGTCATGGTGCATGGTAATGTGGACAAAACTCACTTCTGCTTCTTCTCGGCGGGCTTGAGAATCTGGAACGAGCACAGCAAGCTCTCGTCGACGCTCATCATGGCACCAGCATTGTCAAACTCGCCGCAGTAGTTGGGAGCAGAGAAGAGGGTGACAAGCTGGCGCTTGGAAAAGAACTCGTAGCCGTCTTCGACGACTTGGTGAGCGCGACAGATGAGATCCATGTCGTGTTTCTGTAGGAAGCGCGATACGACATCCGGGCCAAAGGTAAAGGAAACGCCTCGATCGTTTTCGCTCCATCCGGTGATGTCCTTGTCGGGATCAGACCAGAGGAGATCGCAGAGCAGACCGCAGTCGGGAATCTAGTTGAGGGTCAGCATTGATGATGGACTGGAAGCATCTGGGTAAACTTACATCAGTAGGACGCATGACGCGACGGATCTGCTCCATCGAGTTTAGATCAGGGCTGAGACCGCCGTGCATGGTAAAGATCTTCTCGTCAATGATGGCGGCAATGGGCAAGCAGTTGAAGCAGTCGGTAAAGGTCTTCCAGAGCTTAATGTTGTAGCGACGCTTGCACTCGTCGTAGAATCCGTAGATACGGTTGATGGAGGCGCACTCGTGGTTGCCGCGGAGGATGAAAAAGTTCTCAGGATACTGAATCTTGTAGGCAAGGAGAAGGCAGATGGTCTCGAGAGACTGCTTGCCACGGTCGACGTAGTCGCCAAGGAAAAGGTAGTTGGCCTCGGGAGGAAAGCCGCCGTACTCGAAGAGGCGGAGGAGATCATAGTACTGGCCATGGATATCGCCGCAAATCTGGAGGCGCGTTAGCTGTGCGATTCTGGGAGGTAGGCGAGAGAAGATGAGGGACATACCTTGATGGGAGCCTCGAGCTCGAGGAGAATGGGCTGTGAGATGAAAATCTCGCGGGCCTTGGTGCAGAGGTAGCGAATCTCGGACTCGAGAAGCTGGACCTGCTTGCCGGGGCGGCTGCCTCGGACCTCGAGGAGTCTGTCGATTATGGAGTCGAGGTCGACATCGTGCTGGTCGGCCATTGCGGTCGGATCCCTATGGCCAGGGGCTACCGGCAGAGGATAGAGGGGGGAGGAGTTACGCAGAGGCGGTGCGGCAGGGCCGGGCTATTGGATATGACGATGCTGAGGTAGCGAGTCGAAGCGGGGCAGAGATGCCGGAGAGCTCTTGGTCGCGGTAGAGCAGCGGGCGGGGGTCAGCAGCAGCAAAAGAGCAGACGGAAGTCGTTGTGCTCGGCTAAAGAGGCAAAATAAGCCTTGGTGGCAATCTGAATGAGGGGAGAATTATGTTAGCAAGTGCGCATTTGTAATGCGGGCGCAAAGCCGAGAAATATGAAGCCGTGGGAAAAAAGCAGAAAGAGACAGGAAAGTCGTCTCTTGACAGAATGAGATGTCAATGATGGAATTAAAAGAGCTAAAAGCAAACTGGCAAAAGGACGATGGGCGCCATTGCGCGCTGACGACACAGAATAGAGGCCAGCAGTGCAGAAAAAATGATGGCGTGGTGTTGAGGGGCCGGCCAGTGCAGGGAGGGGGGAGTTGACAGAGTGGTGTTGAGCTTGATTTGTTGCTGTTCTGGTGTCTTTCGGTGTTTTTCTGTGCCTTAATTTTCCCCCCTGTTTTGTGTGCCTTTTACTGTTTGGTGTGCCTTGTGCTGTCTTGCTGTGCCATTTGCTGTTTTGCTCTTCCTTTTTGCTATTTTGCTGGGCCAAAAACTGCTGGGGAAGGCTGCTGCTGAGGGAGGGGGACAAAGCGCGCGAAGGCGACGGAACAAGCGGGCTCACCTCGTAAAAAAAATGACTGACGGCAAAAGGGCGCGTCAGGTCAATTATCAGGGCAAAGAGAGCAACAAATGCTCTTTGACGCGGCCGTTGAAAAAATTAATTCTCAGCACGCAGTATATCTTTGTCCGAAGTTTTCCAGAGACGCGCAAATGTTGTCGTGATGGGCGAGGATGGTGCAATTGCTCGCCGGGTCGCCGTGGTTGCTGCAAAAACGAGTTGCAGGCTTTTTTTTGTCGCTCGGTGGTGTATGCCTCTTGATGAGTGTCGCCGTGTGATGGGTTCCGAGTAGAACCAGTCGTTTGTTTTATCGTCTTCTTGAAAGAAGAAACGTTAAGATTCTTCTTTGCGTCGTAGATTAGACGCGGTCGCCGTGTTGTCGCTTTGAGGGAGGACAAGATGAATGTCGCCGTTGGGGGGTGGTGTCGCAGGAGGAAAGAAGAGCGAAAGCGTCGTTGTGGAGAGGAAGACGGGAAAAGTAGGTACTTTTCTTTTGCTTTTTTGTTGCCTTGGTTTGCCTTGGCTTGGCTCGCCGGCAGCGGGACATGTCCACCACAAGCTACAAGGGGGGAGGCGCAGCAGCTTGTTTGTGTTGGGCCATTTAAATTCACTACAGGCACCTACCTACCTACCTAGGTAGCCAGGCACCTACCTACCAGTGCCTACCAACCTAAAAGTTATTTTACACACTTTTTTTCAGGAAGAAAGCTGCAAATAAAGGACAATGTAAAATAACGTCGTACCAATTGCTCTTGGTAAGTATCTAGTGATTCGTGATTAACGACAAGCTCAATTGCCCCCGTGGCTGTGTATTTACCTCCTAACCTAACTATAACCTGCCAGTCTGACTCTGCCACCAACCGGCTTGCAAGCTGTCCTCCAACATTGTTTCGTCTCCGAGATCCCAGTTGCACCACACCCCTCTCATCGACGTGACACTTTTGCCTACTGACATGTAGGTGACCTGAGCCCGAGGCCAGTGAATGCACCATTCACCATATATATTTATTGAGTCTCTCCGTACAAGGCTTCCCCCGATATCCACGCTTGGCTGCAATCGGCCATCACGACAGGTCGCCGCCAAACCACCGGATAGCCGGAAAGCCGGAAAGCCTCTGGCTCAGTTTTCCATCCTGGCCATGTTCCTCTTTCTTATTAGTCAGTACCTAGGCATTGGCTCGTCTGCTCCAAGCCCTGGACGGACCACCACCGTCCCCCCTCCCCCCCTCCACGGCTCAGCGGGCGCTAAAAACTGGGAACAAGGGAGGGGAAGAGGGACCTGGTACACCGTACGCCCGAGTGATTGGCAGATCCCGAAAGACCTGGCCAAGACGCATCAGCTACCAGTACGAATACTTGCCTGTCGTTGAAATTGTTCAAAAAGGCATACATCCAGAAATCTGCCGTTAGGCTTCCATCCGCTTCATGACACAATACCTACGGGCATTGGGCATTCGCCGACATCCAGTCCATGTTCCATGTTCCATGTTCCATGTCCTCTCCCCGCAATAGTGACGGAAAAGGTTGCTGTACTCCGTCCGTATGCTGCTTGCAATGCCCGACGCGACGCTCTTGCCACACCTCTTGTTTCCAAAATGAGTAGAACTTAAAAAAGTGATGAAGAAAAAAAAAGACCGCTGGTGCTCGTATCCCACCATTCCGCATTATTGAACACGCACATCGACACGTACGTCACTTTTTGCTGCTATTTTTGACCTCTTTGCCTCTCTTCATAAACACACGTCTACAGATTTTCCCCCTGATAAATAGTCATAGCTCAACCAATCAACAACAACCGCGAGAACCGCGACACGTACACACGCACATCTTGACTCTTTCACCTACTAACCTACTCCTTCTCTGCATCACCAACGCGCAATCTCTTGCGCTGATCTTGCGCTGATCTTGCGTCATGGAAGTCTGGTAAAAAACTGAAACCCCCCTCCAGCCCCCAAGGTCACCACCCTCCGCCTGTAATATCTCTTACCCGTCAACCCATCTATCCGTCTATCGTGTCATGAATATTTCCTTTACCCCTATTGGGCAGCAAACATAACCTTTTTTTTTTTTCCTTTCTTCTTCCCTCCCCCCCGTCGAGCAAGGGGAAAAGAAGAAAAGGCAACCCCTGCGAGGCAACCCCTGCGCGTCATCTTGTCGATGCCCAACAGCCCCTCACCCCCCAGGTCAAAGCTTCAATATCGTCTAGCCTCTTATTTTTTTGACCTGTAATTTTCTCAATAATACTAGTCAGTAGTTATAGCCGGCTTACCGGTGTTGAATAGATCCTGCTGGTAATAGAACCGGGCCGCACGCGCCAGTTGGGTCGGAATCTCATCCGATGTGGGAACCTCTTCACACCCAAAAGCCAAGCTCCGGAAAGAGAAGAAAACTCAAAACTTGACCAAAGTTATCCAGTCAACTGCAATAACTTTGACGTCTTGCAAATTCAGCCGTCATTTCAAAAGAAGACAAGAACCCCAATTCTCGCCCAAAAAAGTAGCACCCCCAACCCAAAAGCTGCCATGCACGATCCAAGGCAGAGAGTATGCATCCTGTTCCCCATATTCGTATGCATGCAACCCACGGCCAAGCTCTATCTATCCGTACGCCCAAGCCGCCATCTATCTACCTATCCTCAGCACAGGGGAGGGTCCCCGATAAGCACACAAAGAACGGCGCGCGCGGGAACCTGCCTGCATTCATTCATCGCCTGCATGCCGTCTGCGCCTCGTGATCCTGGCCCTCTTCTGCCCGTTCGGCTTACCACTTTCGGCCTCGCCAGCCGTCCATGCACAGCTTCTGGACGCAGCTTGAAAGAAAAAGTAGCTTTGTAAAATTTAAAGATAAAAAAATTCCTCAAGTCTTTCTTTCTTTTTCCTTTTTTGAGCTCTCTCGACAAGTTGGACTTTTTGCAACAAGAAAGACTCGCTAGTATTTCGCCTACCCTTTGCTTCAACCCTCACTTCCAAATCACGCCCTGTGTCAGGACACACCATCACGTATCGACTAAAAGCACCAGTAATGAAAATTTTCTTTTCTTCTTGCATAGTAAACTTCTTGCATAGTAAACAGCCATCAGTCCTGTGCTGTAGTCGGACACACTATAGTATATCGAATGAACTCGCAGTAAAAGAAAAAGAGTCACGAGCCACAAGCTTTCCCTGCTCCCGTCCGTCCATGTAGCAACCTAATCAGAAAAAAGAAAATCGACACAAATAATAGAATGCAGCTCGTTCAACGATGCCAGTCCATGCCGCAGCGGAAAAACAAACAAATACCATATATGACCAATTACCTTGATCGCACATCAACGCCTGAGAAGCATAGCAAAGACAACCAACCCCTGCCTCTTCTCTCCTGCGCGTAAACCCTTTCCACCGGAGAATTAGAAGAAAAAAAAACAGTAAAAAATAAGTAAAAGAAATCTTGGGGTACAAGTCGTCTTCTTTGCAATGATGGTACAGTGATTGCTCTTTGAACATGACCAGCTCTGATGCTCATGCTCTTCTTTCTTCTCCTCTTCTCCTTTCTTCTGCCTCTTCATCATCGCAGTCGAGCCGACACACGACGTGCACGCGCCTTACTCGTCTTTGTCTTGGTCGCGGCCTCTTGTGCTTGTGCTTGTGCTTGTGCTTCTTCCGCTTCCTCTGCTTCTTCCTCTGCTTCTTCCTCCTCTTCCTCCTCCTCCTCTTCTTCTTCCTCTTCCTCCGCCTCATCGTCACCACCAGCCAACAGGGCGCCGCTGCCATGCGCGCCCAGGCCCTTGAGCTCCACCTCATCCAGGTCCGTCAGGTCCTCGCTGAGCAGCCTCGCCGCGTCGAAACCGCCAGGGACCTCGACAGCAGCCGTCTGCTCCAGCAGTGCCGAGGTGCCCCACGGCTCAAACGACTTGAGGTGCCACAGGATGCCTCCTTCTGTCAGCGGATCCGTGGGAGGATCGCGGCCCAGGCTTCCGTTGGATTGCGGCGGGGTGGGCGGTCCCTTTTGCTGCTGCTGCTGCTGCTGCTGCTGCTGCTGCTGTTGGGCCATAACAGCATAGTCGCCGCCGCCGCCGCCGCCGCCGCCACCATCGTCTGGCGATGCCGAAGACGAGCCCGCTGCTCGCGTCGCCGCCGCCTTGTCCGACTTGGCGGCGGCGGCAAGCGTTGTCACGTCGACAATGCCCAGCCCCGACGTGGCCACCTCGATGTGATCCTGCACAACGTCGTCCTCGGCAGTGTCCATGGCGTCTGTCTCGGCAGAGTCTGCTCCATTACCATCTACCACCGGGCCTTTCACGGTGATTTCGGACGCGTCGGGTGCATCCGCCATGACGGTATCTTCATTCGCTTCTGCCGGCTTCGTCGTGTCCAGGCTCGCTTCGATGAGGGCTTCCAGCTCCGTCGCCAGTGTCTCGGCCGACTTGCTGTTGATTTCTGCTTCCACGCGGAGAGCTGATTCCAAGAAAGGCTGAACGCTCTTAAGTATTCGCTTGCCCAGCTTGCGTCGCTCGCGGATATCGGCAAAGCTCGGTTTCGACAGCGACACGTTGGCGCCCTCAAAACGCGAGCCTGCGCTGCTCGCATCATCAGACACCTCTGCCCGTGGCGTACGGATGCCCTTGCTAATCACATTGCAGAGATCCTGCGCGAATGGCATGACCGTCGCATAGTGCCGCTTCGAGACGCGCTTGAATATGTCCTGGAGGTCCGTTTCAAACAAGTCTTTATCGAGAAAAACCGCCTTTTCTATCGCGGGCTCCAGCAGCTTGGCGACAGGAAAGTAGCACTCGTCCACAAAGTCATTCTCCAGCTCGGCAGCCTCCACACGAAGCTGCTCGCGCCGCACAACGTCTTCCGACAGCTCCTTTAGCTGCTCCAAATCTTTGACGACATTCTCAGCAAATTCGATGCGCCTCGCCAGTCGCGTCCTGCCATTTGGGCCCATCGACGCAAAGTCGCGCCTAGTCAACTCCATGGACGAAAACGCTTCCATCTGCAGCTGAAGCCGTTTCAGTAGGGCCGCTCCACGGCGCGCCTCGCGCTTCAGCGTCCAGTACCGACAGGCCTCGCCTAAAAAGTCTTTGCGCTTCCGAAAAGGGAAGCGCTGGATTGACGCCTCAACCACATCATATACTGCTTGCGGAATAATCGGCGCGCCAGAAGGTAGCTTCCACAGGTTCTTGGGCGGCTGACCCTGCCCAGTCTGTTCATCCGCGCCGTTGCCGAGCATGGTCAAGTTCTTGGCGCTTGGTGTTTGGCTCTCACTAGCAGGATGTTCCGTGATGGCAACTCTATGCTGGGCAGCGAGAACATTTGCCATGGCCTGATTGTCCGCCCAGATGCGGCCGCGCATGTTACGTTTGTAAAATTTCTTGGCCGTGCGGGTGGCCTGGTGGACATTATTTTCTATCGTGTAGTCTGGCGGGCAGTGGTTGTGGCAGAATGCCTTGAGGACCATGCTGCTATCCAGCACGGCCAGCGCGCCGTGGCTCGTCTTCATCTTGAGGTAGAGCCTCGACCGCCGAGCGCAGGTAACGTGAAACGCCTGGTAGCAATTCTTGTTGCTGCACTGGATACACGCGCCCATCTTTTGTCGGCAGATGTAGCAGTTGAGCCTCCATCGCGTCTTGGGCACCTTTTCGACATCCATGACCGGTTCCATGAATGTGTGGTTGCCAAGCGAAATCTCGGGAATCCACATGGCACATAGCAGGTGCGCCCATTTTGATGAGTTGGTCTGCTTGAAGGCACCGTCCGTGTTAGGGCAAAAGATGCAGGTCGGCACACCGCGCCCGCACAGCTGACACTTTCGACAGAGCCACTGGCCTTCGGGAATAAAAGGCACACCATAGCATTCCTGGTGAACAGCCAGATTACATCCGTCGCAGAATACAATCGCGTTGGTGTTTTCGCAGTCGCCGTCGTCGCAGATGACACATTTGCTATCTGGTTCATCTCCGCTACCGGCGCCGCCAGCACCGCCGCTCTGAACCTCACCGTTGACCGCCGCTGCCGAGCTCGAGCGTGGCCGGTGCGTCTGCGGTGGCTTAGGATTCGGCTTAGGGATGCGCCGCTCGAGAGCGTGCCATTCCTTTTCAATCTTGGTCATGGTTATCTCAAACACCTCGCGAGTAATGGGCTCCAGATCGGCCTGCTTCCGCTGCGCATTATAGTATTCCAGCCACATGTCGTCCTGCTCGTCCATGTCGTACTCGACACGGCCCAGCTTCTGCGTGTGGGGCACATGGCTTCCGATGCTGTGCTCCTCGGACTTGTTCGGTATCAATGCCAGCGACTGCTCCGCGTCGTCCGCTGCGCCAATGTCGATGGCGCGCAGCATTGTCTCGTCGGGTCGTAGAAAATTGTCGCTTTCTTGGTACCCCACATTGCTCATGGCCTTGTCGACGTAACGGGCCTGCCCAAACGTCTTGCTCTCAAACAATTCTATGCGATTGGTCTTGCGAAACGAGGGCTGCTTGAGGTCCAATTTCTCTTTCGGCGTCTGATTCGATATTGGCAGTATCCGCGGCGTCCGGGGTGTGCCAGCCATGGGCGTATTGCGGAGGCCATAAAACGATACAGACTCACGCACCGTTCTTCTTGAGCGTCGGGACGGTGTCAGTGCGCCTGCTGCCGGTTGAGAATCTGGCTGGCTATTGACGTCGAACTGAAACTGGGAATTCGGTGTATTTCCCGTCGAGACGGGATTGGCATGTAGCATGGGCGTCGCGGCGCCATTGAAGGGTGTACCGGGTGTCTGTCTCGACGGCGTGCTTGGCGTCTCCCGCATCGCGACGACACCATCCACTTCATCAGCGGAGAAGACGACGAAGCGTTGCTCAATGTCGAGGTTCGGGTGAAATTCCTCCCAGCTGCGCTCCTCGCGAGGCTTGTAGTCCTCGGCCTGCTTGACGGACGCAGCCACAGCCGCAGCAGAGCCCCATTCAATCTCTTCAAAGTCGTCGCCGGCCGTGGCTCGGGTGCGCGTGCTGCGATCGCGACGCGGCAGTGGGACGGGCGAGACAGCGTAGGAGATGTCGCGGCTGGCCACCGCGCGACGGCGCGACGACGGCGGCGCGGCGCCCGTCCTCGGCGTGCTCGCGTTCAGTAGACTCTCAGGGTCTACATACCTGCCGCCGCCGCCGGGCCCGCCGGGCACGTAGCGCCGCTTCCGCGACGAGACGGTCTGACCCAGCTCGGCGAGACGAGCAGCCTCGGCCGCGCGGGCGGCACGAACCGCATTAGTAGTGCCTGGAGGCCGCCCACGACGCCTAGGCGCAGGATTCTGCGGTGTGGTCACGGGCGACGCCATCCGCGCAGAATTTGTATTGCTGTGTATCTATAATCTGTTCGGTCTCGGAAGATGGTGGAGGCGGCGTGATTCGGGGGGTTCGCGTAGAGTTTTCGATAGTCTAGGACGGCAAAGTAATAAAGACTTGCGTGAATGGAAAAGTGAGTGTAAGAATGCCTCAGCACGCGCAAGGCCAGTCCTGAGCCGCAGACTGGCCTACCATTTGCGTTGGCTGCGTACGAGGCCGGCGGCGCGGACAGAGCGGTTTCGAAGGGCAAAGGGGGGGTCTCGGAGGGTGCGCCACGACGGGCAGATTCAGCTCCTCAAACAACGGCAACGCATCAAAAGAGCGTGTCGAATCAAACATGCAGTCGTGTCTGCGTCGTCTCGAGCAAATCGGCAGCCGTTGCATCCCTTGTCGCACCGTAGAGAGCGTACTTCCTTGCTGCGCAAAATCGAGGCCAACAAACGCGTGGAAAGGTTGTCGCCCCGTGCACGGGCCCTGACCAGAGAGGGAGAGCTGGACCGCCCTGGCTGTGTCGTCCCGCACGCACAACGGAGATTCCTTAGTCAGCAGCTTCAGGATTCACGACACTAGCCTCAGCTTGGCTTAGCGCTAGATCTGCCACGCACCATAATTCCGGGGTGTGGTGTGTGTTGCACTGTTGCCCGTCCCAAATCTCCAGAGGTTGAACGAATGGGCCGCTCGCTGTGGGCGCCTTGCATCATGCTGAACCCGAGAAGCATCTATCGCCAATCGAACGAGTTTTAGGGTCCGTGGCCGATTCTCTTTGTTTCCGCTCACCTTGTTTGACTCGCACAACAATGCACCACCCATCAATCGTCGTCGCGCGTCGTCGACAAAAGCAGCGTGCAGCGTTCAGTACCTGACGCAATTCTTTATTTACTCTTGTTGATTAGGAACTGCGCAGCTACGCAGTTCTCACTGGGCTGTTGTAATAGAATCGGCGCATGTGTTACAATGGGCGAACAGGATACGCGATTACGCAGAGCCATGCCAGCTCTTGCTCCACCGTTGTTGCATGGCAGATGGCGATATGAACCATCCAGCGATCTAGCAGCCCACAGACTTCATGACTTAGACAAAGAATACTTATGTCGATCAATATGGGGTAATCTACATAAAGTGCGGAGGTTGGGGGCGGCCGGGATGGGACCGATGCCACTGACTTCCCCAACAAAGATCAACTAATTAATAGCCTCACTCCCGGCCTCACCGCACTTTTTGACCCCGGGGTCATCCGCGCGCTTACAAAAGGGAGAATTGCGCCCAGAAGCCTCTGTGCCTCTTCTAACTTGTTCACTTTGCAGTTGCACTTCACGAGAAGGCATACGCACAATCAGGTTTATAGCAAAGTCAATTGAGTTAAATTAGTAAGACCAGCACGAATGCCCGGCCCAGCGATCCCGAATTCCACCTGCACACTGGCTGCTCCATTGTACACCAAATCGACAGAAACCATTTTCAGATCCAGCCAACCCGGCAAGCAAAATTTCGAAATCAAGCCAACTTGCTTCGTCAGATTAAAAAACAACATCAACACAGATATGGGTGCGGGAAATGCGTCGCAGCCAATCGACTTCAATATAGTGCAGAGAAGAGAGAGAAAGGAAACAAAAACCACACGTCCCAGAAAACTCCAATGCTATGCATTGTTTGCACAAAGGCCAAAATAGAGCAAAACCAGAAAACCATCAAGAATCATATGCACAAGTTGCATGCAAATAGAACAGGAAACTGACAACACACAACACACAGGACTTGCTAAAGCAGCAACAGCGACAACAAAGAGTACTCAACAGGCCATGTTGACGCAACAATGCATCCAGTGCAATCCGCGCTCCAAAAGCGAAACCAGCAAAAAAAAATGAAGGGGTATCACGGGGGTATTATTCTCGTCTCTTGCTCGGTTTCAAGCAAGCAAGGTTATGTACTACTAGCCCAGTGTGCGTCCACTGTGGACGGCCTGAACAGCAGGTACCTGATGGGGCAGGTGACCAGCACGAAGCGAAGGAACGTTGGGTAAGCCGGTCATGTCAAAGCCAGGTGTGGATTCCCAGCTCTCTTCGCTGAGTGCACTCAGATAGCCTTCCCCAACTGTGTTGCGAAGGGCCTCGATTTTGCGACGATAATAATCACCGCTGGCATCCCAATCACTTGGTGCGGCCCACTCACTGTCACCATTTTTGGCCGGCTGCGATTCCACAGGCTTGGCCGTGGCTGGCGTAGAAGTGAGAATTGGGGCAAAATCGCTTTGGCGCGGCAAGAGGACCACTGGAGGTAGAAGCTGGCGTTTAGAGAATGCGCTAGCCTCACCATCGTCCACTTTTGTGAGAGTGGGAGCAGGAGCAGATGCACCAGGCGCCTTGTCAGGGAATTGCTCCGGTGCAGCAGGTAGAGGCGAGCCATCGCGGGTGGCGAGATCAACGATCCTCCGTTTGGGTGTTTTCCGACGGCGTGAACTGCTACTGGCTTCGCTCGTCACAGCCTTTGCAACAGGGCGCTCCTTGCGAAGGACCGCATGCTCCCTTGGGCCCTGGATAACGGCGGGTTTGCTGATTTCTACCGCAGGCACCACTTCCGGGGCGGGCTTCACAACAGGAACCGAGTCAGGGATAGGGACACGATCGGTGAGCTGACGCTTTTCGGCATAAGTCGGGCCGTTGCCATCAATCACAACATCTTCGGTGTAGCCGGGGGTCGCGCGGAACAAGTTGAAGATGGTGACGCGGTAGTCCTTGTACGCACGGGTGAAAGGGTTTCCTTCAACCCAAATCTCTCGAATATCGGGTATTCCAGTTAGTCTTGCTAATTCTTTGGGATCTCCGAGGCGGTTATCACGCAGGTCCAGGCGCTCAAGAGGATACAGCCGCTCAATGCCGGCCAGCGATTGAAGTCGGTTGGCTCGCAGGTTGAGAGCAGTGATGGCGGGAAGCGGGTTGCGGGTCAGAGAGTGAAGCGAATCGATCATGCAGTGGGAAAGATTTAGAGCGCGCAGAGCGGTCAGGGTGGCAAGACTTTCCGGAATCTGGTTGAAGAGGTTGGAAGATAGGTCGAGAGAATACAGCGTGTTGGAAAGTGGAGCCAGACTCGTAGGAGGAATAGAAGTCATGGCATTATCAGCCAGGCTGAGATGGCGGAGAAATCTCCACTTGGAAGCCGGCAAAATACCCATGGCGAGCAAGTTGCCAGAGCTGCCCCGAGCATGGTGGTGATACCAAGAATCCGAGAAGCTGGAGTGTGAGCTGCCGGAGCCGGAACGGGTGATTCTCTGGGAACTGCGAGTGTGTGTGCGGGACGTGGCCGGCCTAGAAGGTGAGATGCTGCGAGGGCGTGAAACCTTTGCCGACGACTTGGCGGGAGACTTGGAGTAGTCCTCGCTCTCCTTCCTGGTCAGAATGGGCCTGGTCTTAGGGCTCGCAGGTACGTCGGACGCGCCGGGAGGGGTGAGTGAGCCCACTCGGAGATCACCTAGGGCGGCACGGGGATCCGGAGAAGAAGGGAGAGAAGCTGATCGGGAGAGTTCCGGGTGGACCAAAGACGGGCTGCGGCGGGGACTGTTTGCTCCCCAAGTAGTGGTAGGGGAGGACTGGGCCTTGGAAGTGCGACGGCGTCGCTTATCCATGTCATCCAGGACAATGTCGATGAGAATATCGGCAGGATCCTCGATTCCAGCGTGCCTAAGAGTTAATGACCGTAGCTGGTCAGCCATGCGGTCCCATCCGAAGAACTGGCGAAAATCGATGCTGTTGACCTCGAGGGCTTGGAGGTTTTTGAACGCGTAGAGGGGAACGGCCGAGTCGAAGGGAAACTCCTCGTATCCACGAATCAATCGGGCTCGCCAGTCAGGGGCCAGTCTCAGGCATGGGATCTTTGTAAAGGCAGAGTAAAGATATTTCATATCGGCCTCGAGGGCAGCCTTTTGACGTTCGGTTCGGGCAGCAGAAATGCTGGAGCCTATGCCGAAGCTTGCCCATAGGGAAGACATGCCAGACATGACACTTCTAACACTGGAAACGGAATGGATCGATGTGGCATCGGTGCTACGAGTCCTGGAACGCTGATTTGAGCCACTGAGGAAGGATACATAGTTGGCGGAAGAGGCGCTATCGTGCAGATTTTCCAGGCGAATCTTCATGGGTCCAACGGAAATTCCAAGGTCCTCGAAACGGGAGAGCAGATAGAAAAGGTGGTGAGGGGTCAAGGCCAATTTTACAGACTTGACATTGTGAGAGGTGAAACTGAGGTTGCCAAGGGACAGGGCCGCTGCAAGGGAGCCAGTAGTCGAGGCCGTTGACGGGCGCTCCGAAACGGTTTGTAGCGGGGGTAGTGTCGCGGTGCTGGTGCTCTGCGAGGGTCTGTGACGGCTCTGGCGTTGGAACTGTAGAGCATTTGCGAGGGCCTTTTCGTGAGTGCGCACAAAAGTGGCAAGTTGCTATATGGTATGTGAGTATTCGTGCCGAATAATATTTGATTGTGTTTTGTTCGAAAAGGTTGCGTACTTTGATGAAGAATTCGCCATCCTCAGAGTCCATCTTGGCGGGAAATAAGGTATCAACCAAGCAAAACGTATGAGAGGCTTGATATGCAAGGCGCGAGGCCAAGGGAACGTGTGCGGGAGGTCGGGATTGCGAGGCAAGGCGTCTTTAACCTATGTGCTTGTCCAATGCAATATGCAGGATCCGATCGGCCGCAGGCTTAGAAGGCAACGCCAACCTGGAAGAGAAGAGGGTCAGCTATGACAATTGGGTCGACTAGTTAGACGATACGCAAATTCCGTAAAACATGGTCAATGGCACAACAAGGGCGGTGACGGACAAGCTTGACTGAGCAGACCAAGTGGTTGGCCAGTAGAGGCAAGCGACTGCAGGTCATGCATGCGCGGCAGAGCGTTTCATGGGACATGCGGCGACACAAGATACAAGGGGTAAGAGAGAGCGGTAAATGAGCAACGTCGGAACGCAAAGTCTAATAACCGGTGCAGAGGGCTGGAATAGTGCACGTCTGTCTGGCCACCATCTAATCAAGTGCAAGCGAGGGCGAGGCAGGAACAGCGAGAGTGTGTAAAAAGGTTGCAGCGATGGGGGACTCGAGAAAAACGGCGCGTCGGGTGGAGGATACACGACAGCGAGGAAATTTCACAATATGCAGAGTAGATGCAAAGAGGAAATCGGGTCAAGAAGAGCAATAATAGGGTAAGCAAATCAATACCTGAAGACATACCTTGCCTGGAGAAGGGAGGAAGAAAGACATCCGTTTGAGAGCAAAAGATGACTCGATAGATGGAAAACTGGACGGCAGCGAGAGAAGATCAAACACCGCGACTTCCAGTAGATACACTTTTCTCGCTGACTGCTATGGCCAGAACCAATGAGAAAAGGTTTGGGGGGAGAAGAAAAAAAGGCGAAGAACAAGCACGACTGGGGATAAGAGTCGTGATGCTGTTTGTATGGTGTTGACAAAGGAGGAGAGAGAATGGGCAGGGTCCAGACAGAGGAGAAAAAGGCAGCGGAGGGGTTCGTTTTAGCGGCGCAGAGATAAGGAGGAGACGACAGTATGGAGTAGTAGCACAGCAATAACAAAAAAAAAATTAGAGTGAGGGAAGCCAGCCTGGGGGTGTGCAGCGGTTTTTTCCTAGTGGATGATGGGGGGCGTGCAGCTGGACGAAGAAGCCTTGTCAGTGGGCAGATGGGCAAATTACAGTGATGCATGGCAGAAGCAGGTGCGCTAGATGGGCATCTTTTTAGCGGGTTTTAGGGGGGCTCTTGGTGGGTTGCCCGGGGTGGGTTGACGGGGTGTGGGGTCGTCGTCGTCTTGGCTGAGCGGGCGTTGTGGCGGCCGTTCTCAGCCAAAACAACGATGATGGCATGCAATGCGTGCATCGACCGCTATTTCGTACTGTAAAATAAGAGGCAGCTCTATTGTTAAAAAGCACCACAAGCACCCATCCCAAATTGTCGAGAGAGGGAAGGAAAAAAAAGAAAGGGAGGGTCACCGGTTGCAGCAAAACGGGACTGCTACTAATTACCGGGCGGCGGGGCGCACACAGCAGGTCAACGCGGGCATCTGACACGGACCAATGATGGGCGCATGTGCGATACTGGTGGTTTTGACTGTCAAATGTTGTTCTTGTTTTCTTTTCCTTTTCTTCTTCTTCTTCATCTCGTTACTCTTCTTCTTTCTTAAGCTTGGATTAAATGTCGTCGGCTGGGCGCGCTGATGCTTCGTCGTCGAGGCTTACCTACCTGGGCGGCGCCCCCGAGGCAGACGGTACAAGTAGTACGGGAGTACAAGTTGCGCCATCCATCCAGGTAGGTGACTTGCAGACTTGCAGGCGGTACCAACTGAATAAGAAGAAAAAAAGTTCTAGGACTAGCGCAATGCAACACCAACAAGCGAGGCTGAACAGTGTCGATTTTGAGACACCACGACCCAACACATAAGTGGCAGTACAAGGCGTTCTCCGTCTCTCCCGTCGGCGAGATCCATAGTTGGGTATGCTGCCATGAACCTCACCATTTGACATTGCGTCATAGCTATAAATCTTCATCGTGGGAAAGGCAAGTTTCATTTCTACCCTCCTCCCAGCTTGAAAAAATTATATTAGAGCGAAAGCAAGTCAATGCATGTTTCCCAGCAGCGATGTGGTCCATGCTTGTCTGCCAAGCGCTACAGTGGGGTGGGGTGTTGAGACGTCTCGTCGCAGCGGCTCTGCAGCGGCAGCCTGCCAGCAGGGGAGAACCCCCCCCCCCCCCCTCCTCGTCTCAAAAACAGGGTCGTGATGCTTGCTCTCCCTTGCCTTGCTCGTCGTAATACCAATATTAATGATGATGATAACGCGCAATGAACATGTAAATAATATGCGCCTTTGTTTCTTTGATTCCGCTTTGTCGTTGGTACGAGCGTGTACAAGTTCGACATTGGCCACGCTGACAGTTTACACCGTACAGCGCACAGAGAGCCTTGGCACGGAATCAACTGATAGTCATCCGGGAAAAAGGAACTTGTAAAATTTGACAGGTTGAATCATGTCTCCGTACAACTATCCATACATGATGTCGGATTTAGCCGCTGTTCTGGGCAAAGCCCAATTCGGCTCCGAAATGGCGGCAACCTTGGCCCTCTTCTGCAACCCTGGGCGGCATGGCACACCTCGAAGCCCAACCATTTTCCAGGCTACCAGCTGATTGCCGACATCTGTTGATTTCCAAAGTCATCATCATCATCATCATCATCATCATCATCATCACCACCACCACCATCATCTTCACCATCATCATCATCGCCATCTGGCCATGGCGCACATGTCACGAAACAGCCACGCATCTGCACGTACTCTGTAGGTGCAGCTTGCAGCGACCTTGCCAAGTACCTTAGCACCAGTTGCCGCGCCCATGTGGGGGGAGGGGCAGCTTTGGTTCCGTCCGGGGTCCTTGCCTAGATTTAGGACCCTAAAAATATTAACTAGGAGGCTGTGGATGTTTGGCAGGGAAAATCCGCAGCTTGGAGCAAATTACCGACATGAATATTCATTAGCCAGGACCAGCGATAATAAAAAACCGAAACCGTGGCTTTCGATCCGGTAATCTCGGTCGCCTCTGTCAAAATGCTTGCACAAGCTAAATTCCCTTTGTACGGAGTAGCTTTCGACCCATCTTTTTGTTTATCTCGTTGTTTCCCTTTGTAAAAGCTATTTCCAGTATCAACATCGAGACATTGTCGCAACAACACCCACCGCGCGCGTGGCTGCCCACCCGCACGCCGACTGGTATGCAACGATCGTCCACGCTCGCTGCCCATCAACGCTTCTCCAACTTGTCTTGTTTTTTTGCCATGGACTGATTGATGGACCGAGGAACAGAATTCTCGCTTCTTGTTCGCCAGGCACCCGAAACCAAATCCGGCGAGCTCCCTCCTGTCTCGGCTGCCAAACAATATGCCGCCTTGACATGAACGCAATCCGGACCACGGAAATTCTCACAAAACCGCATTCCCGCCTCGGCCAAAGGCTAAAATAGATACTACGCCCAAATAGCAACCCGACTCTGCCCAGCTTCGCCGTTTGCCTGTCGCAGCCAAGCGCACCTCATCCTGCGCCTCTGTTGCACACTTGAAGCCCATGCTAGATGCCCTTTCTAGCGCTGGTTGCAGATGCATCGTGTCTCCTACAGCCTGCATGCACGCACTCTTGGAACTAAATATGTAACTAGGTAGGCCCGGGCCCAGGCCGCTCGAGATGCAAGGACGCCGGCAAGCCCATCTCCGGCCTGCCACCCGGATGCAACCCATAGAACCATCGATACTGACCACGAGCCCGACTCGGTCTTGTATCTCTGCTGTGCTCGTCAGATATGCATCGTTGCGCATGCTTAACATCTAGTTCTTCTTTTAGACAGTGTTTTACCACAGCTGCGCCGCCACCTGCCGCTCGCTAGCGTCGCCCCGGTCCGCCCCAGAGCAGCCATCGCGTCGCCGTTGCCTCGTCCAAATGAACAAGTCGTCACGAGCTTGCGCCGTCAGCCGCCTTTGTATCCGTACGTAGTCACTAGCACTAGAATAACAAGATGGCTCGCCACGAGGACATGACTCGTTCTGGTGCAATGTAGCTCTTTGCTCTCTCGGAGGAGAAATGAAAAGGTCTAGTCTAGCCAAGACTTTTCCACTGCACATCATCCCTATTCAATCCGCCTGGCCAGCGTTGATTAGGTTAACCTTTGTCGTAGATCTGAAAATGAAAGACAAACATGGCTGTTGAATGCTATTTTTATTCATTTTCTCGCTCTCCACTCACTATGTAGGTTAACATCTTTCAGCGCATTAGTTGATTAGCGGTAATGCTCTCCTTTGACATAACTAGCCTACATACAAGTGACGTATTTCCGCCTTGATCCGCTGCCGCAGACTCGGGGGCGCATATCATCATCTTTCAATCGTTCTGAACCTAATTACCTTTAAAATCCGTATCACTCCATTTAAACATGTTCCTTCAAGACTCCACCCACCGTCGTCAACCCGTGCTACGTCGATTCTTTACTTCCTCTTTCACCATAGACCCCGCTATCTTCATCACACCCCCCTCCACATTCACCGCGACGCTGCTCTTGTCATGAGGCTGCATACGTGCTCGCTCACCTGCACGCATACAGGGGTGTTTCTATACACTTTCCGTTGCAGATTCATTGATGCCATCTTGATCAGCATACTTTGTTCCCGCAACAAGTCGTCCCCGACTCTCCATTTCTGGTGCCACCAACAGGGTTAACAGAGGCCACCTTTATTTGTGTGCGACCTGTTCTTTTGCGCCTATAGCCGTTTGCCACTTGACGGCATTCACGAATCGGCTGATTGCGTCTTGGCCAACCAAGACCCCGGGCCGCCCGCCTTGGGATGTCCGTTTCCCCGCCAAGCCTGTGTCTTTTGCCGCCAAGTGACATCAGCCATGGCTCGAACAAACGACGTATCATGTATGCTAGGACCGCAGATCAAGTAGCCAACTCTCGCTCTTTTTTTCTTTCTGCCTACGACGTGTCCGCTGGCTTGGCCTCGTCTCAGAGGTGCTGCTTCCAGAAGCCTCACTTTTTATAGACCCTACGGCGGCCTGCAAGTCTCATCACGTACATTATGCCAAGAGAGCACCCCATCTCTGCGATTGTGATCCGACGATGAAGGGCTGATGGAGTAGTTATGGGTGCATATACGTAGATGCAGTCTCAGACGAGAAGGCAATTTTTGTTCTAGACGTATGCACAGGCACGCACGCATACACACACACACACACACACACACATACTTTCACGAGCCAGCGAGTTCTCCTTTACATCTGATCAAGATGCCGGCGAGGCAAGCCCGTGGCTTCCCAGCACCAAAACGAACCCCCTCCCATTCAACTAGTGTCTCGCTGCTACCCCAAAGAGATCAAGCGCGTGCTCTCACGTCTTGTACCATTGTGGCCTGGTGTGTGTGCGGTTGGAGTGGATCGGCGGCATCCACACCGTTTCCGCACGCCTTTTTTTTTTCGCATGATCCCGGCCTGTCGCCCAAAAAAAAAAGCTACGATTCGCATGCGCCGTTTCACGTACACCGCTTGTTGCAAGTGAAGGGAGGCAGGAGGAGGGAGAGAGGGAAAGAGGGAGGGGTGAAGGGACCCGAGCTAGATTGTTGCAGGCCCGTCTGAAGTCGCAATGCCGCAGACATGGTATACGATGTAAAGTGTTTTTGTTTTCTAAAAAAAAAACAAAAACGTCACCGGTCCAGAGCCCACGGCAGACGTCGAACAAGGGAATTTCTCCATTGTAATATCGGGCGACGATCGCTCGACAAGGGCCAGCCAAGCCGTCATGTTGAAACACGGGCTGCAGGCTCTCTGAACGATATCAGAAGGATCATCTTGCAACATCAGGTGATTCCGCTGCGCGTCAGAATAGCGCAGTTTTGGTTTCTGCAAAGCTGGCACCGGTTGTGCATGTACATATGATATCTACAAGTACGTACAGGTGAGGGGAGGGGTCCCTTCATCTCGATGCGCCTCAATTTGGTCAACTTCTTTTCTTCTTTATCTAATCCGTAGTTGCTTGTCCTTTGCTTATTCAAACCGAACCCCTGCTCAGCCATGGCAATCCCGGACAAGCACGCAGATGCAATTCGGCATCCCGGACGAAACAACCACTATTTTAGTTGGCCAATACATCTACTCACAGCGAACCCAGCTATTTAGCGCCCATGTGCAAATAAAAAGGTTTCAATCCGCTGTGGAACCACTTGCTCCCGTTCAAGCTAATAAAACACCAACCTAAACATCTTTCCAGTAACGATTAGCTTCAACATGTTGGTCCTCGGGAAAGGCTATTCATGCCATTGGCCAATCTGCGCTGTGCCGACTCCTCCACCTAGCACACCCCAGGAAAGTTACCTCGCAACTGGATCTTCCTTTTGGTCTTTGCCTATCAACCTTTGCCTGTCCTGTCAACCTGTCAACTGTTGTGCGGCCCCTCCTAACATAAGTAGATAGTTTTGCCGTGCGTCTCTCTGCTCTTCCCTCTCTCGGTGAGGTCGGCGTCGGCAGGCGAGCTGTCAGCCCTTGTTGGCATGTAAAAAAGATTACTTCACCTGGTTTCCCAGCCCGGAACGCCGTGGCTTCGACTATTTAATAGCTGATATTCAAAGTGCACCCTACGTACATGCAATGGCGGTTTGCCAGTCCGAGCCAACCAGATTCCACCATGCGGGCATTCCTTTTTTTTTTTTTCGTTCTTTTTTTCTTTTTTGAACTTTGCAATGTGGGTTAGGGGTGGGTGCGGGGTGTCTCAACTATCTACATCTTGATACTGTCAACTTGAGAAGTTGACTTGGCAAGTTTGGCGTGGAGTGCGGAGATGTTGAAGCCTTTCTTTTTTTTTTTCAACCGGAGAAATGCAGGGCAAATTCTTGTTCTATTTCTTCGTTGCCATCTCGCTGTTTCGCAACTTTCCCAACGCGCGCGCTTCTGATGGTCAGGGAAGCGGCTCAGCTCGAGTGGCTGATGAATGGGCAAACAGCCTCTTTTGCCAAGACGCTTGTTCAGCTGCAGCATCTCCCACTCATCACACTCCCACTCATCACACTCCCAGACATGGTTTTGTTGCAGGCAGACTCATAATCATTTTCCACACATGTTGCAGCTTTTCGCCCCCAGTCATTGGCTTAACCCTTGAAAACAGCAACCAGTCCTCGTGCACATGTTTAATTCGCCGCCCTCATCTGGAACCCCTACTCCCAAACCAGCCTGGCGGCCATTGTACAATGTGCTACTGGATATTCTCACCGCCATCGAGCCGCCCTATTTATTTTTGAGAATCTAAAAAAAAAAAA